CCACATTGTGGGAGCTTGGAGGAGCCCCGGGCTACAAAGATAACAAAAAGGTCACTTAGATGATTAAGTACCTCCAGTCCTGGTTGTGGAAGCCCAGGGGAGGCCCCTGGCCACACAGGTAATACAAAGGTCACTTAGACTATTAGCCACCCCTAGCCCTGTGGGTGGGAGGTTGGTATGGCCTGGCCCTACAGACAGTGCAAATCACTAGATTATTAACCACTTCCGTTCCCAACCTTCAGTGGGAAAACAGGTTATACAAGTATGTTGTTGAAGAGATTTAACATTCCTGGTTTCCTTAGTGCTTATCTTTGAGTACAAGGACCTTTGTGCTCCCAACAGGTCTGAGTGATGCAAAGAACATGCCTTTATCCACCTGCGGAGGAGCCCACAAATCTGGCTTAGCCTCTGCTCCCTACTTGTTCAGTGTCCAATGGGGGACCAGAGGTAAATATTTAGGGTCTTTTTAAGTATTCTAGAGCACGTGCATCATCCTGAACTTGGACACAGTTACACAAATAAAAGTGACTCTCTCAGGTTCTTGGAGATGCTTAAAGATCTTCCAAATTGGCTACTGTCTTCTTACCAGCTTCTCTGTGGGTCCTTGATTCCTTTCTTTTCTATACAATTGTTATTGCAACCACAGACAGCTACAATGCTAAATAATAGATACTGATTATTTTTTAAATGTCTCCATAAAAGTATGTACTCACTCATATATGGATTTTAGACATGGATCAGGGGAGTGTCAGCCAACAATCCCAGGGCCAGTGAGTCTGGGAAACAGGGAGGTTCCCAAGAGATATGCATTATACCCCAGAGAAGTGGAAAGAGGCAAGATCTCCTGAGCAGATTGGGAATATGGGGGGAGAAGAGAGGGAACCAGGAAAAAGAGAGGGGGATAAGAGGAGGGTAGAAAAAGACATGGGGGAGCAGGAAGGCTGAGTCGGGGTAAGAATAGAGGAGAGCAGGATGAGAGATACCATAATAGATGGAGTCATTATAGGTTTGAGGAGAGAGCTGACACTAGTGAGATCTCCAGAGATCTACAAGGATAACACCAACTGGCAAACTAAGCAATAGTGGAGAGACTACATTAATAGCCCCTACCTGATGTTAAGGTTGATGAGTACCTTGTGTGACATCCTAGAACCTTCATCCTGTGACTGATGGAGGCAGAGACAGACACTCACAACTAAACACTGAACTGAGCCCTGGAGCCCAGTAACAGAGTTGGAGGAGTGATGAGCAAGGCTGTCAAGACCGCGCTGGTGAAACCCACAAAGACAGCTGACTGGACAAGGGGGAGATCTTGAATCCCCAGACTGATGACTAAGAGGCCAACAGGGGACTGATCCAGACTCCATGAATATAGTGTCAGTGAGGAGGCCTCAGAAATCTCTGGGGCTTTGGGTAGTAAACTAGTGTTCACCATGGCATACAAATGAACTTTGGGAGCCCATTCCACATGGAGGGATGCTCTCTCAGCCTGGACAAACGGGGAAGAGCCTAGGTCCTGCCCTGGATGAAATGACAGACTCTGGAGATGCCCCCAAGGAGGGCCTCACCTTCCCTGGGGAATGATGTGGGTTTGGGCTGGGGGTGGTGGGGGTGGGGTGGGGCTGGTGGAGGGAGAAGGGGGGAGCTGGGATAGCCATTTGAAGCATGCATGTTTCTAATTTAAATACAAAACATACATAAAAAATATCTGTTGTCACTGGAGGAACCCTGAATTGGGTTAATACAGTTATTTGCTTGAGGCTAGTTTCAAGATTTTACTTTTTAAAAATGATGTGTTCTTTGTAACTGCGGGACCATCTCTCTAGCCCCAATACAAATAATTCTTGTGAGAGATTTCTAGGGACGACAATGCCAAAGAATGGGATTAGAAAGGGCGACAGCTGTGACCTAAGCCTGTGGTGTCTGAAGGAGCTGCTCATTTGTCACTGCTTTTATGGACGGGAAGATTTGGGAAGATACTTTGGTGTTCTGTGAGTCCTTCCTCCTCCCTCCCTCCTTTCCTTTGTTTTCTTTAGATAATGTCTTTGTTGAGGACCCCAGTTACTTAACACACGTCTCTGTTTTGGATTTTGTAATTACATTTCTGACAAAGTTTAGTGTGCCTCTTGGGTGGTACAATAGCCTTTGTGCAGGGGTGCAGTGTATAAATTTTGAGACTGTCTCGGTCCATATATATGTATGCATGTACACATACATGGTGTGTCTGGGGCCACCAACCCCAGTGAGAGCCCTGGAGCAGAGTACCCATACTTAGGGTGGTACATGAGTGTGTCTGTGATCATTTGAATGTTCAGATTTCCCTGTTCAGGCTGCTTTTTCAAGGTGGCTTGTTGAGCCAACTAATAGATGGGTTTTTGTGTGAACATAAATTTCTCTTTCTCTTCAATTAAATGTACAGGAGTGCTATTGCTGGGTCGCATAGCAATTGCACGTTTAATTTTTTTTAAAGATGCTGACAGGCTGCTGTCCACTTCACGGTCTCACTGGCAGTGTGAGAGGTCTGGGTTCTGTGCATACTCATCAGCCTTTGAGGTTGTGGCAAATGTTTATCTTAGTAATTCCAATGCGTATGCAACATCACGTCATTGTGGCTTTAATTTGCATTTCCCTAATATCTAATGATGTTTAATATATTTTTATGGGTTTAATTTGGTATCTATGTAAATATCTTTGGGGGAAATGTCTGTGTCATTTTCTAATTAGACTATTTTCTTGTGTGTGTTTGTACACTGAGCAAGTGTTCATGTGAGTGAGTGTAGGCATACATGTACCATGGCGTGTGCAAGCAGGTCAGAAGATGATCTTGGCATTGGTCCTCCCCTTCCACCTGGTTTGAGGCAGGGCCTATCACCCCCCAACCCCCACCCCCCACCCCCCGCCGACGATGCTGCCTCTGTACACCAGGTTAACTGGCATTTTAACTTCTGGTATTTACTTGTCTGCTCCTCCCATCATGCTACAGGTGATTGTAGACTCTCATGTTACAGCTAGCTGGGATTCAAACTCAGGTCTTCATGCCTGGGCAGCAAGAACTTTAGACCACCAAACTCTCTCTGAATCTGTTTTCTTATTGATGAATTCTGAGGGTTTCAAAATAGATACCCTAAATATGTGTGTCTTTGCTGATATGTGATTTTAAAATATTTTTCTTAGTATAATTTGCTTTTTATGCTTTTCATGGGATTTTTCTCAGAGTAAGAAAATCAAGGTCAATGATGTCCTACTTATCACTTAAATATTCTTTTACAGTTTATGGTCTTGGCACCAAGTTCCCAAACATTTTGCTCAATCTTAGTCCCTGCCCTTTCTCCTTGGCTTTCCCGAAAGTGTATAGTTTTGTGTACGCTATTAAATCCATGACCCACTGTGAAGTAATTTTTGTAAAGGTGTGAGATTTGGGCCCTTGCTCAGGGTTCCTATGAAGGATACATGGCCATTTGTTGGAAAGGCCTTCATCCTTTCTCCCCAGAACAGCTGGACTGAAGTGACAGTCTCAACCAGCTGCAACCTGCATAGCAGGCTCACATTGCAGCCTTTTTCTTTCCAGCCTTGGCTCCCCTCTGGGGTTTTGAGGCTTTCTGTCTGAGAATCAAAGTATTTCTCCCGTTTCTTTGATAAAAGGCCTTCACCATGATTACAGTGTTAGAAGCACATGGCTAAATGGGAATATTTAGTCCATGGTTCTGTAACAGCTTTTAAGAGGAGAAAAGGCAGGATAAAAGACAAAAAGTGAAAGTAACAGAGTGGAGACGGAAAGAAAAGAAAGGAAGGAGAGGGCCTGGGTTGAGTCCTAATCCATCTCTGGAAAATTTTAACTGGTACACATAATTCTATAAATATGGGTATGGTGTGATTCTGGTGAGCACAGACAGCGTGTAATGGTCCACTGGGTATAACCAGAACACCTAGCACCTCAGATATTCATCTGGCTGCTGGGACTGCTTTCTTGTCTGTGATTGGAGACCCCAGTTGCCCTCAGACCACAACTCACAGGTCAGGTGACTTTGGTAGCTTCCACAGCTCCCTCCAGGTCCAGGTGGAAGAGCCAGGAGTCTGCCTCCATTCTCCCATTCTCCAGGAGTCTGCCTCCATTCTCCAGGATGCTGAGCTGCCAGGGAGCAGACAGCTTTGCTTAGCACCAGGTTGCTGCGGGTGCCTGGGGTTCCCTGCCCATCCCTGTGCCTTCCAGGCTCTGACTGGAAAAAGCTCTGCAGCCATAAACAGATTAGGAAAAGCTGCAGCCTGGGCTTTCCAGCTGCTCCAGTAGGGCTTTGCAGATTAGTGAGGAAGGGCCTCTCTCTCTCTCTCTCTCTCTCTCTCTCTCTCTCTCTCTCTCTCTCTCTCTGTCTCTCTCTCTCTGTCTCTCTCTCTCTCTCTCTCTCTCTGTCTCTCTCTCTCTCTCTCTCTGTCTGTCTCTCTCTCTGTCTCTCTCTCTCTCTCTCTCTGTGTGTGTGGTGGGGGCTGCTTGAAATGTCTGCTTTGGTTCAGAGGAACCTTCTGGAAGGAAAGAGAGCCACCTCCCTGGCAGGAGCATCTTCTCCAGCTTCCCTGTGTGTCCTTGCTTTGAAATTCGGGCTCTTGTTGTCTTGGGGGGGAGGGGAGGAGGGGGGAGGGGAGGAATTCTTACTTGTTCTTCCAGCAAGAGCTGACAGAAGGGCCTTCCCTGGCACTGCAGCCAGCGTTGAGTGACAGCTAACAACTAAAGGCACACTCGTGTGTCCAGACTAAAATGGTTGTCAGTCTGGTTTCGCAGACAGAGACCTAGTGCTCACTTGTGTAGTGAGCTCTCCTGGAGGCGGGAGCTTGCTGCATGGTCCTGGTCTTTCCCCCATTTCTTCAGCCGTTCTTCTGATAGCTGACTGATCACTTATTTGCTCATTCACCGAGAAGCTGCCGACCTGCCTGGCCAGGTGCAGGCAATAAGAGCGGGGTGAGCGCTGGGGGGTTCAGGCCCAGGCATGGTGGAACTGTCTCCACAGGCATGAGTGCAGCTTCTGTGACACTTGCCAGTGCCCTGCAGGTCAGGGGTGAAGCTCTGTCTGAAGAAGAAATCTGGTCCCTCTTGTCACTGGCTGCTGAGAGGCTCCTGGAAGACCTCCGTAATGGTAAGAGAGTATTTGGGGCAACCGGGTCCTAGGAAATTGAAAGGAAAGCTTCTTAAACAAAATTCCTGCTGGCTGCTTTTCAATATGTGATCAACCTCCAGCTTTTAGAACAGGAGAGCAAATGGTCCCCATCAGGCGGCTGCTGAGGGGTGGCCTGTCTCCAAGGCGTGTGCCATGCAACCAAGGCTGTGTGTGCTTCTGCTGGGCTTGCATGGTCCTTACACAGAGACCAGCTGCAGCAGCATAGGCCTCTTCCCAGCGCCTGGGCTGTCCCCACACTCAGTCGGTTAGATGCTGTGCTATTCTGTCCCATCAGAAGGCGGAGCCTACACTGTGGTCTAAATAAGGGAGGTTAACATGAGAGTCACTAAACGGTGATGTGGAGGCAACAGCGATGTAAGCAAATGCCACCTGGACCCCTAGAGCCAAGGACAAATCTTCTTTGGGTTGGGTTTCATCCTGATGGAGGAGCTGTGCCTTGTAGCTCATGATGATGAAGGTCCCCAGATGACCTGGTCAGAGATAGTCTACGGTCATGGCCCAGGTGGAGCAGAGGCAATGGTCAGGCGATGACTCAGAGGGCCTGGAAGCTAGAGTGACCTCTGGAATGTGGGCACACTCAGGTGAACAGGCTGCTGGTGCGTGGGCAGGAAGACTGGAGCCTGCAGCATCTTCGTGGACAGGCCCATGACAAAGTAGTCACAGGGTGAGGCTAGCCCTTGAGGTATCCGAGGTCTTTCCTATCCTGCGGCTGAGTCCAGGGTAGAGATGCCCCTGCCTGGTTATTCTATATTCATACCATTGGCTCCCAGACACGGTAGGAGAGCCCCTGCTTCCTGAGAGCTCTCTGCAGTGCCTGTTCTGAGAACGTTCATAGTGCTGACAGCAGAGACACTTAAAGGAGCCTGGGTGACTTGGAACTGTGCCGTGTTCAGTTGGCAGGTGAGGTAAACACAGAGAGCCTACACCTGAGCGCTGACTCAGAAGCCTTTGACTTAGCGGCTGCAGTGCACGGGTAAGGGCATGTGATAGCACATGGGTTCCCCTGGGTACCGAGTCCCCACGTCAGCCAATGGAGGGAGACCGCGCATGTGTGCCTTAGCTTCCTCCCGAGCTCTCACTCCTCTCTCCTGCCCTGCGGGATCTGACAAACTTTTATAGAGAGCTGTGCCTTAGGCCCTGGCCCAGCTTCGATGAACTCAGGTCTGCATCAATTTCCAGCTGGTCGTGACCTATTTTGACCTTTTACTTTAAAATTCTCAGGTCCTCAATAGATTCAGGTACAGGTGCTAAATTCTTGGCCACAGTTACAACTACCCTTTGTAATACATGTTTCTATGGGCTGGGTGGAATTTATTCTGCTCTGTGCCCATATAGGCCTTGGTCAGAATCAGTCCTAGAACAGTTGCTGTCTGGCACAATGGCCCTGTTCTTAGACCTCATCATTGCCTCTTTTCCAGATTCCTCAGACTACGTGGTGTGTCCATGGTCACTTCTGCTTTCTGCATCTGGAAGTCTTTCTTTTCAAGACCACATTTCTCACATAGAGGCTGCACCATTCAAGGCTCCAGAACTGCTCCAGGGACCAAATGAGGCTGAGCAGCCTGAAGCATCACAGGTAGGATGTGTGGCATCCTGCAGCCAGTACGGGGGGGGGGAGCCTTTCCTGGGGGAGACACCCCAAACTCCTTGCCCAGCCCCAATTCTGAAACTCAGAGCATGTTCTTTGAGGGCTTTCCTTGCCAGAAATTTACCAGCTCTTGGACAAAGCAGTTCAACCTCACTGAATCCAAGTTTCTCAGTCAGTCAAGCGAGACAAATAGAACTTTGTGCATCAAGCTTTACTAGCATGAGAAGCAGTGTTGGGGGCTGGGGAGATAGCTCAGTGGTTAAAGTGCTGGCAGGAAGATAAAGAGAGGGTTCCAGGGCCTAGCTATGCAGCTAGTTTAGTCAATGGGCAAGCTCCAGATCCCTAAGAGATCTCAAAGAATAAAGTGGATTCAAAAGGAAGGCACCCAGCTGTCAATCTCTGGCCTCCACATGTGTGTGCATGGGCATGTGCCCCACCCCCATATGCATACATACACACCACACACGTAGAGAAATATGCAGGGAAGTGTTGGGGAACGCTGTGGGCACGTGGTCTCCACAGTGTGGCCACTGGCAGCGTGAAGCAAGAGTCTTCCGAATGCCCCAGCCAGCCCTCCTCAGGCGCTTGTCCTCAGGCAGCTTTAGCTGCTGAGGTGCTTGGGCATGTACTGTCGATGCCATCCAGGAAGTAGAAACGAAATAGATGCCAGTGAAGAGTGGACACCAGAAAAGATGGCACTCACAAGAGATGAGAGGGAGGGAGGGGGGAAGGGGAGGGGAGGGGAAAGGTAGGGAGTGAGAGAGAGAGAGAGAGAGAAAGAGGGAGAGAGAGAGGGAGAGAGAGGGAGAGAGAGGTAGAGCGAGAGGGAGAGAGAGGGAGAGAGAGGGAGGGAGGAGAGAGAGAGAGAGAGAGAGAGAGAGAGAGAGAGAGAGAGAGAGAGAGAGAGACTATAAAACACACAACACACAGTACCTTATCCTGGAGGCAGCATCAGTGGAGACGTCTGGATTTCCTCAATGGAAAAATGTTTTCCTTCTGCACACCTCTGGAGCCGTGAGATCCTGGGGGAGCCACTGGGCCTCTTGGTGAGATGGAGAAGGCTGCCCCTCAGAATCCTCCATCTGCATCTCCAGCCTTGGGCCCCATCTGTCCTGTTCTTAACTCAGCAAACATGTCACACGGGCTTTCTACAAGGACATACCAATATGCAAACGCAGGGGAGTGGAAAAGGGATAGTTGCCTGTAGGGACAAGCCCTAGCCAGTGGTGGGCAAGAGGGAGGAGTTAGCAGGGTAAATCTTCTCTCCTCTCCCCCATGGATGGAGTCAAAATGTGAAATCTCTGCACACTGACCGCAGATCCCGTCTGGGATCTAGGGGGCCATGAGTGCCATCTACCCTGATGGGCTCGGTGGCAGCATGGTGACTCTGTGCCACATCTGTCTGGTTTTCTTAGCCCCTTTCTCCTCACTCTCATTGCCCTGCGCTTACAGCTTCTAAATGAAGCCTTGGCATCCAGTCCTCGCCTCTGGCTCTGCTTTTTAGAGGACCTGAGCTGAGATAGATAATGAGTACTGCTGGGGACTTTCCTGGTGTCCTCCAGCACTGGGAAGGCTCCACCCTCCACAGGGCAGTTTGGTTTGCACAGAGTGCTTTGGGGGAGGTCTGACCAGTCCTTTGCCTTAACATCTAAAGCTGGAGAAAATCCAGCTCCTGCTGCTTACTCCTCCATACAGAAGTGTCAGGCCCCAGGGAACTCTAAAGCCAGAAGAGGCTGAGGCCAGACCTGGCCTGGTGTGCTGCTAAGAGGCTAACTAGAGAAGAATAAACAGCGGGTCTGAGTCACAGAGAGCCGGTGTGGAGTGGGACTGTGTTTGAACCGATCCTGAGTATAGTTGGCTGCTTAATGCTCTATTCTGGCTGGCCTCTGGAGTGCCTCCAGGAGGGGCTGAAGTCAGTGTCCTCAGCCCCCTTAGGAAGACACAGGCAGGGTCACCTGCTCTCTTGGTCTGCTATGTATGCCCACATCTGACCCCTTCCATTCACCACACCAATTCTTTCTTTACCCAACTTGGCAGAAGGTTGTGAGTGTTTTCTGGGAAGTTAGGAACTTAGAGGTCCCAACAGGGGCTGTATTTAGGGCCCTCTGCAAGCCCTGGCTCCATTCTGAGACTAACATAGAGTACTCTAACCAGTGCACTCAGCTCCATGTCCAGGTCTAGACCAGGTGTAGGTGTCAGATGTGGGCAAGTGTCCAGCTGGGAGTCCCTTGAGCCTTACCTCACCTCATCCTCCAAGCAGGCCCTTGGTATTCAGAGAGCCAGGAGCTGCCTTCTTGGTATTCAGAGAGCCAGGAGCTGCCTTCAGAAATCTTCTCCCTAGCCTTTTGTGTGTCTCCCTGTAGGCTGAGTTTAGGGTTTGGGATGGAGCCTACTGGGCTCAGTTTGGCCCTAAGAACATTTTTGGACAGGGCCTTGGAATCCATGCATTGTCCTGGGCATGAGTGGTGCCTCCAGCGGTGCCCAGGATGCAATCCCATTTCTGCTCAGGGTCACGGCAGCCATGCAGATGCAGTTTGAGAACTTTCTCACAGTGGGCCTGGGGGCGGGGCTGGGCTAAAGGGGTACAATTTCAGATAAATAAAGACAATGATTTACAGACACAGGGGATGCTATTGATTCACTCCTCATCCCCATGATGTGGGACCTGGGCCACTTGTGTTAGACAGTCTAACACAGGGAAATCTAACACAGGACAGTCTAACACAGGACAGTCTGACACAGGACAGTCTAACACAGGACAGTCTAACACAGGGATGTCTAACACAGGGGAGTCTAACACAGGGGAGTCTAACACAGGGGATTCCAACACAGGGGATTCTAACACAGGACAGTCTGACACAGGACAGTCTGACACAGGACAGTCTAACACAGGGATGTCTAACACAGGGGAGTCTAACACAGGGGAGTCTAACACAGGGGATTCCAACACAGGGGATTCTAACACAGGACAGTCTGACACAGGGAGTCTAACACAGGACAGTCTGACACAGGACAGTCTAACACAGGACAGTCTGACACAGGACAGTCTGACACAGGACAGTCTAACACAGGGGAGTCTAACACAGGACAGTCTAACACAGGACAGTCTGACACAGGACAGTCTGACACAGGACAGTCTAACACAGGACAGTCTAACACAGGACAGTCTGACACAGGACAGTCTGACACAGGACAGTCTAACACAGGGGAGTCTAACACAGGGGAGTCTGACACAGGACAGTCTGACACAGGACAGTCTAACACAGGACAGTCTGACACAGGACAGTCTAACACAGGACAGTCTGACACAGGACAGTCTGACACAGGACAGTCTGACACAGGACAGTCTAACACAGGGGAGTCTAACACAGGACAGTCTGACACAGGACAGTCTGACACAGGACAGTCTGACACAGGACAGTCTGACACAGGGGAGTCTAACACAGGGGAGTCTAACACAGGACAGTCTAACACAGGACAGTCTGACACAGGACAGTCTAACACAGGACAGTCTAACACAGGGGAGTCTAACACAGGACAGTCTGACACAGGGGAGTCTAACACAGGACAGTCTAACACAGGACAGTCTAACACAGGACAGTCTGACACAGGACAGTCTAACACAGGACAGTCTAACACAGGGAGTGTAACACAGGACAGTCTAACACAGGGAGTCCAACACAGGACAGTCTAACACAGGACAGTGTGACACAGGACAGTGTGACACAGGGGAGTCTGACACAGGGAAATCTAACACAGGACAGTCTAACACAGGACAGTCTAACACAGGACAGTCTAACACAGGACAGTCTAACACAGGGAAATCTAACACAGGACAGTCTAACACAGGACAGTCTGACACAGGACAGTCTGACACAGGACAGTCTAACACAGGACAGTCTGACACAGGACAGTCTGACACAGGACAGTCTGACACAGGGGTGTCTAACACAGGACAGTCTAACACAGGGAGTCTAACACAGGACAGTCTAACACAGGACAGTCTAACACAGGACAGTCTAACACAGGACAGTCTAACACAGGACAGTCTAACACAGGACAGTCTAACACAGGACAGTCTAACACAGGACAGTCTAACACAGGACAGTCTAACACAGGGGTGTCTAACACAGGACAGTCTAACACAGGACAGTCTGACACAGGACAGTCTAACACAGGACAGTCTAACACAGGGAAATCTAACACAGGACAGTCTAACACAGGACAGTCTGACACAGGACAGTCTGACACAGGGGAGTCTGACACAGGGGAGTCTAACACAGGACAGTCTAACACAGGGAGTCTAACACAGGACAGTCTAACACAGGGGTGTCTAACACAGGACAGTCTAACACAGGACAGTCTGACACAGGACAGTCTGACACAGGACAGTCTGACACAGGACAGTCTAACACAGGGGTTGCTGAGCCCTGGATGTTAAGGCAAAGGACTGGCCAGACCTTCCCCAAGGCACTCTCTGTGCACTCCCCAAACTACCCTGGGGAGGGTGAAGCCTTCCCAGGGAGCACTGGAGGACACCGGGAAGGTGCCAGGCAGCATTCAGTAACCACAGGTCTAACACTAGGGTTGTTACTTCAGGGGCTTCTCTTGCAGTTTCAAAAGTATTTTCCTGAGCGGGGTCTTCAAGAACATGGTCTTTGTCTCCTACGACACAAGTCCCCAGCATTAACACCAGGCATTGATTCTCCTGGCAGCCACAGCTGTGGTGCTCTGGGCAAGAGCTCCAGGCTTGGGTTCAATCCTGCATGTGGGTCTTATTTAGGCAAATCCTGGTAACTTCCCTTTGCTATAGTTTCCACTTATCTAGAATGGGACAATTAAAAACCTGCCTCAGAGGGTTATTGTGAAGACCAAATGCATTTAAATAAGCCAAAGGCTTGCAATAGGGCTTGGCCTGACTATAAGGACCACCCCAAGTGCATCTGCACTCCTTTTAAAGTGAGGGTTTGGGCAGAACACTCACTTTAAAAAACAGAACTTCAAAGAAGCCTGGCCATGCTCTTCCTGTCACAGGCAGGGCTTCCCAGGAAGACTGACCCTTACCATGCAGTTACAAGAAACAGAACGTCTGAAATACAACAGCCAGAGCTGTTAGTCATTCGTTACTTAAGGAGCAACTTAGGTGTGGGTGACAGCAACTCAATGATACCAATCAGGATTCAGGATATATATTTCTATTCTAGTCTCTGTACTTGTTTCCACATGTCTGCAAGATGGCTGCTGTGGCCCCACATACCACATGGTATCACAGGTAGAAACAGCGTGTGGGACTAGTCACATGACTTTTTTGTTTTCAATAAAGTAAAAGTTTTTTTTTTCTTCTTCCGGAAGCATCCTAACAGCTGTTCTCTCTTATCTTTCCCAAACTGGGAATCACAGTTACTGCTAGGAAACAAATTTCTAGCCTGCAAAGGTTAAGGAGGCTCGGTGCTGGGCTAGCCGGATTCCCACCCCTTGCTGTGGAAACTGGAAACTGTGCCGAGCTTTGCTTGCAGGACTGTGGAGCTGCCCCCACCCCCTGACTTCTAACCGTGTGCTTTTCTCTTGGGCAGATGCATGTCTATTCCTTAGGGATGACTCTCTACTGGTCAGCAGGGTTTCGAGTTCCACCAAACCAGGTCTGTAAACAAGAATGTCTCTCGTGTTAGCAGGTCATCCCCCTGGACTAGCTCAGTAGCGCCCCCCCCAAGAAGGACCACATGCGTCGAGTGTGACGTCACCTCCCTTCTGTGCTAAGCCTTGCATAGGTTTTGCCAACTGATCCACAGTTCGTTCCCCTGAGTCCATAAGCAACCTCAGCATCTTCTTGTACTCCAAACAGACCCAAGTTGGGATTGGCAGTCAAGACAAGATTCACTTGTCCTCTCTGACCACAGGAAGTAGCAATCTAGAGGATTTCACACACGACAAAGACGGTTGTTTATGAATTCTCTTCAATGCTTTTAGAATCAGCCCTTCCTGAAGTGAAATGCTGCCTGAGAAAAGGGTTCTGTGCTCAGTAACTGAGATAAAACGTACCCTGCAATGTCTCCTCTGGAAGAGGCTTCACACTAGCTTCTTACTGACTGTGGCAAGTCTCCATCACAGTCACTTTATAGAGCAAAGCGTGTTGCACAATTCTATTGATGAGTGCATGTATCGTGTGAACGCATACATTTGTGTATGAGCCTCTCTCTCTCTCTCTCTCTCTCTCTCTCTCTCTCTCTCTCTCTCTCTCTCTCTCTCTGTGTATGCACCTACATGTGTGCGAATGCACATTTTCATCTGACATCATAAGAATCCTTTAAAAGCTAGGGCTACAGAATCATTGTTGAACTCAGCCATGGGACCCTCCCTTTCCTTTCACCAATACCCTCTCCCTCCCTCCCTTCCTCCATCCCTCCCTCCCTTCCTCACAATGTCCCTATCTCTTAAGCAGAAAACCATTTACGACTCACCCTGCTTGAGCTGAGACCCCCACGGTTGTATTCTGCATCCAGAATCTGGCTCCCGCTGCTGTCTGCTGGTTCTCTGACATCCCCAGGGCTCGTCTTATGAATGTGTGACTTGCAATCCTGTGCCTGGCCACTGCTCTGCCAGCCCCATCTTGTACCCAGCACTTTGGGGCCCTGCATTCTGTCACAGCGCTTACTGTAGCCCTTTCCTCACACACACACACACACACACACACACACACACACACACACACACACACACCAGCTCATTTTCACCAACTCATCCGCACCTCTTGCCTCTATGCATATACACCAGAAAGGCTCATTCTGCCTGCTTCCAAACCCCTGCTGCTGGTTGAGGTCTGCCTGGTCAGGCTTCTGTCTGAATACTCGTGGGGTCCTGCGCTTCCTGAGGCCAAACCCTCTCCATCTTCAGCTATTCTTGCTCTTTAAGTAGTAACATTTGTGTGGGGCTGTGATCTTTAAGGCAACGAGGATGAAAAACCACTCTGCTGGACACAGTGGCCTCTAGGGAGGTGTGTAAATTCCTGACACAGTGGCCTGGTTGCTGTGAAGGTGGGCTCTCTGAGAGCATGAAGGGGTGCTTGTACATGACTAGTTTTTCTTTCATGTCTGTGTGGCATAGAGTTCTACCAATGGTGACTGTGACTGAGCCCTTGCTTGCTGCTCATTGGCTCAGCATGAAAGGTCACTTTAACTTACAGGCCTGATTCCCTTGCACTCATGCTCCAGGGGAAGATCTCATGACATAACTGCCCTCCCCCACCAGATAACTGTAGGAAGCACCAGGCTACCAGGTCAATGCAGTGGTGTACATGTGTGCGTGCGTGTGTGAGTGCGTGTGTGTGTGTGTGTGTGTGTGTGTGTGTGTGTGTGTGTGTGTGTGTGTTACCACTAGTGCAGCCAAGCATTTGGCCTAGGTCAAGGTCTGTGCTGTCTGGCTTTCTGTCAGCTCACTGAGCTAGCGTCGGATGGCTCAGGTTAAGGAGTGGCACGCACAGTAGATTCAGAAACCATTGCTTGGGCTCGATGACAAGTCAGATGCACAGTAGATGCAGGAACCATTGCTTGGGCTCGATGACAAACCAGACGTCTGTTCCAGGAGAAGCAAATGCGTTCCAGTAGTGATGAGTGTTTCCTGGAGTCCCCGGGGCATGTGGGCCTTGGTGACCTGCTGTGGGCATTCCACCTGGCCACACTTGTCACCAGGGTGTGCTCTGTAGCCCCTGCAGCTTCAAGAGACCCTGCACTCCCTCCTGCTGGCCATGTGCGAAGACCAGCCGCGAAGACGGAGGCCACTGCAGGCGGTTCTGGAAGCCTGCCGGGTTCATCAGGAAGAAGCGGCTGTGTACCCCGCCCCTGCCAGTCTCCACATCAGTCGGCTGGTGGGCTTGGTGCTGGGCACCATCTCCGAGGTCAGTTATTGAATCCACCTTTCCCACTGGGAGCCACGAGCTGTGTGTGCCTATTAGAATTTAAATCAGCCACATTTTAACTACAGGGAAATTCAATAAAAAGTCCAGGGGCTCCTTGACAGAGCACTTGTCTAGCAGACACCCCTAAGGAGTTAGCCTGACAGGTGCCTTGCATGTGTTGGTATCGATGCTCTTGTCTGACCTGGTCGCTGATGTGTGAGTCTGCCAATCCCCACTCAGGTGGAGAGAAGAGTTGTCGAGGAAGGCACCTGTGAGCGGCAGAGCAGAAGTTACTTTCTCAGGAGCAAGCTGCATCGGGCAGGTAGCGAGAGCCCCGGAGCTCGGGCCTCTGACAGTCTGCAGCCTGGAAGAGGTGAGTGAAGCCTCTGAGCAGTCCTGTATAGACGGAGGGTACTCAAAGGGACCAGTCAGCTGTCTCCTGCCCTGAGCGTGGACATCCCTGCTGTATCCGCGGGGAGTTCCCATGAGAGCGCTATTCTCCCAGGAAGTGCTAATGGCCCGGGCCTAGGGTCTCTGTGCCTAGTAAAGTTGAATAGAGTTAAATTATAATAAATATTAGCTGTTTAAATTGGGCTCTAGTTGTCCAAATTGACGAGAACAACTTAGAAAAAGCAAGAAAAAGGTTTTGTCTTATTTTATGCATCAGTGTGTACCATGTACCGACCTGATGCCTGTGGAGGCCAGAAGAGGGCATCAAATTTCCCGTAGCTGGAGTTCAGATAGTTATAAACCCCCATGGGGTGCTGGGAATTGAATTAGGGGCCCCCAGAAAAGCAGCCAGTGCTTTTACCACTAAGACATCTTTCCAGCCCCCAAACAGAAAAAGGTTTTAAAAATGACCTTGTAAGTGGAATGACAAGCAAATAACTCATAAAAGACTTTTTAAATTTTTACTCTAGGTGTGCTGAGAGAGTGGCTTTTACATTAACCTTCAAATATGCCTCTACCTGCTTCTCAGCTCTCTGAACTTGAGTTACGTTTTAGCCCCTTTTCCTGTTGTGATGAGGTAGTAACAGACCGAAGGAGGCAGGGATTGGTTCTGTTCACAGTGTGAGGGTCCCCAATGTAGGAAGGCGTGATGGGGGGAGGGGAGTGACAGGCAGCTGGTCACATGGCCTCGGCAGTGAGAAAGCCCAGAGAGATGGAGGCTGGTGCTCAGCTCTCTTACTTCCCTCACGGTTAGGGCTCATCTGCCCATCTCAATTAAGCCGATCTGAGACAAGACATGCCCAGATCTTGTCAGATTGATCAGCTTTAGCCATCACACCCTATGCACTTCCTCACTCATTTTGAAACAGAATGTCAAACTCTTGATCCTCCTGTCTCGACCTCTGAGTACGAGATCACAGGCAGACGCCACCAAGCCCAATTTTATTTGATTATTTATATTTAAAGTTGTTGATTGTCGTTTCTAAATCAATTAACCGCTGTGCCTTTTGTCATTAGGCTTATCCTCCCCTCTAACATTCTTCTTACTCCCTAGTCTTGTGACTGTCATTTCCATTTGCTGTGTGAGAATACAGACTCAGAGATGTTTAGTGATTTCACCAAGGGCACACAGCTGACCATTTGTGGCAGTATACACATGCTGGGCTGCTTACCCTACAAAGCTAAGCTGTTTGTTTGCACCGCCCCTACCCACCAACCATGCTGCTTGGTCGGTTTCAGAGAGAAGCACAGAGACACAGAGCTCCTTGGGGCGACGCTGGAACACCACAGCACACAGACATTGCAGCTTCGTCCATGGGTGAGTCTCCTGCTCCTGAGCACTGTGAACCTGGTGTGGGAGTCTACACAACCTGATTCTTTGCTGACTAGTGATGAGAAGCCAGATCTTCAGAAAATGATGGTAGTGAAAAACCAAGACCTGCGCTGCCTGTTGGCAACAATCTTGTCAGGAACCTCATGTCTTCTGGGAGTCCCATTCAGGCCCAGAGATGGAGCAACATGAGCGTTGGTGTTTTAGCGGTGATCTCTAGGTACACCCTGCCTGCTGACAACTCCCAAACAATGGCTACTGGCCACAGTTATTCAGAGCTGATGAGTGGGGATTGCTGAATCCCTGTCCTCTTTGGCCACCTTCTGCATCTGTGGCCAGCTGAGTTACTGACAGGAGAGGTTTCACTCCTGGGGAGTGGGTTTGTTACCCCGGCATCCCCTGAGTACATGACATAGTGTGCATGCTGTAATGGCTTCAGTCCCTCTAGGTGACTGGAGTTTGCTAGCTTCGTTGTACCACAGGACGTCTGTTGATCAAAGCATCCGTAGGTGGTTCACGGCTATTTATTGTCAAAAGGTTTGAATGTCTAAAATAAAACAAAGCCAGAGCCATGATCTATTTAGGGAATATTGGGACCTTGGGGTCACGGTGAGCACTGAGGCAGAATCCTGGGATGGTGATAGTGGTGGTGGAGAGTAGGTGTGCTTTTACACCTCAAGTAGTTCCCCAGCCTCTGGCTGTGTAGCCTTAACCTCTGAGGGTCTCGGCTTCACCGACAGAAGATTCTGTGTTGCTTCTCATGATGTGGGAACTAACACAGGGGGGCAGCTGAGTCTGTCGCAGGATGGATGCCTCATCAAGTACGTTTTCCTTCCCCACTCCTGGCCAGCGCTTTTGCAGGTGTGGGTCCCTGTGACTTCGAGGCGGGCTTGCCGTGTGGCTCTGGGCCTGTGCTCTTGCCTGAAGCAGAAAGCTCACAGCCAGCAGCAGCTTCTCCAAGGAATTTCCTCCAAAGGAAGGGAAAGGTGAGCAAAGAGGTCTGGGCTGGAGGACACTGCCAAGAGTCCAGCTAGGACCTGTAACACATGGGAGAATACAGACAGGGGCTTCAGTATTCAGCGGCCCTGGGCTGACACAAACCTGAACCTGGTCACTTGAATCTAGGCATCATCCAGCCCCCATCCCTGACCCCTGGACTGGATGTACACTAGATGTTCTTGAGGGTGTGAGGTTTGTCTCAGGCCCTCCTCTCCTGAAGTTTGAGGCTGTGTGTAGAACAACACCCCAGTGTGGCCTGTAAGAGAGATGACCAGGCAGAGTGCACTTGTAAGAGGCCTCGTGGACAGACAGAATGCAGGGCCTGCTGAGATTGCAAGGTGGCTTAGCTGGGAAGAAGTGTTTCCTCTCTTGTTGGTGTGTGTGTGTGAGTGTGTCTGTGTGTGTGTTTGTGTGTGCCTGTGTGTGTGAGTGTGTATCTGTGTCTCTGTGTGTGAGTGTGTGAGTATGTGTGTGAGTGTCTGTGGGTGTGTGTGCCTGTGTGTGTGCTTGTGTGTGCCTGTGAGTGTGCCTGTGTGTGTCTGTGTGTGAGTGTGTGTGCCTGTGTGTGAGTGTCTGTGAGTGTGTGTGCCTGTGTGTGAATGTGTGTCTGTGTGTGAGTGTGTGTCTGTGTGAGTGTGTGTGTCTGTGTGTGTGAGTGTGTGTGCCTGTGTATGTGAGTATGTGTATGAGTGTGTGAGTGTGAGTGTGTGTCTGTGTGTGCTTGTGTGTGTCTGTGCGTGAGTGTGTGTGTGTGAGTGTATCTGTGTGTGTCTCTATGTGTGTGTGCTTGTGTGTGTATGTGAGTGTGTGTGTCTGTGTGTGAGTGTGTGTCTGTGTATGTGTATCTCTGTGTGTCTGTGTGTGTGAGTGTATGTGTGAGTATGTGAGTGTGTGTGTGAGTGTGTGTGTGTGTGTTAGGATTGGGAAAATGTGGAGGACCTGAGGTCAGAGAGCAGCCATACCAACCTGCCCAGCCTCCGAAGGCCAAGCTAATGGACATGCAGTTAGTGGGTGGCCCCTGCAGTCTTTTTCTACCTCCTGTGGATTTTTCATAGGCAGGAAGAACTCTGCTGACGTCAGTTAGTTTGTTGAGAGCAGTTTCAGGGTCATACTCAATTGCTTGCCATCTTTGTTTTTTGAGGCAGGGTTTCTCGTTGAACCTGGAAATCACCAAATTTGGTTAGACTGCATGACCAGAAAGCCCCAGGGGGAACCTATCGGTGCAAACCACCAGGCCTGGTTTTTACTTATGTTCTGGGGGATTGAACTCAGGTCCTCATGCTTGTACTTGGCACTTTACCGACTGAAGATCTCCTCAGTGCTGGATTTTCTCTAAGTTTTGTTTTTGAGACAGGGTCTCACTGTGTAGCTCATCCCTCAACCTCCTGAGAGCTGAGAGCATGGGCGTGTGCTACTACACCCAGCCTGTCTTAGGCTTTTGATACCCATGAATATTATGCACTGCTGTGTAAATGTTAACCTCTAGTGATGCAGAGGGCTGCAGAAGGCAGAGGGAGGAGAACTCCAAAGCCTGGAACCCCCCCCCTTACACTTTTGCTTATTCTGGATGTTTTTCTCAGTTCTCCAGACCAGAGTTCATCCTGTTGGCTGGAGAGGCCCCGGTGACCCTACATCTGCCTGGATCCATTGTGGTAACTAACACTTAGCCTGGGTGGGGCGAGAAGGGGTCCTCAAGCCAAGCAAACTCAAAGCTGACTGGACGTTGCTTGGGGTCTTTTCTGAGGACATCTTGGTAGTCTCCCTCCTCTAGGCCTTTCCCCCTCGAGCCCCCATGTCTCTGCCTTCTCAAAGCTGTTTAAAGAATAGCGTTCTCCCTTCTATCCACTGCACTTGCTCCATCTCTCCTGTCCCTCCAGACCCCTCCCAGAGTGTGGCCACGCTGCCCCTGCCTCTCATTCTCCCCTATGCGAGGGGCTCCTGGTGGCCTCCAGTTCAGCCTTCATCTCCCCACTCAGCACGGATGCCGGGAGTAGCTCCACCGGCTGGGGACTCTGCCAGGCTCCCCTCTATGCCTTTCCCTGTGATGCCTACAGTCTGGCAGCAGGAGGAACGGAGAGACAAATGCATAATAGGAAAGCATGCCGGGGAGAGCTTTGTGCTCTAAAAAATGAGAAGACACATAGGGACGGAAGAGGGGAGAGGATGGTAGGTGAGGGTGGGGAAATTGCTGCTTCAGCCAGGGAAGTGGCTCTAAGGAGACAGAGAAGGGAGAGGCATGGGGGGTTTAGGAAAAGGGTCTGGAGGAGGGAGAGCACTATATGGGGTGCTACCCAGCTCAGTCAAGTACATGCCCTCCTGGTTCATGCCCAGCCTAGAGCCATGAGTTTCTCAGCTAATGCTGAACATTTGGGAAGAAGACCTTCCTATTTTCCATACTCCTAGAGCCAAGATGCCTGTCTGGCTAACCCTGCCTGGCAATGCTGCCTTTTGGCTCTGAGGCCTTCTGGAGGCAGAGCTGTGGGAAGCCTGGGATGGTGTCTTTCTTTCCCTGGGTTCCTATGCCATCCCCATGCCTGTCTTCTCTATAGAGAAATGCAGATAAACACTAGGAAACCCTGACTGGCTCGGTCAGGGGTGCATGACTCATGGGCGAGTCTGAAGGAGAGTTGGGGAAAGATATGGATCTTACCTCCCCACATGCTAAACTCATAGATTCTCCAGAGAGTTTAGACTTGGGTCTGTGTTTTGCCTGTTACCAACTGTGCAACCTTGGAAAAGTCCCTTATCGTCTCTAAGCCTCAGTTTCTCATCTGCTAATAGGTAGCAAAGCTATACTCACTGCACAGGTAGTTAGACAATTAAATGAGGTAAACCATGGGCCATGCTTAGTCTGGTGACTAGCCCAAGTGAAAGACTCATAGTCTCCTCTTGATTGTGAGCATTGATGCTATTATTGTTTTCAGACCAAAAAAGGGAAATCCTACTTGGCTCTCAGAGACCTCTGTGTGGTCTTGCTGAGTGGACAGTGTCTGGAGGTGAAGTGTGACATGGAGTCCACAGCAGGAGCTGTCTTCGATGTTGTCATGTCCTTCACCAACCTTGGGGAGACCACCTACTTTGGTTTGGCTTACATGAAAGGTAGGCATTTCCCGGGGGTCTCTATTGACACCATGAGCTTCTGGGACCCAGGTTCACAGGTACGTGGACTCTGTTCCTCCTGGAAAATTGCTTGATCCTGGGACACCAAACTTAGCAGACAGGGTACCTTGGTGAGCACAGATTGTCAGGAGAGGATGGGGTAGGATGTGGGTTTGTAGCTTGCCAGATCTGATCAATTATAACATTTTGAAGTTAGACAAACAGATATTAAAACATTTGTAAACTATCTGAAAAGCTGCTGGCATTTTGCACCTTGGCCCAAAGAATCCAAGTTAATCTTTCCCGAGAGAATGGTTTGCAAACATTTTTTCCCCAAGTCTTTCCATGAAAGGCCTTTTAATCTCCTCTCCTGTCCTATACTGCAGATGGAGTTCCTCAGCCTCAATCTAAAGTGCGGAGGGAAAGAGGCTGAGAAAAGATTTTGTGGGACTTCAGTCTGAGCTCCAGGCCCCACCTGTGAGGTATTAGAGTCTCTGTTCCTCATCCTCCAGCCTCTAAAGAGGGGCTTGTGAGCTCTTGGTGTGTCACAGTGGGGCTGGCAGCAGTGTCCTTGTCTCCCCAGGGTTCTCATCAGACAACTCGCCCCCACCCACCACAAGGACACCACTTCCAAACAGAACAGTCACTCTGTACTTCTATGTAGGCCATGGTCAATAAAGTCTAACTTTTGTTAACTTACAAATGGAAGCGCTTTTTAGGAAGAATTGTATTCTTTTTAAGTGTCTGCTGTGTATCAGAAGCTATCAGAATCACTTTATTTAAAAATGTTTAATTAAAATACAGTTATATCACTTCTCCCTTCTCACCCTTCCTTCCAAACCTCACCCATGCCCTATCTCTCAAATTCATGTCCTCTTATTCATTAGTTATTATTGTTACATGCAAACCTGCTGAGTCTGTTTAGTGTTTAGTGTCACACACGCACACACACAGATGACAGTTGGTTAATTGATTAGAGAGCTCATCTCTGGGGAAAACTGATTTGCCTTTCTCTCTGAACAGTCATTAGTTGCCTGTAGCTTTTCGTCTAGAGTTAGAGCCCCATGAGATTTTCCCTATGCACATTATTTAGTCAGTTATATTGTTTAGGTTTCATGGGTGTGACAATCTTACAGCAGACTTTCAGGTCTTCAGACTCTCACAATCTTCCTACTCTCTTTTTCACCGTGATCCTGGAGCTTCAGGAGTAGGGAATGTGTTGTAGACATACTAGCTGGGGGTTAGTTATAGACATACTAGCTGGGGGTTAGTTATAGACATACTAGCTGGGGGTTAGTGCCTCATGGTCAGTTGTTTTGTCATGGCGTTCTGTAATGGTCTCTGTCTTCTGTAAAAGAAACTTCTCTGATGAGGGGTGAGAGCTACGCTTTCTGACTGTGCAGCCCACAGAAAACATTGCATTTTATTCATTTGAGATGTATAATCCAGTAAAAGCCAGGACTTGGGAGATAGCTCAGTTGGTAAAGTGCTTTCCTGGTAAGCAGGAGGACTTAAGTTTGATTCCCAGGACTCATGTACAAAGGAAATCTAACTGTGATGGTGTGTCATTGTAATCCCAGTGCTGGGGAGGCAGAGGCAGGCAGATCCCTGTGACTTACTGGCCTGCCAACATAACTTCCCTGGGAGTTCCAGGCCACCTAGAGTCCCTGTCTCAATAGAAATGGTGGATGGTGTTTGAGTAATGGCTTTCAAGATTGTCCTCTGGCCTCTACAGGCACACACATATGAATGCTCCCACATATTTGCTTCCACAAACCTGCACATATATGCTCAAAACACTCAATGAACAAATAAGTAAAATCTAGGTGAGTAAAACCCCTCCAATCAAGGAGATGTAAATCCTTCTTTTTGGGCTGGTTCCTGGATTTCTGGAGCTGCTTCAGTGAATCATGGATCTGGATAGAGACCATCTTGGGAGGGTTTGCCAGCCAGACTGTATTGGGAACTTGTCCACCTCTTGGACAGAGTCCATCTTAAGGGAAAATGAGCATGATGCGGGGAGTCAGATTCAACATCAAAGGCGGAGGGCTGGGTTGGTGGGCAATGGCCATGAGAAGTACCTGGATGTGAACCTAGCTCTCCACACATACCTCTGCAGGCAGCAAAGGCGGGTTGCTAATTTAACAGCCCTACCTTCTAGCTGTGGTGGGAGTCTACCCTAGACAAGCCACTGAGGTTGGAGGGTGGAGCATGGGATCAGACAGCTTGGGAAATACAGAGGGTCAGATCTACAGGAATCTTGGGAGTGGCTGATGATGTCTGGTTGAGAACAGCTTTCAAGGAAGCAGAGGAACAGGGACGGTATGTTCAGCAGTTTGGACTCATCTAATCTTCATCTAGATTGGCTGGAGGATAAACACTGTAGGAGCTGTAGACCTGAGCTTGCAAATGAGATAGTTCTTATCACCGACTTGGTCAGTTTGGGCTGTTCCAACAAAGTACCATAGCTGGGTGTCTTTAAACAGTCTGCTTCCCCCTTGAAGTTGGAATCTATAAGCCTAAGATCAAAGTTTTGTCAGCTGATTTTATTCTTGGTAGGGATCTGCCTTCTGGCCCACAGAGGAAATCCCCAATGAGTCCTTGTATTGCAGAGAGAAAGAATGAAAGGGGAAGGGAAGGACACACACACACACACACACACACACACCCACACACACGAAGAGGGGGACGAAGAGAGAAACTCAGCCATGAGTACCATTAATCTGGATGTTTGTGCTCACTGCGTGAGTTGGAGGAAGATGCAGGCACTTAGTAGGTAATGTGCCTCTGACTGGGAGGTGCAAGTCACTTCTACTGACACAGAAGGACCTGGCACGTGGCAGGGACTTCATACTATTCCGTTCCTTTGTCGTGTGATGGCAGCTGGCAAGCAGACGCTGAGTGACAGCTCTTCATCATAAATGCAGTTGGCACTCAGCATCCACAGGAATTGGATTCTAGGAGCCCAGCAGACCCCCAGGTCCCTACAAGTCCACATGTACGATGAGGCGGTGTACACCTGCACCTTGTATGCTCCCGTGCGTCTCCAGAGTGCTCACTTCAGTGTGAACACTGTCTAAACGGGTGCCACACTGTAGAGGAGACAATGGCAGAAAGGTCTGTACATATTTAGTACACATAAAGCAAACGTGTCAACATGCGGTTAGTTGAATCTGCAGACACAGACTGTGCATATGGAGGGCTGGCTGTGATTATGCTTCGTCTTGATTGTTTTTCTTCGTCTCCTCTCAGTTCCTATGGCCCATGCAAGAGTCCCTTGTTCCCAGATACTGATGGGACCTCGTGCTCTCTCCCGTACCAATGCAGCTTACACCCCCACCCCTCTGGGCAGAGCTTAAGGGAGAGATATGAGGGTGGGACACTCCCTATCGATTCTTCCTCCAAACTCTGTTTCCATTTCAGGTGATGAGTTCTTTTTCCTGGACAAGGACACTAGATTGTGCAAAGTCGCCCCAGAAGGCTGGAGAGAACAGCACCCGAAAGGTTCCATGGACACTTTGACACTCTTTCTGCGAATAAAGTTCTTTGTCAGTCACTATGGGCTGCTCCGGTGAGTGCCGTAGCCCATTCCTAGGATCATTAAGGGGTCTATACCTGTCCAGACTGGCATTCCAGGTAACGGGTAGGCGGAGGCGTGGAGAATGATAGAATGCATATAAAGTGGTCAATTTCTGTCCATGGGGTTCGGATGTAATAGAATCAAGAGGAAAACTAGTCTTTTAGAGGCAGGCCCTGGTCAAAACGAGAAACTGTTTTCTGTATTCCAAACATAGTCTACTAGGTAGCAAGTTCTCTCTTCCCTAAGTGTCTGTCATGCACAGCTCCACGGCTCAGGGGTAAGGGTTCCAGGAGAGTGCATTGGCTTTGAAGTCAGCTCACCGTCTGTTTTCTGTTACTTACTGGAGACGCTACTTAATTGAATATCGGATTTATAGCTTAAACTATATCCTTGTGGGTGTTGGGTGAAGTATCTAGTCTAGGGGAGGAGGAATGGAGGCGCCCACACTAGTTTCTCTGGTTCTGTTCTCTGGGTTCTGCTGGGTTGTATCCATTTTTTTCCCATACTGAGAAGCCCCCCAGTGAAGCACTCTCCTACCCCTCAAGCTGTCTTTATTACCGGGTTTCTTTGCTAGGCACAGCCTGACAAGGCATCAGTTTTACCTGCAGCTTCGGAAAGACATTTTAGAAGAGAGGCTGTATTGCAACGATGAGACACTGCTGCAGCTGGGGGTCCTGGCCCTGCAGGCTGAGTTTGGAAGTTATCCTAAGGAGGTAAAGGAGGTAGGGGTGATACCTGGGGTCTTTGGGTGGAATCACTGGAAAGATGACTGTGAGAGGAGGTGACTGCTAGGAATGCGGAGGCTTTGCTTTTGAGAAGTGTTGTTAGCATCTATCTATCTATCTATCTATCTATCTATCTATCTATCTATCTATCTATATCCATCCATCCATCCATCCATCCATCCATCCACCCACCCACCCACCCATCCATCCATCCACCCACCCATCCATCCATCCACCCGCCCACCCATCCATCCACCCACCCACCCACCCACCCACCCATCCACCCATCCATCCATCCATCCATCCATCCATCCATCCATCCACCCATCCACCCATCCACCCATCCACCCACCCACCCATCCATCCATCCACCCACCCATCCACCCACCCATCCACCCACCCACTTACCTACCCATCTACTCACCCATTCACATATCAAACAAGCTTTCATTAAACACTGCTCCTGTGTTCTGGGTTATATATGGATGAACATAGGAAGTTCATACGTCCTAATGTGGTTCTAATCTGGCACATCTGTCTTTATATCTATCAGTTTGTGCTACTACAATGAAACATTACAAACAGCTTACAAAGAAAAGGCTGTAGGTTTAGAAGCTCAAAGCCCAAGATTGGGCCACTCCATTGGTTTGAAGGTTCTGGGTACCCCATAGTGGGAACCCATGTTGGGGTGGGGGCTCAAGATGCCAAACAGGAATTCAGAGGGAGAGGGGCTGAGATCCCAGGTCCCCTCTGCAGGAAAGCCCACAATGATTTAAGGCTTCCCCTTTAGTCCTTCCTCCATGAAAGCTCCGTCACTTCCCGCTAACACCACACTTAATATCAGGGCTATCCACACTGGACCCTTTGGGGATCACTCAGATCAGAGCCAAACCACAGTAATGTATGCACTTACTGGGTTTCCATCATTTCCCAGTAACACCACACTAATTATCAGGACTATCCACACTGGACCCTTTGGGGATCACTCAGATCAGAGCCAAACCATAGTAATGTATGCACTTACTGAGTTTTTATCACTACCGTCACTAATATTAATAGCCAATCTTTACTAAGAGATCACTCTATCTGCCATTGACCTAAATAACTCACATAAACATTGCAAAGTTAACGTTACATATTCTAGATAGACAATCTGTAAGGGTATGGATTTTGGCAGGTGAGGTAGTGGGGAGGGACCTTGAGGGGAGTTGGAGGAGAGAAATCTGTGATCAGAATATATTGTATGAAAAAATCTGTCTTCAATAAAAGATTCAATAAACCTTATTTTTAAGTGTGCTTTTAACTCTGCAGTAAGATTAAGTGGGAGATACAGAGATTTCTTCCCCTCACCCACTCACAGTCTTCTCCCAAAACGATATAACCATTCCCCTGTATTTGTTACAGTCAACCAACCTGTGCCGACACATTGCCATCATCTGGAAGCCATAGCTGTGCTTGACTTTCTGTGTGGGTTCTTCAGACAGCATTAGGGGGTGCAGTAGATTTCCATCGCTGTAACAAAATACCTGTGGCCATCAGCTTCTGAGGAGGAAAGACCTGTTTGGCTCGCAGTTTCAGAGGTTGTAATCCATGGTCATTGGCTCTGTCGCTTTTGGATGTGGTGACACAGTGAACCCTGGAAGAAGGGAAGATATGGGAAGGAGAGGAGAGGAGACTGGGGTCCAAATACCTCAGGGGAGTGAGTGCCTTTAGTGACTCAACTTCTGTCACACAGCTGCCTCTTAAAGGTCCCGCTTCCTCCTGTTAGTGCCAAGGGCTCTCGGGGGATGTTTCACATCCTAACTACAGTAAGGGGGCTTCAAAAGGGACAGCTCCTCTCTGTGCTGTCAGTGGGCAGGAGGAAGAGGCTGCAGGTCATTTATGAGGTGACAAGGCTGGCTAGGAGGCATGGGTCACACTGGGGAGGACTTAGTATGTCTTGCTAAGGGGCTTATATGTTGTTAGATAAGCGCTTCTGGTGTGAAAAGAGCTGAAATCTGCCGTTGTGAAGGATGGGAGCCCCTGTAGAATTCTAAGCAGGGAAGTAACATGATTACATTTGCATTTTAAAGAGGGAGACAAAGGCAATTGAGTATAAAAATAAACCTCCTTAATCACACCATCACAGCAGAACAGCATTCCACGGGCACAGACTCTTCCAGCCTGATCACATGTGGGGATTTTACACAGTCGTAGACATTGCTGGACTCCATCTGCACTCTGTCTTGTCATGATGGGTGGTCTTCCTGAGGGTGCCATGGAGTTGGGGTGCTTGCATGTTTTAGCTCCACGGGGCTAGGACTTCCTTCATGCATCCCATCTGTCTGTTGGACATTCCCTTTATAGTGTTAAGTGATAATTATGACTATAGTCACAGTAGGTGCACCTAATCATTCCTTTTTTTGTTTGTTTGTTTGTTTGGTTTTGGTTTTGGTTTTGCGAGACAGGGTTTCTCTGTATTGTTTTGGAGGCTGTCGGTCCAGCCTGGCCTCGAACTCACAGAGATCCGCCTGCCTCTGCCTCCCAAGTGCTGGGATTAAAGGCGTGTGCCACCACCGCCCGGCTTGTTTTTTGTTTTTTTGAGACAGGTTTTCTCTGTGCAGCCCTGGCCATGCTGGAACTCACTCTGTACACCAGGCTGGCCTCAGACTCACAGAGACCCACCTGCCCTTGCCTCCAGAGTGCTGGGATTAAAGGCCTGTGACACTTTAACCACTGAGCATTCTCTTTTATAAATGCCACGTAGATAAAAGTACTTGTGCCTAGAACTTTCTAGGTTCTTGTTGACTTCTTCTCTTGGGTATGCTCTTATCAAGAAATGCTGGGATAAAGACCCTATACTCCCTTCCCCCCCATAAATGTTTCAATAAACTTTACTTTTCAGGATGCCCATCAGTCAACTTCCTGTCACTGTGACAGACCGGGGATAACCCACTTAAAGGAGGACAGCTTTGTTTTGGCCTCACAGGCTTTGGTCCATGTCTGCAGGCCCCCTCACTTTACGTGAGCCTAGTTGAGGCAGCAAACATCAGGGATAGGGCAGAGCAAAACTCATGGTGGATTATGTAGCCAGGAAGCAGAATGGCAGAAAGAGGGGAAGGGGCTAGGGTCCCAGGTAAAATTTCAACAATCTCACTCCCTTCCTCTGGATCTCGCTTCCCAAGGGTCCTCCAAACGGTGCCACATGCTCATGACAGCCTTTACCATATGGACCTTCGAGGGATTTAAGATCCAAACCATAGCAGAACGTTTAGATTTACAGCAAAGCTGAATGGCAGCTAGGAAGGTAGGGAGATTTGCTGTGTCACTGACTCCCCTCACCTCCCAGCCCCCCAGAGAACAATGTAATCTTGTACCCAAAGGCATGTTTGTTACCATTGATGAACAGATGCTGGCAGACTCTTGTCACCAGGGTACTTGGTTAGCACAGGGGTTCACTCCTGGTGTCACATAGTTTTTGACAAATACATAATGACGTGAATCACTATTAGAGTGTCATACATAGTGACCTCAATGCTCTAGAAATCAGCAGCGCTCCCCTTGTTAGTGCTCTGCCTGTCTGTCCCCTGGCAGCCACTCATCTCTTTCCCATATCTGTGGCGGGAGATCTCGTATTTGGAGACAACACGCAACCTTTCATGTAGGTTTACGTCACTTAGTAGCACACATTCAATCGCCTTTTCCTTGGTGGCTTGTTTAGGTTTTAGTGCTGACTAGTATGGCGTTGCCCAGATGCACCATTGTTTTATTCACTCGTTCCCTTCCAAGGTTTGGCAGTTATGAATAAGGCTGCCATTAACAACCATGTGCAGCTACTTATTTATTTTCAGTGCTGTGCGTCTAACCCAGGGCCTCCTACATGCTAGGCCAGCACTCTTCCCCTGAGCTACATTCTCGGTTTCATGGTAGTTTTTTCTGTGGACACAGATCTTCACGTCTTTGGGGTTGATCGCCAGGTCCTCAGAGTCAGCTTAACTTTTTAAGAAGTTGGCTAGCTGTCTCCCGATGTGGCTGTACCGTTTTCCACTCCCACCCACAATGAATGCTAGGTCCTGTTTCTTCTCTTCCCCATAGCACTTGATGCTGTCAGTGTTCTGCATTTTGGCCAATCTGACATTTTTTAAAATTTATTTTAACATATTTTAAATGCACTGGATTGCTGAGAAGTTTTTCTCTCTTTGTACCTCTGATCTGAACCCTGAGTCAGCCTGGCTCACCTGGAGAAATTCTGGGATTATCAGTCTATGATGACCTGTGGACAGGCCTGTGGCCACAGCGTGAATATGGGGTGTTGTGAGCACAGTGGTGTGCCCTTCTGAACCTCATCAGACCGACTCACCTACCCTCTGAGTAGAGATCAGATTCACGCAGGCCTTGGCTGCCTTCTTCAGGCTCACTTCTGTCAAAGCTGGGGGGACAGTGATTTGCCCAAGGCTGGTGTAATAGTTCTTTCTCATTGGAACCACCAGCCGCAAATAATGACATGGAGACTTATTATTAATTATGAAAGCTTGGCCTTTAGCTTAGGCTTGTTTCCAGCTAGCTCTTCTAACTTAATTAACCCATATTTTCAAGTCTATGTTCTGCCAGGTGGCTCTTTACTTTCCCTCAGTACTGCACTTCCGGCTTTCTCTGAGTTTACTGGTGGGATCCACCTGCCTGGATTCCTCCTCCCAGTTTGTCTCTCTGCTGGGAAGTCCCGCCTATCCTCTCCTGCCTGGTTATTGGCTGTTCAGCTTTTTATTAAACCAATCAGAAGGCACCTTAGGCAGAGACACCTCTTTACAGTGTGTGAAATGATTACCCCACAGCAGGGTAGGCAGGCAGGGGTGCCTCAAGCTCAGGATGGACTGAATCAGAAATACAGATGTAGGGTAAGTCCCCCCACCCATCCTGCCCTCCTCATGGTTTTGCAGTAGACGTGGAGATTTTACCTTCATGAGATTCACCACACTTCTGTTTGTCCCAAAGTCTGTGTTGAGGGAACCCAGTACTAGGTGACACTGATCTTCTTTCTTTTTTCTGAGGGGCTGTAGCCTCAGCTTCCTAAGTAGCAGAGCTGCTGAAGGTTGAGGTCTGGGGATCTGGGTGGGGAAGAGGGATCTGATCTCATCAGACATGGTCCTGTATAGGAGTGATGTCATATCTGACACTTCCTTGTCGTTTGGCTCCATTGTAACACAGAATACAATGTTGTGTCCCTGAGGGCCCTCAAAGGATTGTCCTTATCTTGGGGCCCATTGGGAGTATGGTTCCACCCTCCCCCATATTTCTCTTTCTCGAGACACGGTTTCTTTGTGTAGCTTTGGAGCCTGTCCTGGAACTTGCTCTGTAGACAAGGCTGGCCTTGAACTCACAGAGATCCACCTGCCTTTGCCCCCTGAGTGCTGGGATTAAAGGCCTGTGCTACCATCACCCAGCCACATTTCTCTTCTATTCAGAGCTATCTGGAAGACTTCCTGGGTAAGCCCTTTTCTCTACTTGCTCTTCCTAGCAGATGGAGAGGAAAGCATATTTCCGAATTCAAGATTACATCCCAGCAAGGCTTATTGAGCGGATGACAGCAATCCGGGTCCAAGTAGAAATCTCCGAGATGCACCGGCTCAGTTCTGCGCCCTGTGGAGAAGATGCAGAGCTGGAGTTCTTAGAGGTGAGGCCTCTGGAGTCCTGAGAGAGGTGTCAGGGTCCAGGAAATGTAGCCAGTGGTCCTTTCTGCAGACACATCTAGGGACCAGAAGGGATTAAATTTGCAAGGAGGTATAGGCAAGGGCTTAACCCACAAAAGGAAGAAGCTTTATCCTGAGGAACATGTAGACACTTCTGGTAACAGGTGGCATTAAAAATGGCCCTTCAAAAGAGGCAGACTCCCTCGGCTAAGCACTGAGCTGAACTCAAGAAAGCCAGTAACAGAGAGGGAGGACTGATGACCAAAGGGATTAAGACTGGGCTGGTTTAACCCCCAGAAACAGCTGCCCTGACAAGGGTTAGCTCTTAAATCCAGCATGGGACTGATCAAGACCCCCTGAATGGGGGTATCAGTGAGGAGGCCTAATTAATCTATTGAGCCTTGGGCAGTAGATCAGTATTTATCCTGGGTATACAAATGGACTTTGGACTCCCATCCAACAATGAGAGATGCACTCTCACCCTGAACTCTTGGGGGAGGGTCTAGGCCCTGCCCTGGATGAAATGACAGACTATGGACACCCCCATGGAGGGCCTCACCCTCCCTGGGGAAATGAGGGGATAATGGGGGGGGTTGGGGGAAGGGCACAGGAGGAGGGGAGGGAATGGGAGAGGGACCTGGAACTGACTTGTGAAGCAACCTTGTTTCTAATCTAAATTTACATTTAAAAATAAAAAAAGAGGGGAAAAAAGGAAAAAAAAAAAAGAAATGGCCCTTCAAAGGGATAGGCTAGGCTGGGTGTCACAGGACCTTGCATTGACCTCAGGGAGACATCTGTGATACTTTCCTGTGGGCAGGGAGACCTCACAGATGATACTGAGGTAGAGAACTAGGTGACAGGCTGGGTAGAGCCATCAGGTGACTCCTCAGTGTGCAGCCTTCTGAAGGGCTGTCAGCACAGCTGTGCAGGGTGCAGCTCCCTTCCGGTCCAACCTCTCCCCTCACCTCAGAGCAGCAGCACTTCAGTCTCACACACAGGGAGCACCCACAGTGAGGAATGCTTTTATGACTTCATTACCCCCCCCCCCCCACTGTCGGCCAGGTGCTGTGGGGGAATGGAGACGAGGGCATGTGTTCCCTATCCCTGGTGGGTCCCAGGTCTCAGAACGACAAGTGTTTGTCTAGAGGTGGGCACACTGTGCTGGCTGCTCAGAGAGGGCAGGACAATGCCAGAGCTGGTGGAATGAGGCAAGAGTAGCCTCTCTCCTTTACAGGTGCGCGAGCAGGGCGTGTGGGGACGGGAGGGTTTCGAGAAAAGGTCTGTGTGACTGGACCTTCAGACTTAGGGGACAGTTTCCAAAGGACACAGGGGGATGTGCACATTTCTCTGTATCTAAGCCTCCTAACTTGGGTCACAATATCCTGCCCATGTGTTTGTTTGTTTGTTGTTTGTTTTTGCCTTTAAGGAGATAAGTACTTGAGAGAAGAACTGCAAAAGCGAGGTTTTCTTTTTTCTTTGGCCAACCACCTAGGAGGCAGCCTGAGACCGTTTCATTGTCTAAGTCCCATCAGAAACACGTCCTGAATTCTGTAGTTCCATCTCACACATTCCCTGCCAAGAACATTCCCCTGATGAGGGGCCTGTGGAGAAGTCAAGGCTATCGGATGATGAATGGCCACAGAACTGGAGAGCTGAGTTAAGGCCAGGGACATCACCCTGCAAGCCACTGCTGTGGATGCATTGCTGCCTGCAGCCTGTCCCAAGCCCAGCTTTATGTGCCGGGCTACGCCATGCCCCTCCTTCTGCTGGTAGAACTGCGGGAAAGTGACTATAAAAATAGCTACCATCTTAGACGCAAAAGGCAGGAAACTGTTTTTTTCTTCTTCCTGTCTTTCACAAAAAGCATCGGGCAGATTTTGTTTCATTTGCACTCAGTGTTCATTCATGTTGAGACCTAATCTGTCTCCTATCCTTCCTTTTGGCGGCCTCCACACATGACTAACGCTGTAGGCTGCCTGTTCTTGGTACGGAGAGCTGAAGACAGAATGAACTTTGTAACCCGGAGCTCTCTGGGAGCATCTGTGTCACTGTGTGAGTTCTTAAAGTCTTCCCCTTCCCACATACTAAAGAAAACATTTCCCCACCATGCTATGAGTGAGCACACTGACATTTTGATATATTCATCCTTCTACATGCATCTATATATGTATACATACATATACATTTACAAGTAGGGTTGTATTATATAAATACTTCTATGTATTCATACTACCCATTGCAAAAAAATCTGAAAACTTTGAATCAATACACACTCCTCCTTCAGCACTGTAGTTTTTGCATTAAACAGTCCCAATATGCAATACTGAATTTAGTATTTTTGTATATCCATCATTGGCTATATTTCTGTTTATTAGGGCAAGAGTCTCATGAGTAGGGTCACACAGTGCTCAGTTCAACCACTGATGCTGCATATTGTTGAGCATAAGTTATATCCCACTTATCTCTGGATATTCCTTGTCCCTCTAACCAGGATGTCAATACCAGCAGTGCCCTGAATTCACAGAGCCCACTGCAAAGCCATTGTACCACAAATAATCACTAGATATTTAATTATAGCTCCTTTAGGCTCGTCTTTTTCATAAAAAGCGGGAAATCATTCCCAGGTGGCTGCCTGCTGGCTCGGTTGACGGATCCTGTACTCTGCCAATTCATTTCCTCCCACGGGCAGCAGAATTGGCAGCAGTCCAATGAACACCACCTTTGGTCTGGGAGATTCACAGCTGTGTGAGTGTGTGAATCCCTGATCAGCCTATTCAAGGTTAGCTCATTATTTTCCAGATATCCTCAATATGACCGGTTCCCACTCAACTAGGTATTGCGATGTGACATGAAAACAATTCCAGTTGCCTGTTGGAATCATATTGATTAAATTCTGTATTTTCTTTCTCTCTTTGGCATTAATGAATGCATTCCCTGGGTGTTACAAGCATTTTGACCTTCACTGCCTGGGAGGTAGGCTCCCTAAACCTATCCCTGCAAGCCTGCACCAAATTAGGAACAGAATTATGAGAAGTATTTGTCTGGTTATGCAGCACGTTTTCCTGGAGTGCATTCTCAGAAGTGGAATTATAGGGCCCAAGCATAGGAGTTGCTGTGGATTAGGAAGAGCAATCCATTGTGACCCACATTTTTCAGGACAGCAAGGGACAGTCAGGAGTGCTTGGCTCCTGTTTCACATTGCTATCGGCTGCTGGGAGAACAGGGAACCATGGAGGGACGGAAGGCACCATGGAAGGCAGGAGACTGATACTGTTATTTCACTTTGAACAGATTGAAGGTACCCCAGAAGACACTATGCCTATTTATCTTTGTTCCCAGTCTTCAGGAATACTCTGAAGTTTAGTTGTTGAGAGTGAGTTCTTGGGATCAAACAGATTCCTCTAGTGAGATTCCCATTCCTGCCTCCAGGGAATCTAGGCTGGCTACTTGCATCAGTTGAATGACTTGTCTCTCAGATACAGGAGAATGTATTTATGATTTTTACTCTTGCTTTTTTAAGCTTGCTAAACCAAAAGTTTGAACATTATATCTAATAACAGAAAATTTTTCTGATACATGTAGTAAAAAGAAATTGAACTATTATTTCCAAATTGAACCACATGAGTATAGCCACGTTGACTCCAATGTATTGCCACAAACTGCTTTCATGGCCCTGTACCTTGCTTTGTATTTGTTCCAATGGGGCTTGATGCTTTAGGCATTTACATCAAGAGGGACAGAAAACAGAAGTTGGCATCACATGGGTAACTGAGCATATTGGAAACAAAGGGAGGCTGAATGTCCTTAGTCACAGCCAGCAAATCTGTGTGAATGTGGACCCAGGCTGAACTATGAACTTCTAAAGAGGCAATGAAGTAGTCTTGGCAGAACAGCTCCCGACAATGTCCAAGTGACATACAGCTGCTTAATGGAGAATAGCTGTGCCATAAAAACCCTTTCATCCCTCACCTGAGCACCGTCCTAATGATGCTTGGTTGTGTGACCAAACAGGACTTGTCACATGGCAAGTGATGACTGGGAGCATCAAGCCTTTTCAGGTGCCGTGGTTACTGGTTACACGCTTTGTGAGAGCAAATACAGATTTAAAAACAGGAAAGACTGCAATTCCTGAAATGTCAGTAGCTATTTTCTTTGTGTGGTGGGTGTTAGGTTGTTTTTGAGTCAGGGTCTCTCACTATGGCCTGGTCTTGTCAATTAAGCTAGGCGAGATGGCCTGTGATCCCACCACATCTGTGTTAACAGTCCTCAAGTACCACGGCCTTTTCAGAATCATTAGAAAACAAAAATGAAAAGTTGATGCTAAACTGTTAGAAAGAAAAGGTTCAGGAGAAAAAGCAAGTTTAGAAAAGGCATCTTTATTTTCCCAGTGACTATTTCGGTGCTTTAAAACAATGTTCATCAAATTCCTTAACAATGCCCCCGCTGTCTTGGACAGCTTCTCTTTGTCATATTTTAATCAATGTCCTGCTCAGCCATGGATATTTCAATACAAGTGCTCAGCACTTTTATTGGGTGGCAGTGGTGATGATGATGATGGTGACGATGATGGTTATGGTAACAACGATTATGACAGTGATGACAGTGTCTTTTTCAAGCTGAAAGCAGGAGGCTTAACATCCAGACATTCAATCAGAATCTCACAGAAAGCCAGGGTATTTTCAGGCTCAGTAATTACTCCTCCACAGGAGAGAGGTCAGAAATGAGTTTGAGAATAATTAACAGAATTTCTAATTGGTCTCCATCTGTAACTAAGCCTAGGAATGAGGAAGATCATACAGACAGGACGTGGCAGTCTTCTGGGGATAGAGACGTGGCGCCAGATCTCACCAGTGAAGCCTGTCTGAGAGGCTCTCAGATGTCTGGAGCAGGAAACCCTTCCTGCAGATCTGTGTGCAGCAACCTTCTGGCATGGACTTCCTGGCCATGGGATGACTCTTCAGTCAATAAGACAGTGGTGTTGAGTTCACATCTGAAACTCTCTTGAGAACTCAAGTGGCCCGATGTAGCCACCAGTTTCGGTTAACCCTGGCTCTTTTGCAAAATTCAGTCCCTTGGCTTGGTAAACCGAGGCAAGAGATGGGGCTGTGGGGATCCTACAGGGGTATTGCTGAGTGGAAAGGCATGTTGGAGTGGCAGGCATTTCCCCTGCAGATTGCTCTTGGCTCAGCCTGCTTTGACAGCCTTGATAATGACCTGAAGGCTACTTTTTGTGCCCACGCCTCAGCTTCTGCAACTGGTACATGAAAAGATGGAACTGGATGATTGACACAATGGGGGAAGGGAAGCCCTAACCCTGAGACGTCCCAAGAGATTCTGAATCGTAAGAAACACTCACTCACCATCTTTTCATCCTTGTGTCCTGTGTTTATAAGAATGCATCCCCAATGTTTCTAGTAATTCTGCAAATAAAAGATTCTTTAGGTTAAAAATAAAAATAAAAATTTCATCATATCAAAGGTTTATAGATTCCAGAGTGAGAAAAAATGTCTAGCTGGATGTTGTTGCTTTGGCAACAACAGAAGGGGTTGAGGGTCACGATTCTGAACCAGCCAACTCGTGGGCCCTAAGTTGTCCTTTTCCTCCATCCAGATTGTTCAGCAACTCCCAGAATATGGAGTCCTGGTTCACCGGGTTTCTCCAGAAAAGAAGAGACCAGAAAGGGAAATGGCCTTGGGGGTCTGTGCCAAAGGTGTCATAGTCTACGAGGTGAAAAGCAGCCGCAGGATCGCAGCGTCACAGTTTCCATGGAGAGAAACCGGGATGATCTCCACTCATGTGAGTGAAGCTCAGTTGCTAGCCGCCCATGCCTCCCTTCTCTTTGATCTGCATCCCCTTTAAGTGAAGCGGCAACACCAATCCTTCTTGATGTATTCACATACAGCCTGTCATCAGCTAACCTGCATTCTGGTGCAGTGACATGTTTGGGAAGACCAAATAGAGCAAATACTTCAGGGGTGGGGTCCGATGATCCCCAGGATGTCTCCCCCTGCCTCCCACCCCACCTTTTGTCATGTTCTCTTGCCAGTTTGCTCACAAGCCTCCATAAATAGCCTGTAGCCTAAAGTGCTACACTTCCCTCCATGCATTCTCCTTAACCCGAGGAGCCCATCTGTGGCCAAAGATAGGACAAGGGGGATCCAAAGGAAGAGAATGCAGTGAAGGTTGAGTGGAGCGTGCAAGGTTTTGAAACATCTGCCCTAAGATGTTTGTTTTCTCATTACTAGGCCATTTTTTAAATTAAATCTGGGAAGTCATCAAGTTCATAAACTCAAAGCAACTGTTTAATTAGGATCTCTGTATCCTGATGATCAACTTCCTCCTTGGCACGAATATTTTTGTTGGAAAAGTCATTCTGTGCAGTAATTTCACCTGCTGCTTCTGGCCAATAAGCATCTTCCACAGAACATGGCTCTTTGTGCATCTGCAAGTAGTGAGCGATGGAGTACTGTGAGATTGGTTCAGGAGTCTAGCTTCGGTTTTGTTTACTAATAGCTGGAGTCAAGATGCTCAGTCACGCCTCTTTCTTCTTTTCATCCTGCAGGGAAGTAGCCAGGGAAGGAGGATGCTCTTTTCTTTTCCTTCCTTCGTCCTTTCTTTCCTTCCTTCCCTTCCTCCTTCCTTCCTTCCTTCCTTTTTTGAGACAGGGTTTCTTTGTGTAACAGTCATGGTTGTCCAGCAACTCCCTTTGAAGACCAAGCTGACCTTGAACACACAGAGATCTGCCTGCCTCTGCCTCCCAGGTGTTGAGATAAAAGGTGTGTGCTACCACCGCCTGGCAAGGATGCTGTTTTCAAAGAATATAATTCCTGGATGCTTTGGCATCTATGTATACTTGATTGTTCAATCAAAAACCATTTCTTCTAGAACAAGGACCTAATGGTGTTGGTAATTGCAGGGTTTTCAAGTATAAGTTCTAACCTCTGGAGATGAAGGCATGGAGCAGAACAGACTATACAGGACTATACATGGCCCTCTTTAAGCAAAAGATACAAAATTGCAAAAAGCAGCTACATCATGAAAGGGAATGTTGCTTAGAATAAGAAAGAGAACCCCCAAAGTTGAAGATTTAAGAAAACCAGAGGACATACTTTTAAATAGTGCACATGCCAGATAAACATTTCTCTAACTAACTTCCTGGCAAAACCTGTAATGCTCTCTCTTTTCAAATTTAGGGTGGTGTGTCCCTTTCTTGTTTTTCATATGACAGCATTTTATAATGTCATTTTATCCAGAGGGAATAAAAATACAGTTTAAATATCTTTTAGTATGGCCGAGGTAAGCTAGGTAAAGCATGCAGTCTGCACAGAGAAACACTTGCTCATTGTGGGTTGTTAGAAGTTATTGTGCTGCAAATGCAGGGATTATTTGGGTGCTGCGGGTGGTGGTAGTGTCCTGGGGATGGTACTAAGTGTTCTACCAATGAACTATAGCCCAGTTCCAAGTGCTGGCAATCTGAGAAATCCCATCTTATTTGTTTCCTATTAAAAATAAATGTGGTGTGATCCGGTATTCTTGAGAACTAAATTCTAGTTTTCAATTTATGATGACTGTGAAAGTTTGCCTCAGAGCAGTCACGGGCTCTGTACATTTCTGCTGCCTCCTAGGAGCCCAGTATCATAGCACATGGTTAGTTTTAAATGGCTGCTGGTCCTTGTGCTGAGACCTGCATGTTTTGCCCAAGGGAGGTGCGTTCTGAGACACCTGACCACAGAGTAGCCATTGTAAAAGATAACTGTAAGTGGCACAGAGACAGATGCTAGCAAATCTGAAGTCGCTTCCACTCATTTCGTTTTGTTTTTCCTTAGAAGGATCTACTCCCAGTCCACCCAGTACTACCCAGTGGGAGAGTCGAATTAGTGAGAAGAGTGTGATGTTTTTCCCCTCTCTCAACTTATAATGGATGCCTGAGATAATTAGCTTATAAATGCGGAAGGTTTATGCTGCTCACAGTCTCATATGGTGTTTATCGTGCTGCTCTGAGCTAGTGGTGAGGCAGTACATCATGGCAGGGAGCTGGGTGGACACTTACATATCGCGGCCAGAGGGCAAATAAATCAAGAGAGAGACTGGGGACTTAGTGCCATCATCAAGGGTGTGCTCTCATGTCCTAGCTTCCTTCCCTGAGGCTCCACCTACTAAAGGCCCAACTCCCAACTGTGCCCCTCTGAAGACCAAGCCTGTGCTTAACGTATGCCCCATTTGATGGATTTTTAAGAACCCGATTAGAGCAGAGGGAGAAGGGGGGGGGCAATGGTCTTAGCCAACTGTGGTGGAGACAGGCTGCCTTCCAATATTAGCAGAACATGTACACACACAGCCAGGGCTGCTCCCAGAAAGCGTGTCACCAGGTGAGGGTGCTGGAGCTTCTGCTTCATGAGCCCTGTTCATGGACACATCTGTCCGTGTCTGGAAGGATGTAATTGCGATGACGCAGGGAAAGAAACAGGCGAGCAAGCAAGTGGACTGAGAACAAAGTAATAACGGCATTGAAGCTCCCGGGCATAAGCTGTTTCAGAATGGGAAAGCGACGCTAAGGAGCAAGCAGAGCATCGAGGAAGGACCTGCGACAATAGGAGTCTAGGAAAAGATGCCCAGGGTTGTGCTAAAAACCCCGAGGTTAGAGCTCTGTACTCTTATTGTGCCCTTATTCAAGGAGCAGCTTGCCCTCAGGCAAGTGTGCTGTGGATATGAATTCTATTAGGTGGTGATAAACAGACATAAACTCCAATCCACTACCATCAAGAGCATCATTAGACCCATGTCCAGAGACAGATTAGTTCCATTTCTGCTGCTATGATAAAACACCACAGCCAAAAGCAATTGATAAAATTGAAAGTTTATTTGGGCTTAGAGTTTCCAGAGGGACCATCTATAATGTCAAGGAAAACATGGCATAGTGGCACATGCAGGAAGCTGCTGAGAGTGAACAGGAAGTGGGGGTAAAGTTATGAAACTCCAAAGCCCACGCCCAGTGATGTACTTTCCCCAGTAAGGCTTTACCTTCTAAAGGTTCCATAGCAGCACTACCAATGGGGAGACCAAGTGCTCAAATACACAAGACTCTGGGGCGCTTTTCTTCCAAACCACCATACTCCTGGAGCGCTGGCATCCAACGGGAGAGTTTTGTTAATAGTTAATACATCGAAAGAAGCTCTCTCCTCTCTCTCTCTCTCTGTCTCTCTCTGTCTCTGTCTCTCTCTCTGTCTCTCCTCTCTCTCTGTCTCTCTCTGTCTTTGTCTCTCTCTCTGTCTCTCCTCTCTCTCTGTCTCTCTCTCTGTCTCTCTCTCTCTCTCTGTCTGTTTCTCCCTTTTCAGATTTGTTTGAGAATGACTATCAGATTTTATTTTTATTTATTTTACTGATTGATTAATCGATCGATTGATTGATTGAGACAAGGCCTCATTATGTAGCCTGGCTGGATTATAGATTTACCTGCCTCTGCCCCTTGAGTGCTGGGATTAAAGGAGTGTGCCACCACACCCATGGTGTGGAGTCTGAGGATTCTAAATCTGTTTCTAGACTCCAGGATTCCTAGATCATGCTTAGGGTAAAGAATAATGAGTCCTCATTCTGTAGCCGTGAAGACAAGATGTATAAATGCTCACAAAATTCTTAGCTTAATTCTAACCTGGGTACCTTTAGTGGGACCTTTTGCCTTAGCTATGACAGAAATTAAAACAAGTGAAATTTTATTGTAGAAAAGAATCAAGGCAGGGGAACCAGAAACAAAGATCTGGGTTACAATATGTGGAGAAGGGTTTCTGTGTTCATGCTTTTTCCAGATAAGGGAGGAGGCTTCCAGTATGCATGCACCACTCACACACTGCTCAAAAGACTGCTGTATTATTGTTCTATCTCTCCCTTGGGAAGCTTTCACTATGCTAATGTAGCATAATGAGGCATAATGAGGATCCGGGTCAGTTCCCCTTCAGTTTCCGTGTTGCCTTGGTTCTGACTACAGCTCCATTTCTCTCCGTGCATCTGCCTGCTAGTCTTCTGTGGGCTCCCTGCCTCATCAGAGCAAGAAGCTTGGAGCTTGTACAGTAAAAGCAGCGGGGATGCTTGCTGGCCATTTTGTAATGTACTTGTGAAGACCAACTGTCCACTGATTCATCTCATGTTCTTTCTGTCCAGCACACTCCTTGACAGTGGCAATTAAACGATAAGCATTGGGCTCACAAATGAAGAAGGAAAACAAATAGGAGGGTTTTGTTTAGCCATTGTCTAAGAAGTTGGGCCTTTGTCAGCCATTAACCTGCACTTCGGGAACCATGTTGATATTGAATTGAGGAGCTGATCTTTTATTGCTATTTATATACCTGTACTTGAGGGAGGGGTGAGGATGGTCAGGATTCTAAGTCTGTGCTTGATTCCTCCAGAGAAAAAAGCTCACCATCACCAGCAGCATCACTGGGAAAAAGTACACCTTTGTCACTGATTCAGCCAAGACCTGTAAATATTTGCTGGACCTCTGCTCTGCCCAGCACCGGTTTAATGCACAGATGGGCTCTGAGCAGCCTCCTCATCTTGTAAGTGGTGAGTATGTACTGTACCAGCAACACACAAGCGGACAGGCTTGCTCGCTCATAAAATAATTTGTATGAAAAGATGTAGTTGACCCCCAAATAGCTGAAAAGTCTAAAATCATAGCCAACAATGACAGAAACACAGTAAAAATGAAGTACAGATTTTATTCTCAGACTGACGACAGTGAAAATGACACTGGAAGGAAAAATGGATCAATCTTTCCAGAACACAACTGGAGATCTGTCTGTCTGTCTGTCTGTCTGTCTGTCTGTCCGTCTGTCTGTCTCCTCTTTCTCTCCCCTTCTTCCTTCCCTTCCCTCCCTCTGTCCATCCATCTAACTTTGCAAAAGCTGAAAGGTCTATATCCCTTTGAACTCTCAATTTTACTGTAGATATTTATCCCGAGGCAGTAAGTAAGGAAGTTTTAGTGGAACTGTCCATGGTACAGTGCTGAACTTTAAGGGCAAGGGAGGAGTGCAGTATTTTAATGGAACATCTCCACCCTTCAGTAGGGGGCGGGGCACCAGTCAGGTGTAATGTCGAACCAGCTAAATGGTAGCAGGAGTAACCTAGAAATTAAACCTGTCATTTTGCTTAGGTTTTAGTGATTTATGCTTAAATTTAAATGGATAGCTTATGTATATTCATGTGGTTAACATTCACATGTTTTAAAACAAGAACGAATACAGAAATAAACAAAACCAAATTTTTTAAATTAATTTTTTAATTTATTCTACTTACTTACTGACCATTACTGACCACAGTTTCCCCTCCCTCCTGCTCCCCCTCCCACCTACCACTCCCAGGGACAGGCCTCCCATGGGAGTCAACAAAGCCTGGCACATCAAGTTGAGGCAGCATCAAGCTCCCCCACCTCCTGCATCAAGTCTGGGTGAGGCAACCCAGCATGGAAAATAGGTTCCCAAAAGCCAACTCAAGCACCAGGGAGAGGTCCTGATCCCACTGCCAGGAGCCCCACAAACTACACAACCGTCACATACATGCAGGTTACGTCAGTCCCATGCAAGGTTCCTAACTTGGTCTAGAGTCTGTGAGCTCCCACTAGCTCAGGTCAGCTGTCTCCGTGGGTTCTCCTGTCTTGACTTTGACCCCTCCTGGTTCCTACACTCCCTCCTCCCTCTCTTCAGCAGGACTCCCTGATCTTGTCCCAGTGTTGGGCTGTGGATCTCTGCATCTGCTTCTATCAGTTACTGAATGAATGCTCTCTGATGACAATTAGGGTAGTCACCAATCTGATTAAAGGAGAAGGCCAGTTCTGACACTCTATACACTATTGCTATGATTCTTAGCTGGGATCGTTCTTGTGGATTCCTGGGGTTTTCCCTGGCACCAGCAAAACCAAAATCTTACTACCTTAAGGAGTTACATATGCTAGCATGGCTATTTTCTTAATATTTTCAGTTTTAAATTTTACCAATGAGGGTGTATTACTGATATAATTAAGAAATTAATGGCTTAAATAAGGCCATGCAGTCACATCACACTAGCTAGTGTTTACTGAATATGTACTATGGAGCCATTGAATACTCATTTGAGGGCTGGAGAGATGACTCAGTGGTCAAGGCACTGACTGCTCCTTCAGAGCACAGGGTTTGATTCCCAGCACCCACACAGCAGCTCACAATCATCTAAAGTTCTAGTGTCAGGGGATCCCAAGCCCTCTTCTGGCCTCTGAGGCCAGCAGGCATGCATGTGGAAGACATACGTGCAGGCAAAACACCCAACCCCCCACATAAAGATTTCATTTATGACCTCAACACACAGTATCTCACAGCCTTCCCAGCTCTAGTGTGGAACAGAGGTGTGACAAATAGGAAGTGCTATATACATGCCATTTATTTATTTATTAACAGATTAATTTAGAGTCAGTCTTTCTGTGTAGCCCATGGTAGCCTTAAACTCATGATTTCCCAGTCCTGGCCTTCCAGGTGCTGGATTTTAGGCATATACTACAGAGTCTTCCTCTAATACCTGTCTCTTGGATGGAAGGATGAGTAGATGGACGGGAAGATGAATGGATGGATGGGGGATGAATGAATGGATGGGGGATAAATGGATGGATGGAGGAGTGAATGAATGGATGGGGGATAAATGGATGGATGGAGGGGTGAATGGATGGATGGAAGAGTGAATGGATGGATGGGAATGAATAGATGGATGGGGGATGAATGGATGGATGGGGATGAATGGATGGATGGGGGATGAATGAATGGATGGGGGATAAATGGATGGATGGGGATGAATGGATGGATGGGAATGAATATATGGATGGAGGGATGAATGGATGGATGGGGGATAAATGGGTGGATGGAGGGGTGAATGGGTGGATGGAGGGGTGAATGGGTGGATGGAGGGGTGAATGGATGGATGGGAATGAATATATGGATGGAGGGATGAATGGATGGATGGGGGATAAATGGGTGGATGGAGGGGTGAATGGATGGATGGAGGGGTGATTTGTATGGAAATAAAACTAATTAACCATTTCCTCTTGATATATATATATATATATTTCAATATTGCAAATGCAACTGTGACAAACATCATTAGAAAAATATTTTTTTCTGGCTTCCATGTCACTTCTTAACCTCAGAAGTATAACTTTGGGCACCAAACCAGGGAATTTTTAAGGCCTTGCTGTGACTCTGAATGTCATGCTGAAATGTGGAGCTCCTTGCTTTCCAACTTTATTTTTATTTTTAATCTAGAAGAGTAGATGCCACTGCATTTTGAGTGTTCATTTGACAGGCAAAAATGATCTCTCACTGTGGCTTTGTTTTGCTTCTTTGGTGGGTGAAAAGTTGAACATTTTCCAAATGTCTCTTAGCCATCCTTCTGTGAATTGTCTCAACAGACACATTATTTCATAGTTATATTTGAATCCCTGGGGATAAATAAAATCTCCAGCTCCCACAAGTGCACAGTTCCAGGATAGAATCAGGCAAAATGTGTCATCACTACCCAGTGGGCCCAAACCTTTTCACAGCCCTTTTTGTGGGTGTGTCCTGTATGTGGGATGTGCTTGGCCCTTCTCTGAACCTATGCTTGCAGGACTGCCCTAGTGCTGCCCAGGCTCTCACCCCTGTGACTTTTTCCTGGTAGCCATAGCTCAGGATGCCTCCTGGGTGTTTGGGATGCTATAACTCACTTGGACTTGAACCTTAACATCCAGACAGAATCAGACATATGTCAGCTGCTTTACTGGTATTAAAATTATATTGTGGAGTCACCCACAGCCAGCAGAAAGACACCTCCGTCTTAGCAAGCCAGTGTCTTTGGGACAGTCTCGGCAATCCTTGCTTCTAATCTTGAGACACTAGCACTCTTGGCTCTCGTGCCTGCCTTCTGGTGCACTAGTAGAGCCCATGGAGTTGATGCCTGCTGACACTGGTACCCTCATTCCTGGTGACTCTATCCTGTGCATGGAACATGCCGTGTGGCATTGGTGCCCTGCTCGTGCACAGTCTGTCATGCTGACTATTAGCCTCCATGACCTCCATCCTTCACCTTAACACGTGACCTCTATCCTGCACACCAAGGCCTGCTCAACTCCCAACATTCTCTGGGAACATAGCTCCTTAAGAACCAGGCATTGGGGCTCTTACTCCTCTGCTCCCTTCTGTGAGTCCCCTTCTCTAGGGGACAGCTGCTTCCTGGAATGCCAGTCTCTGTCCATCCTGTTTCAAACCACTAGGTTTCTCTGGAAGACTGACCTCCACTATCTCTGCCTAGAAAAGCCTTTCAGTTGTTAAGTGCTGCATCCACCATGGTTAAGGACAGGTCCCTGTTCCTTCAGGACTTGGTGATGAGAAGGCTGGAGTACCTATGGGGATCTTTGGTGGTGCTGCCTGTGGCTGGGTGTCTGTACCACTCTCACTATGCAGTGTGGACTGTGGAGCCGGTGGACTAAGTGTAAAACCTGCTCCACTACTACCCAGCCTTGGCACCAGGAGAAAACCATCCCTTCTCAAATTTTCTTATCTGTAAAATGGGTACACTTTCCACCCCAGAGAGTTAAGGTGAGGACTGTGTGAGACAGGGGAAGTGACAATGCTTGCCACTGATTCTGTCACATGGGACACATTTAGTCAGAACTTGCTGCCAGTATTACCTTGTTCCTGACAGACGCAAGTTCTGGAGTAAGACTATAAAACCTGTGCAAAAGCTACAGGCCATATTCAAATTACTCACACTGCCCCTCCGTTTCTTGTTCACCTTATGGAAGGGGTGATATCACAGTCCGTTTATACTCCCGAATTCTCAACAAGCAATTCATTTTAGTGGCTAGCTTGTTCAGGGTGAACAGCCCTGGCAACAAGCCAGAAAAGAGGGGGTCTGCTCAAGTGGTTACATGTTCCTCATTGTCTCCTTGCAGAGGTGTTTTACTGAGCGTGCACACATGCATTCACACACATCATAACACAGATACAAACACTTCCGCCTCTGATAGCCATGTCACATATGCACACCCCACATGTGTGCAAAGACAACTGAGAGACATGCATGTGATGCATGTCCCATCTGCAACTCCACCCACATGCACATGAAGATGCCACATACTTATATATATATATATGCATATATATGTGTGTGTGTGTGTGTGTGAATGCTATACATATAAAAAAAGAAGAAAAGAAAGAGGGTGGCCACGGATACTGATTCTACTCCTTCCTTCTTGGTTTCAGTAGGGAACAGATGGTCCAAAGACAGTCAACATTTTACTTTCTCCAAATATAAAAGAAAGCTAGGTATGGTGGCTCATTCTTGTAATCCCAGCACTTGGGAGGTGGAGGCAGATGTATCAGGAGTTCAAAGTCATTCTTGACTATAAAGAAAGTTCCTCACCAGCCTGGACTCCAGTAAACCCTCTCTCAACAACAGAACAACAAAATGAACAAATAAAAACCCTAACAACAGCACAATAGGTGCAGTTTTGAGCAAGGTCTTGTTAACCTAAGAGATCTTTTAGTACAATCTCAATTTCCTATGAATAATACAAACAGCGAAGGAGGCATCCCTAATGATCATAGTCTCATCACTGGAGGCATTTATAAGAAGGGGGAAAGGACCGCATCAGAGCTGAGGGTCCACACTTCTAATGTGTTCTTATATATCTGGCAGGGAACTCTTACATAGACTAATACTGCCAGAGCAAAGTAAGTTGCATAGAGATTAAAGATTATATTCCACAGGAAGAGCCTGATTTGGGGTCTGAGTGCTTTGATATGGGACTGTTTGCAAGGGTAGATCTTTGAGGATGAACGCAGAATGAGGTGTGGCCTGCTGGAGCTGTGAGTGGCACCAGCTGGAACAGGTTCCTGGATGCCACTCTGTCAACTACAGGACCATTTCGCCTCTCAGGCTTCTGAAGCGTCTTTGATTAGCAAGTGCTGCTTAGAAGGATTGCATTTTCAGGGGAAGCCACAATGACTCCCCCCAGGTTAGCAGGAGGCAGAGTGTCAAGGCTGTCAGTGCAGAAAAAGAGCTAGGAAAGGGGAGTCAGGTCCGGAGTGTATGGTTGTGTCAAGAGCCGTGACTGAACCCGTGTAATCTTGTGTGTGTGCGCCTGTCTTTTATCGCCCAACTCAGATCAGGATACGTTTGTACAAATGAATTCTGCACACCAGACACAGGCCAACCCTCTCGCTTGGATTCCGAAACTCTCGTGCTCGGACAATGAGCTCTGTGTACCCAGGTTGCCGAATGCCGCGGGAGGCAGACTGAGCACATCCATGGAGAATGTTCAGGGAGGCAAGGAGACCAGGATGGAAGGAATCAGAAGCAGGTGGGCTTTACCTTTCTTCAGAGCCAAGACTACCAGGTGCGTGGTGGACCCGAACTTTCAGTGCTTGAAGCAGGTTTCTTAATGCCAAAGCAACGCGTGTGCTCACTGGGTTGCCCTGTACTTGATTCAGAGACTGACTGTAGACCACTACAGTGATTAAGCTGTTGGCCTTGGGACCAGGTCTCACTCCCATTTCCTCTGTTCTTACCTTCTGGTAGAGAAAGAGCTGTGTGGAAATGGGAAGTTTAAGAAGGTAACATTGGCAAATGTCACCAACCACCTTCGGAATAGCATAAGGCAGGTATCACTGTTCTTGGAGCTCGTTCTCCAACCCACACATCTCTGTGAAGTTGGTTTTGTCATTGTCTCTGTCTCCCAGGAGGGAGACTGAAGGGCTAGGACTTAATACCAGCAGTCCTTCTGGAGACTGTGCTGGTCAGCCTGACATGCTACTTTCCGGGATGATGGCTTGCTGTTTGAATCCGAATGCGAAAGCAATGGACTCATAAATGCGGTGTTCATTGTAAAACAATGATCCGTACGTTTAAAAATAGCCTAGACTCGGATTACACTTACAAGGCAAGTTACATAAATAGCACCGATTCCCAGGCTGTGTACTGAGGAGGGGGTGGAGTGGCAGGATCCGCTTTTGGGGGAAGATGAATTATACATCTGCTTCAGCAGGAGAGAACGGATGATTCACTTGAGCTGGAATACATGCATATACACAGACACCCTAAAGTAATACTTAGAGAATTATTGCCCCAATTCTGCTGATGCAAACACACCTCACTACGCAGTACAAAATCAATTAATAACGAGAAAGCAAAACTCTTTCTAGTCTCCATGGCAAACCACCCCAAGAACAGTGGTGTAGCCCAGCAGCCATCTTGTTATTCTGTTTCACAACTTTGTGGATTAGAAGAGGAGGCAAAACTCTGCTTTGTGTGATACTGAGAGCATCATGGGGGTCACCAGCAGTGCCCTCTGTATACAGGGCATCATGGGGTTACAGCAGTGCCTGCTGTATACAGGGCATCATGGGGTTACAGCAGTGCCTACTGTATACAGGGCATCATGGAGGTCATCGGCAGTGCCCGCTGGGTTATTCTTCATGCTGGCACTCTCTCGTCCCTTTGCAGCCTCAGGAGGCCCTTCCCATGCAGTGCTGCTCTGGGATCTGAGAATTTGGGAAGAACTCACCAATGGTCATAGCATGTACCCCAGAGACAGTGTGTCCTCATTTCTGCCATCACTCCTGGGCTCATACAAATTCAGAGGGACTAGGCATGGGCCTCATCTCAATGTGTGAGTGTCAGTGGGTTTGTGGAACCTTTTATCTGTCACTCCTTGGTCTAAAGTACTTTGTAGCACTGCGCTATTTACAAGCAGAAGCAGGACTGTGAAGAGACAGCACCCAGAGGTGCTTGCTGCCTTGCCTAACAATGCAAGTTAGGCACATAATGGAAGGAGGAACTCCTTAAGGTTGTCCTCTGACCTGTACACACACTGTAACATGTGTGTGTCCCCATACAGGAACACACACACACACACACACACACACACACAATCTAAAATGTAAAGAAAGAAAATGCAGAAGTTAACTATGACCTACTACAGGCCATTGTGTTAGCTTTCTGTTACTGTGACAAAATACCCCAGGTATTAAACTTAAAAAGAGGTAAGGCTAATTCTGGCTCGCCGTTTCAGTCTATAACCAGCTGGCCCCACTGATTTTGGATCTGTTATGAGCAGCACATCACGGCAGGAGTTGGTGCTAAAAGAAGCCCATTTGTTTCCAGCGGGTGGCAAAGAAAGGCTGGCAAGAGGAAGGAACTGGGGGTCTGCGGTCTCATTCCTCTAAGACCTCTGTGGATGTTTGGGTAGGAAGTGCCTTTCAAAATCTCCCTTACACTTAACATTGCTTCCTGCCTGGCGACACTATTTTGGGAAGTGCTGGAAACTATAAGGGATGTGATTTAGTTAGAAGTACGTCACTGGGGACAGGTCCTTAGGGGTCCATTGTACAGTGTAGCCTTCCTTGTCAGCAGCCTAGGCCCTGCCACAGTTGCAGTCCCCAAATAACTCACAGGACACTGTATTAATTATGAACCTGTTGACGTTTGGTTGTTTCTTACTGGCTAGCTCTGACTTAAGTATTTAACTCATAATTGTTAATCTAAGTATTTCTCTTACCGGAGAAAGGGGTCCGGACCTCTTATTCCTATGGTGGCTACATCATGACTGCCTGTGTCTCTCTTTCCCAGAATCCCCCTCAACTCCAAGTCCCACCTATCTTGCTTCCCTATTGGCCAACAGTGCTTTATTGACATATACACAGGGCTTCCCCATCAGTCCATTGTCCCTCATCCTGTCTGTCTCTCTCCATGGCCTATCTGCATGAGGTGAGCAGCCTCTGCCATGTGCTCCCGTGATGCTCTCCTCTGCCCTGGTGACACTCAGCCCTGCAGAGGCCTGTGGCTTGAAACCCCTACTCTGAGCCACTACAAATCCTCCATCCCTTACGTTGCTTCTATCACAGAAACACAATCCGTCTAAGACAACCTGTTGCCAAGCCTTACCTCTAAAGTTTCTGCTTCCCAGTAGACCCAGAGCAGGGGCCTGAGCCTTTAACTACACACCAGCCCTGGAGGACACTTACTGAAATCATAACAACCACCTAAGAAATGTCTCAACAGCATGGCAGCCATGAGCACAGTGGGGCTTGTAGGAACTTTTCAGCATTGCCGGGCAGCCTGCACTCTAACAGGAAGCTCAGCCACTCCTCTAAATCATGATGCCTCGGAACTACTTTTTTGTTTTGTTTTGGTTTTTTTTTTGTTTTTCGAGACAGAGTTTCTCTGTGGCTTTGGAGGCTGTCCTGGAACTAGCTCTTGTAGACCAGGCTGGCCTAGAACTCACAGAGATCCACCTGCCTCTGCCTCCCAAGTGCTGGGATTAAAGGCGTGCGCCACCAACGCCCGGCTCGGAACTAATTTTTAAATGTCCACTTTTCGCAGTTCCTAACAACTCATGTCAGAGGAGGTTGCTGGTGACCTTTAGGCAAACAGGAGCCCATGACTTGGGGTTTGTGGTAATGGGGCTGGGAAGGAGTGAGCCAAGGAAGGGGGGGGCGTTAGTCCAGGGGGTGTCATCAAAGAGCTACCGGAGGTGCTCAGGGCTCAGTTCCACCCGGTGTTTCAGCACTTGCCCTGAACTCTAGGGGAGGTGGCAGGAACCTGTCCTTTATAAGATGGTGGTTGGGATGGGTTCAGGCCTAAGTCAGGCATAGGTTCGGTGGTGTGTGTGCATGTGTGTGTGTGTGTGTGTGTGTGTGTGTGTGTGTGTGTGTGTGTGTATGTGTGTGTCTTAATTGGCAGGTGGAATTGTTTTCAGTCAGACAGAGGGAAGGAATGGCATGGGCAAGCCTATCAGTCTAACTAGAGTAGTTTTCTCAGCATCTACTGCATGCCTGTCCTGTGTGGGTGCTGAGAATTCAGTACTCATAGCAAAGACACGGTCCATGCCTCCTGGTGCTCACAGGTAGACAGGAATGGCCAATCAGGATCATGTGGGAAAGAGCATGCCATGCTGATGGCTTGATATTTAAGGCAGGTAGGCTAGAGTCAGAGGGGGAAGGGTGGGCAGCCTGTGGCATTGACCCCGAGGGCACCCTGCCACCAGTGCCATTCACAGAGCTTCTGAGGACAGAGACGTTGGCCACCTTCCTTTCATCGCTTCGTCGAAGTCTTTTCTGACTGCCCAGCGAAGGGCTGTCTCCTCCACTGCACTGGTTCCATTCAGGACAGCCCTCCCTGTGTGTGCCCACCCCGGCGAGCACATGCTTGCATCCGTATGCTCGCCGCGCAGAGACTCCCAAGAATAGCAATGCACCAGTTGTATCCTCAGCCCTGAAGCCAGAATGTGGAAGTTTTCAGTAAATGGATTTTGAGAGGCTGGGACAGAGAGAGAGAGAGAGAGAGAGAGAGAGAGAGAGAGAGAGAGAGAGAGAGACAGAGAGAGACAGAGAGAGAGAGAGAGAGAGGGAGAGGGAGAGGGAGAGGGAGAGAGAGAGGGAGAGGGAGAGAGAGAGGGAGAGAGAGAGAGAGAGAGAGAGAGACAGAGAGAGAGAGAGGGAGAGGGAGAGGGAGAGGGAGAGGGAGAGGGAGAGAGGGAGAGGGAGAGGGAGAGGGAGAGGGAGAGAGAGAGGGAGAGAGGGAGAGAGAGAGAGAGAGAGAGAGGAGAGAGAGAGGGAGAGAGAGAGGGAGAGAGGGAGAGGGAGAGAGAGAGAGAGAGAGAGGGAGAGGGAGAGGGAGAGGGAGAGGGAGAGGGAGAGGGAGAGGGAGAGAGAGAGAGAGGGAGAGGGAGAGGGAGAGGGAGAGAGAGACTTTCATTGTGGTAAAATAAGGAAGTATAAAATATATCATCATAACCATTTTATGCTTTCTGTTTACGGTGTCTATGGCAGAGGCATTGGGCACGTTCGCGCTGCTGTTGGGGCTTGTCATCTCCCCACATGGAAACACCTCCCCTCAGCGCTTCCTCCCATCCAGCCCAGCCCTAACGCAGCCCTTGGTACCTGTATCTACTTTCTATCTGTGAGTGTGACTCCTAAGTTCCTCCTATAACAATTGACTCACACACCATTTGTCCTTTTGTGGCCAAGAGTAAGTGGATTTTGAACAATTGAGAGATAGTTCCCTGGGTGGCGCATATCACGTGAACCACAGAAACCCAGGCCAGATAAGGCCTTGCTATTTTTCAAAAGGCACCAGAGATACTGCCCAAACCTCTCTCAGGTCCTCCCTGGGTATTAGGATGTTTCTTTCCCTTGAGTCTTGATGACTCTGCCAGTGTCTCTCCCTGTGCACTGGCTTAGGAAGGTTGATGCCCCACAAACCTTCCAGAGGGCTGGCCCATCTCTGACTCATATACCTTGCAAGTCCAAGCCTGGCCCCAGTGGGTTTTAGCCAAATTGGATTGGACTTGTAGCAGGACCAGATGCAAAGGTGAGTAGGTACAGAATGAGGCTCCTGCCTGCTTGGAAGAGCTGTTTTGGTCTGCCATAGCTCCCATCACAGGCTCCACCTCCCAAACCTGGGGACCCTGAGGGGGTCCATGGGCAGCTACCTGCACCAACAGCCCCTGCTGCAGTCCAGTTGTCTAATCAGCATGGCTAGGGTAGCCTCCCTGGTGTTGGGGACAGGCTGGGTGACACTGATTTGGTGGCTGGCTGTCTTGGAGGCCCAGTGCCAGCTGTTTCCAGAGCTCTGAGCACACACATATTGGCATCTGTTCCTCCATTCTGCACTCTGCTTCTCTCTGAGTGTGTTTCTGAGGTGGCCCCGGGTCACTTGACTTGTCATCAGTCTACTGTCTAGACCAGTCTTTGCTTAGTGGAATATTATGGGCACCAGTCTGTTTTCTGCTGCTATAAAGATGATCAGCAAGGCTGGGTTCGTTAAAAGGAGGAAGGGGTTTAGGTAGCTCGCATTCTGAAAACTGAAAATCCAAACATCAAGGTGCTGCTTCTGCTGGGCCCTCTACTCCCGCCCCTCGCTTCTTTATCTCATGGCAGATGACTCTGTAGGAATGCCTGCTAGAGCCTCAGTGGAAAGAGGAGGTTAGGGGCTGAGCCTCTCTTGCCCTTCCAGAACAACTCTCTATCTCGCAGAACTAACTGGGGTCCCTTAGGAACCAATTAACTCCTTCTGAGGAGGGCATCCCCAGTTACCTAGTCATATCCCACTAGGCCCCCCTTCTTAAAAACCCAACCACCTACCAACAGCACTTCCCAGAGGACCAAACTTTGAACAGTTGAATCCTTGGGGAACAAATGACATCCAAACCATGCCACTGCACAACTCCAGTGTGACAAGGGGGCACCCGACTCACATGCACTGATGGATGGGAGCCCGGGAGCTTGGAAGATCACTCCTATTTTATGGCTGAGGAAACGGGATTCTGGAGTCATTGCATAAGCAAACTAAGGCGGGCAGTGGAGGTCCATGTGAGGTCTGGGTGACTATGATGAGCCCTCTGGGACAGAGACCCCAATGCCGTCCCTGCTCGTGTTGTCCTCCTCACTAAGCCAGCCTGTGGTGGGGTTGGTCTAAGGATCTGCCGAATTGCTTGGCACAAAGCTGCCTTCTTCAGGCCACACTAACAAATGGCCGACAAGATCCCTTCCAGGAGCACGCGATCTTGATGTTTCCATCTTTCCCTTCAGCCCTTACAGTGTCCGAGAGCAACCGGACAGCATCTGTTCAAGTCAGAAGCCAACTCAGCTTGTCTCTGGGGCAGCTGTCCACAGCACAGGTACAGACCAAGCCCTGGAAGGGGGCGGGAAGGGAGGCCTTACTCCCCCACTTCCTTTCAAACCTTTACCACCTCTTCTGCTCGTTTCCCAAAGGAAGTTCACAATAATTTTGCTTTAAAATTTTTTGGCTTTGAGATGACCTCTCAGAGTCAACATCTGTTCTTGGGTGACACATGAATCTAGAAGGGGATAGTTGGGGGAGGGTGGCTGAGTGTGAGAAATACCAGCCCTGCTGCCTCTTGTGGGTGCACAGTATCTCCCAGCGCTCTCCCTAAAGCACACACAGGGAGGGCAGCATGCTTTTCTCCACAACTTCCCAGTCACAAGTGAAGACAGAGATTCCGTAACTTAGGAGAGTACTGGTACTTAAAGAATGTTAAGCCTGCAAGCCAGGTCTGGATGCTGCCACATCTCTCTGCGAATAACTAAACTGTCTGTGTGCTAGACTCGGGCATGGTCCCTGGGAGGAAAGATGTGAATTGCTTGTGGTGGTTGGTTGCCATGGGGTATTTTCCCACCAGAAGTGTGACAGAAATTGTGTCCTACCCCAAGATTCTAGCTTCCTAGAAACAGCTTTTGGCTTCTGCTTTGGGTCTCCTCCAGACACAAGCTTTGGAAGTACTCCAGGACACCCAAGCTGGGCTGTCAGCCCCTGTACTTTGGTGACTGGTAGAGACCCATGTTAGCGGTCCTTTATTAGAACAAATTTCTGAGAGAAGTCGATTTAAAAAGAGGAAAGGTGGGAAGGCAGAGGCAGGGGGATCTCTGTGAGTTGGGACAATCCTGGTTTACATACCAAGTTCAAGTTCTGGCCCAGCCAGGGCTACATAGTAAGACCCTGTCTTAAAAACAAAAGAACGGAAAGGTTTATTTCTACCTATGACTTCAGAGGTACCAGTCCAGGTTGCTGGGCCTGTTGCTTTGGGCCTGTGATGGCAGAGTATATCATAGCAGGAGAGACTGAAGGGTGAGGCCTATTCATGGATGAGCATCGGGAAGCAGACAGAGAGATGAGGAACCTGTGGTTTAGTGTCCACTTCAAGACCACGCATGCAATGACTCAATTTCTGTACCCCTTTAAGGCACCCTCTCTTAAAGGCTGCACTACCTCCAGCAGCAACACACAGTGGCAGCAAAGCTGTCAACTCATGGTCTTTTTGGGGACATTCAAAATTCAAGCTCCCAAAGACTCAAAGCTACTTCACTGTCTCATCTCTGTGTTTTAGTTTCAGTTGTCTTCGACAGGAAGTACAATCCCCACTTACCCTCCATCTTGTCTCAAGACCAATGCAGGAGAAAATGTTAGGTGAGCATGGTGTCTCATGCTCATGATCCAAGACCCTTGACCACAGAGGCGGGTGACCCAGACGTTGAAGCCAGTGTTGGATTCATACTAAGTTGGAGGCCAGAGTGAGCAACGTGGAGAGAACATGCGATAGGACATTTGACTAATGTGTACAAGGGCCTAGGTTCCATCTCCAACACCAATGAGGAGGACTTACAGTGAATCACTAAGAAAATGGCCACCATCCGCCATCCTGCCTTGGTCTCTATTCTTGTAGCCCAGCCTTGAGTAACAGTGGCCCAGTTGTGGTTCAGTCAAACCTGTGTTCAATGATCTGTCCTCAGGCTGATGGGAGATTTGCTGTGAGCTGCTCTTGCTTGTATATGTGTGTGTGTTGTTAGGCTCCAACTGGTTTGTGAGGGAAACCCAAACATGGTGCTTTGATTCTGCCCCCAGGGTCACAGAACAGCTGGAGGAAGAGCTTTACGGAGGAACCCAACCAAGACGTGGTGTGTGTGACACTGAAGCGTGACCCACATCGTGGTTTTGGTAAGAGGGTGCCCTGAAGGTGAGGCCCAGATTCTGCTCAGCAGAGAGGGGATGAGCGCCATTCTCCCCTTGACTTTTCCTCTCCCCCAATCTGGCCTCTTCTCTTCTAGCTTGCATTTTTCAACAACCCCTTCCGCTTTTTCCTTCCCGTCAGTGCCAGCAAAGAACACAACGCGACTTTTGGGGCAAAGAATTCCTTGCAAGTGCCGATGTATTTTCAGAGTGCATCTAAGCACAAGATAAAAATAAAACACCCTCCTCCTCGCACACCTTATGCCAATCTTTCTCCAGTATAAATAGGTTCTTAGTGGTGTAGAGGAGTAGGCAATCTTTCTCATCTTCAGTTATTCCTCACATTTAAAAAGCCTTAAAGTCATGTAAGAAAAAAAGATACTGAGACAGATATTTGGTTAGAAATCATCTTTCCCAGGCCTGGGGAGATAGCTCAGTTGGTAAAATACTTTACATGCAAATGTGAAACCAGTGTTCAGATCCCCCGCACACACATGAAAAGTTGGGTATGTGATGTTATGCCTGTAATCCTGGCTCTCAGGAAGCCGAGACAGGGATTCCTCCAGCAAGCTGACTAATTAGAGTAGCTGAGTCGGTGAGCGTTGAGTTCGGTGAGAGGCCGCCTCGGGGCTGAAACCCACGTGATGACTCACAACCAGAACTCTAGTCTCGGGGATTTGACACCTTATTCTGGCTTCCACAGGCATTACACACACACACACACACACACACACACACACACACACACACACACACACACACACACACACACGGTACAGAGACATACAGACAAGCAAAACACCCACAAACATATAAGAAAAAAACTTGTAAGTAATAAAGTAGAGAACAACCCAGGAAGACATCCAGTGTCAAACTCTGGAGCTCCACAGGGGCACACATGAATGTGAACTTACGCACATGCAACACACACACACACACACACACACACACACACACACACAGAGATGGGGTCGGGCAACCCCAAGTCCTGTCACAAAGCCATCTGGGCTGGTGGAGCTGCATTTGCAGCCTAACTGTGGGTGGTACAGGGCACAGTCTGCTTTCTCCAGGCATCTTACTCAGATGCCGTTATCAGACGTGCCACTCGGTAACTGTGTGAGCCACCAAGTCATTAAGCATTATTTTATCGCTAAGTGCCATCTTGGGTTACAGGTTTCGTCATTAACGAGGGAGAAGATACCGACCAAGCAAAACCCGGCATTTTCATATCTTCCCTCATACCTGGGGGACCAGCAGAAAAGGCTAAAACGATCAAACCAGGTACATCTTAAGTTAAATCACCAGAGATGCTTGAAGTTAACCACCTTTCTTATTTCCTTGCTGGTGTTACTGATATTTTTTTTTCCTCCAGGGGGGAGGATACTAGCCTTGAATCACATCAGCCTGGAGGGCTTCACATTCAGCATGGCTGTTAGAATGATCCAGAACTCTCCTGACAACATAGAATTAGTCATCTCTCAGTCAAAAGGTACCTTTCATTTCACTTTCAGCAATGGAACAGCCTCCTCGGTTACCACCTTGGACCAAAAACACGAAGCTCCATGTAGGTCTTTGGTGTAGCTCCCTGCAGGCGTGGTCCTGGCTTGCCAGGAGGCAACTCGGTGGCACAAATCAGCGTGCTGTGAAATCTCAGGGACAGGGCAGGTTCCCATGATTGCATGTCACTCTGAAAGGCAGCCGCCTCCTGATCAGACATGGCTGGATACTCGCAGTGTGTACGAGTTCCCGCCCACTCTCCTTGCAGGGCAAGGAGGTGATTCTTATTGACACTCAAGTCCCAGGTTTCCTCTGCAGCTGGGAAGCAGAGTGAGGTTGCCTACAGTCCGCATCTGCACCACAAGCACAGAGTTCCTGCTTACGGAGCTCCAGATCAACCCCTAAAGTCCTAACTGTGTAAGGGTTGTTTTCTTCATTGTTTTGACTTAAGAACAATAGCTAAGCAAAAAGCACCTATTATATTATGTTTGCTTTGGAGACATTTTGGTGGATTTCTTGATAGAGGGGAGGGAGGGAGGCTGATATCCTCTTACCCTGGTTACTAAGGACCACTGATGCTTTTTTTGCTGGGTGATCTTGTAAATTACACGAGGTGGCGTACAAACCCAGGCTCATCTCCAAATGCAGGCATCCCACCTGCTGTGCCCAGGAAAACCAGCCCCACACTTGCACATGCTGTCACCTCACTGCAGGTAGGGTCTTTCACAGTGCCTCAGGGGCCAGCCCCAATGTTTCCATCACACCAGCCTCAAGATCACTGTCTCTGCTGGACTCTACAGCGCTGACACCTCCTTCTGAGGCAGGTCAGCAACCTTCGAATTTTCCTTCACACTCTCTGCGTTGAGGGGATTCAGATCACTTCTTGTGTTGCCAGGCAATAATGCTAGCCGATCAAAAAGCAATTCAGTGTAGTTCAAGGACAGCCTACCATGACGGTCAAGATGTTAAAAGCTGATAGCCAAAATTTAAGTGCCCTAACCACAGTCTTGTATTAAAATTCCAGACAGCAAGTGCATCCACTGTCCAGGAGTTACACGCCATCTCCTCATGGTGGCCCAGTTCCCTGTCGGGAACACGACTTTGCCGCAGTTGGGATTTATACTGAGCTGATCTATTGTTGGGGGAAGAGGTCTAGAGATGATCTCCTGTGAAGGCAGCTGTTCTAGATGGGGCCTTAGGAGCTGGCAGCTAATAGTCCATCCTGACAGCTATGAAAACTGATCGTAAACTGAGTTGTAATCACCCACAGAAGAGCAGGGTAGGAAGAATGACTGTGTGTTATAAAAGGGGACTTCTTAGACTGCTTAAGTGACATAGGCTCCAGCATACAGTGGCTGTCTGCATGATGGAGGGACTGAGGACCACGGCTGCTTAGTCCATTAGACTGGGTGCCGCCACTGCCCCATTTGGCAGCAAAGGCCTGGGGGATTCCTGGGAAGCCACGAGTCTTCAGTTCATGCTGCAAGGTGAAGGGTGGATACTCAGAAGCAAGAAGAGAAGGTTCAGAAAGTGAGCAGTGCTACTTTCCCTTGGTTCTCTACATCAGGGCCAAGGTCAGAAGGTGCTTCCCAGTTTGAGGAAGGGCTTGCCCTCCCCTCCCCTCACCGCGTTGACCATTCCTGGAAATGCCCTCACCAACCACCCCAGGGACACAGCTCTTAGCTGATTCTAGATCCTAACAAGTGGCCAATTACTATTAGCCAATATGACTCCTCGATTATACTTCTATTACAAAGAGCACAGTGGGACAGGCTGGCTTTTCAGGTCTAAGGTCCCATTCTCTGCTCCTATGAAGGGCATGGAAGAAAGGGAACAGATGTCTGCAATGCTGCCCAAAGGACAATGGCAGTGGACTTTGAGAAAAATGATCGGGAGCATGGCATTACCCACTGGCACCCCCCCACACTTCATACTAAATAAACTTAGATTTAGATAACTCAAGACCAGATTTATTAAGTCAAGCTCATTGGATATGTGAGCTTGAGCACTTTCCTGGGTGCTAGTAAGCTGTTTCAAAGCAGTAAATGTACCTGTGTGTTCCCACTCCAGGTCTGAAGGACCTCTGTTAGCCTTTCTCCAACACGTATCTGCTGAGCCACTAATATTCTATTAGCACACCAGCAGTAAATGCATTTGCTGATTTATATATGCCAATCTATATATGTGTATGAGGACACATATGTATGTACATACACATCTTCATATATAAACATAGAATCCCAAGTCTATGAATAATCTCTTTTTCATTAATCTTGCAATGTCATGCTCTTGACATACTTATTTTGTATACAGAGAAATCAAAGGCCAGAAATGTTACTTATCTTACTCCAGGGTTTACCTATTGATCCGCATCTCATTTTTTTTTCCTTTAGTCTATGCCAGTTAGACTAAGCAGGAATCCATGATCAACCTTCACTTAGAGGAGCCCAGAGCTTGGTAAATTACCCGGTATACTCCAAGGATACTGCATGCTGATAACAGCTGTGCTCCTCATGGTTTTGTAGAAGGTCAGGGTTAAGAAAAGCCCCACATGTTGAATATGGGATTTGGGACAAACCAGTTCATCCTTTTGATTCTGTTTTAATAAATTCATTAAATAATTAATCTGTTTCTAATTAAACTGAGATGACACCTTCCTGGTGGCCTGTTGAGAGGATGAAAGGATCTTATCATCCTCTCCTCTCCGCGTCTCTCCTCCCCTCCCCTCCCTCCTTCCCCCTCCCCCTCCCCTCCGTCCTTCCCCCTCCCTCTCCCCTCCGTCCTTCCCCCTCCCTCTCCCCTCCTTCCTTCCCCCTCCCCTCCTTCCTTCCCCCTCCCCTCCTCTCCTCTCTTTTCCTCTCATGTCCCCTCCCATCACAGGAATGACAGAAGTTTAATGAAGAGGAGCAGGCACCCTTCGCTATCCTTGCTCTCCTGTTTTCATAACTGGGTCATACAAGTGATTTCAATTTACATTTCTGATCACTTCTAGAATCTTCCATTTATTCTAGATGCAGCATTCTTCATGAAATGCTGAATTCATAGCATCCGCTGCAACTATAAAAGCTCTTGTCACTCAAGGAAAATTCTGTGTCTCTTAGGATGCTACCAATATGCCAGCCTCTCCAAGCGTTGACTTCTTGGCTTGTTTTTTATAGGTGTTTGTGGAAACGTCTCCAGCGAAGAAAAGAACAGCACAGCAAGTTCTGGCGTGTTCTGTACAGACATCCTGAGCAATGGGCACCAGGGAAGAGAGTCAGCACACACATATGACCAGGACAGAAATGTCAGAGGACCGGAAATGGCTCAGGTGCAGGGCTCACCACCCAGGCAGGGGCCTCCCCCCTCCCCATGTTGTTAAAGATGCCTAGCCTCCTGGTCTCCACACTGGACTCTAGAAGAGGGAGGATAGGCCGTGGAGTCAAGGAAGCTCCCATGTCCTATGCCGTCCTCTGCTCTTGATGTGCCTTGTCAAGCAGCTACAGGTTGCTTAACCTCTTCTTGGCACGGGAAGCAGACAGAGCAACTGACATTGGGGGTTAAGGCTCAGCTTGGAGCCTCTAGAGTTCCTCCTCATTTATTAGAACTGCTTCTGATTATGGCAACGTGAGGCAGTTGATTGGTGCTGAGGGCCAGGCAAGGGCCGCTAGGTGTGTTATAATCTCGACTTCTACTTAGCCCTCGAGCTAGTAGCTAAATAGTTTTGTGCTTACCATTGCTCCATGGGGCAAGAGGACAAAGTGTGGCCTCGGCTTCAGTCTCTGCTCTGCGTCGCCCAATGGCTCCTTGGTTACTGGGTGGGCAAGTCCCCCACGGCCTCCCAGGTCAACCCTTTCCTTTTGTTCTGGATCCCTTGTGGTTGTTGTTCACAGGCTCTTCCAGTTGAGTCTTCCTGGAAGAAGCTTTGATAAGAGCCTGAAATTCTGCCACAAATGGGATAAGCCTGCCACTGGCCATGTGCGGACAACAGTGGCCATCCCTGTAGTGATGAGCAGAGAGCCTACGAGCAGCTCTTTACTGAAGCTCTTTGCTTTCCTGGCTTCTGTCAGCCCCTTGCCCCTCCCACCCACAGGCTCAGAGTGGCTACAGCAGCTACTGCTTCTACCCCAGGCCCAGCAGCTGCTCACCGCTTCTCTAAAAACTGCTAGAACTGTTGAAACAGGCTTGGTATTAACTATCCTCCCTGGCCCGGACTGGGTGTGTAGACTTTCTTGTTCTTTAAATAGACAGGTTGCTCTGTGTCTCCCATATTTCTCTTGTGGAGATAGAAGGGTGATGTCTGTCCACAAGGACCTCAATGATGAAGCCTGTGCTCACCATTGAACAGTTTTTTGGGTGTATCACTTTGGACAAAATCTTGGGGAAATTGTACTTGAGCCTATTACTAAGTCATGGCATTCAAGTGGTTTGCATTTCATGAACCACCTCCAGGGGAGGACTAACTAGCTGTGCATAGCCACTGTACTAGCTGACACTCCACATACAGTTCTCAATCTAGGTGGGGATACCGCTTTCTCTGGACTCAATGGCTTCAACTATGTAATATTCTCTTTCATTCCACAAATAATTGTCAACTCCTGCATATGTATTAGGTACTAATCAGCTGCTGACACAGCAAAGAACTGAACAGATGGGTCTCTCACTCAAAGCCCAGAGGAACATTCTGTGCCCATTGTGCAGAAGGAATCATTTTCTCCTCATTTGCTGGATAGGGTCCTTGTAAGGAGGCATATTGGCAAGAAAAGAGCACACACATTTATTGACTGTATGTCTTACAGGAGATTTTGTGAGGAGATGGATACCCACACAGTTAAACCGAAGTGTATTCTATAGCAAGTTTGGTGTCAATGGAGAACTGTGATTAAGTAGAAAGCACGAGCCAACTGGAGGACACTTAATGAGTCTGTCAGTCAATTCTCTGTGTCCTTGACCCTTAGCCTTTGAGCTAAGGCTGCAACATCATCTGGGATTAGGGAAGGTATATCTCTCGTGAGGGCCTTATGCCATGCTTAGGGAAAGGTTAGAGAATCCTTGGTTCCAATGACAGACCAGTTTAGAAAAGCCAGAGGAAGCCATAGACCTGCCTACTCACTCTGCTTCACAGGCTCCTTAGACGCAGCAGAGTCATTTGCTGAATGGCTTTGTTATGATGTCGTATGTTCTGTCCCCAAGCACCAAGGTCTGGCAGGCAGGTTAGCTCTTTTCATGTTAATATCTTCTTAATTGGTCATGATGTTCATCCACACAGTTCAGGTACGATGAGCTGGATGCAGCTGGACTTGGAGACTCACCCCTGTAATCCCAGCATTTGGGAGAATGAGGTCAGAGAATTACCACAAATACAGGGTCAGCCTGGTCTATGTAGCGAGTTCAAGTCTGTAAGGTTTGTAGAGAGAGAGTTTGCTTTAGACCCTACCCCCATGAAAGTTGGACACAGAGTCAGAGAGAATAATATTGATAGAAATTGTCACCAGCTTATGTGCCCTGCAGTAGACTAGGCACTGTGTAAGAGCAAGCTCACGAAAGCTCGATGGCAGTTATATGAGACTGTCAACTCCTCTTGTAGGATTATTACCCAAGGTGCAAAGAGGAAGAGATTGTGCTAAAGCCTCCAGGGAGTTAGTGGTCCATCTGAGCCTGGAATCTATGGTGTTGGACTCCAGAGCAGAAATGATGCTCTCGGGCTGCTCTTTTTTTATGTTTTTATTTAAATTAGAAACATGAATGCTTCAAATGTCAATCCCAGTTCCCTCTCCCACCCCTCCTCCCTTGTCCCTCCACTAGCCCCCCCAAGCTCAATCCCCACATCATTCCCAAGGGAGGGTGAGGCCCTCCTTGGGGGGATCTCCAGAGTCTGTCATTTCATCCAGGGCAAAACCTAGGCCCTTCCCCTTGTGTCCAGGCTGAGAGAGCATCCCTCCATGTGGAATGGGCTCCCAAAGTTCATTTGTACGCCATGGTGAATATTAATCTATTACCCAAGGCCCCAGAGATTTCTGCGGCCTCCTCACTGACACTACATTCATGGAGTCTGGATCAGTCCCCTGTTGGCCTCTCAGCCATCAGTCTGGGGTTCAAGATCTCCCCCTTGTCCAGTCAGCTGTTTCTGTGGGTTTCACCAGCACGGTCTTGAGCCCTTTGCTCATCACTCCTCCATCTCTGTCACTGGGTTCCAGGAGTTCAGTTCAGTGTTTAGCTGTGGGTATCTATCTCTGCTTCCATCAGTCACTGGATGAAGGTTCTAGGATGGCATATAAGGTAGTCATTAACCTTATCATCAGGTAGGGGCTATTAATGTAGTATCTCTGCTATTACTTAGTTTTCCAGTTGGTGTTATCCTTGTAGATCTCTGGAAATCTCACTAGTGTCAGCTCTCTCATCAAAGCTATAGTGACTCCAACTATTATGGTATCTCTCATCCTGGTCTCCTCTATTCTTACTTGACTCAATCTTCTTGCTCCCTCATGTCTTCTTCTACCCTCCTCTTCTCCCCCTCTCTTTTTCCTGATTCCCTCTCCCCTCCCCCCATGTTCCCAATCTGCTCAGGAGATCTTGCCTCTTTCCACTTCTCTAGGGTATAATGCATATCTCTTGGTAACCTCCCTGTTTCCCAGACTCACTGACCCTGGGATTGTAGCCTGACACTCCCCTGATCCATGTCTAAAATCCATATATGAGTGAGTACATACCATGTTTGTCTTTTTGTGACTGGGTTACCTCACTCAGGATGGTTTCTTCTAGTGCTGTCCATTTGCCTGCAAATTTCAACATTCCATTGTTTTTTTCCACTGAGTAGTACTCCATTGTGTAAATGTACCACATTTTCTCTATCCACTCTTCAGTTGTGGGGCATCTAGGTTGCTTCCAGGATCTAGCTATTACAAATAATGGTGCTATGAACATAGTGGAATGGACATCCTTGTTGTATGAATTGGCATCTTTTGGGTATACGCCTAAGAGTGGGATTGCTGGGTCTTGTGGTAGACTGATTCCCATTTTCTTGAGGAATCTCCATACTGATTTCCAAAGTAGCTGTACAAGTTGGCACTCCCACCAGCAGTGGAGGAGTGCTCCCCTTTCTCCACATCCTCTCCAGCATAAACTGTCATTGGTGTTTTTGATTTTAGCCATTCTGACAGAAGATGATATCTCAGGGTTGTTTTGATTTTTATTTCCTTAATGGCTAAGGATGTTGAGCACTTTCTTAAGTGTCTCTCAGCCATTTTAGACTCCTTTATTGAGAATTCTCTATTTAGTTCAGTCCCCCACTTTTTAATTGGGTCCTTTGGTATTTTGGAGAGTAGCTTCTTGAGTTCTCAGTAAATTTTGGAGATCAGCTCTCTGTCAGATGTGGGGTTAGTGAATATCTTTTCCAAATCTTTGTGTTGCCTTTTTGTCTTGCTGACTGTGTCCTTTGCCTTACAGAAGCTTCTCAGTTTCAGGAGGTCCCATTTATTAATTGTCAATCTCAACGTCTGTGCTATGTTCAGGAAGCTGACTACTGTACCAATTCGTTCAAGGGTACCTCCTACTTCCTCTTCTAACAGGTTTAGTATGGCTGGATTTATGTTGAGGTCGTTGATCCATTCTTTCTTTAAAGAGTCAAATTTCTTGTGATATAGGTCTTTCACTTGTTTGGTTAGCGTTACCCCAAGGTATTTTATGTTGTTTGTGGCAATGGTAAAGGGTGATGTTTCTCTGATTTCTTTGTCGGCCCTCTTATTGTCTGTATATAGTAGGGCTGCTCTTTAGAAAGCTCCCTTCTGCAGGAAACAACAGAAGTCTCTGTGTGCTGGGAAACCTGCAAGCTGATTTTGGGGGCTGAACAGAGACTGAACTTACATCATCGGGCCAGCTTTGTGGCCAGATAACCAGTGGTCTAATTTATATTGCATACCCACTTCGGATCTCATCCGTGTCAGTTATTTTCATTCCTCAGGTTTCAGTGGTTAGTCCAAATACTTTGGTAAGTTAAGGAGTGTGGAGTCTTTGGAAGAACTGGCTCTTCCTCCGTTATATACCAATGGCTTATTTGGATAAAGATTTGGTGGCTGGGAAGAGTAATATGGAGGAGCCATATCTGGTGAAGGTTATTGTATTGTGCCATGGTGTCATAGGAGGCATGACATGGGGGAGAGTATGCATGAGAGATAGAAAGAAAAAAAATGGGAACAAAGTTCTCCTTTTTATACACAGACCATTCCTACAGCAATTCATTTATGAGGCTTGTGCCTTCACAACCTAATCACTAAGAAAGTTTCATCTCTGAATATTGTATTAACGGTAACTAAGTTTAGGAGTGATTTGTGGAGGTATGCAAACCACAGAATAACCCTGGACATAATAGGTATTCAACAAATATCTTCTGAATAGTTGAATGGATGAAAAAGTCTTATATAGTTACTGTCACAAGTACCAGGGGAATTGCCTGGCACATGGTATGATCTTTCTCATAAAACCTCCAGCTATTGAAAAACCAACCATAATATGACCAGCCTTATTAAGAATGGCCAGAAGTCCTCCGGAGATTTGCGTTTGCCTCAAGGAGTTGCTGTGCATCTGGTAGCCAGCATGCTGTACTTAGCTGCCATCATGTATTGAGTGATGCAGGAAGTACTTGAACAGTATAAGGTCTAACATGGATGTTTGCCGAGTAGGTATAGACAAGAGGAATCTACATTTATTCAGTCCCTGCCACGTGCCAGCATATTCCCAGTCACAGTTAGGAGACACTCTTAGAGGCCAGTTACATGGATAAGGAAATGAAGGCTAGAGAGATTCCCGTAAGGTCACGCGCGAAGGAACTGATAAAGCTGGAGATGTCTCTCTAGGCTCCTGTTCTTCCTGGGTGCGATGCTGCTGGCTTCTAGAAGTGAATGGGAGCTGAGTATCCGCAGAAACAGGGCAGGTGCCGCATGGAACTGTTTTTCCGTTTGTCTGGGGCAGGCCGCTGGCTATCATCCTCCATCTCCTCTGGAAGCCAATGCTGGTGGAATCTACTTCGTGGAGCTGGCTAAAGAAGAGGGGACACTTGGATTCAGCGTGACTGTAAGACTCTTTGGGGAGCTTGGAAAACAGTAACATGGTGTCCATCCAGAGCCTTGGGGGGCTTTCTACTCTGGTAACAAGCTTGTTGTGTTTCAGTGCACACTGTATGTAAGGGGTAAACTGAGCCTTCGGTGGGGAATGAGAATTCAAAGACAAACTGGGAGACAGCTTGAGTTCACAATGTGGGTGGGATCTAAGGAAGAGCAACAGAAGAAGGAGGAAATGTGAGGGAACCTGGATGGCTGGACAGCAAGAAGGGGCAGTAAGGTAGAGAGCTCCTCGGATGGAAACCGAAGGTGAGTGGGTCACTCACTGTCATCCCAAGAAGGAAATAAACTTGTGCTCCGTCCTCCGGGGGTCAGGGCAATTTAGCCTTTGAGGTTTTCATCCTGTCTGGCATTTTGTGTCTGTCTTTTGAGCTCTACTGGCAGGTATCTGAGAAGGGAGATCCCCCATGTAACAAATCTCCAAAGGGTCGGGAAATGGTATCCACAGAGGTGGTGCCGACAAATTCAGAGGTCCAGGTTGGGGAGGCACTGCTTGTATTAGTGAACACTGAATATGACCCATTCCTTAAGACCTTGGGGTAGGGCTGGACTTCAGCGATGACACTATTGAACCCAAATAAACAGAGTGGAAGTTCCAACACATAAGGAAATGTCAAAGTCAATGAAGTGCTTTAAAGGTAGCCCAAGAGATGAGCAAAGAGAGCATGGTTTGTTTCCCTTGTGCATCTAGAGCAGGGACCCTTGAATTGCTGAGCCACCAGCAGATGCTTTTTAATACCAGGAAATAAGGCTCATGAGTCCATATAGGAACTGAAAAGGCTGGAACTAAAATGGTCAATTTATTCTTGGCTTGATAAAACAATTCTATCATGACACCAAACACAGCAATTTCTCATCTAAAAAACTTGCTAAAACTTAGATTATTCAGATATATGCCTATGCATATGCCAAGAGGAGACTGGTGTTTTTTAGGACTAGCAAAAACAAGATTTTCTTTGCAGGATTTTCATTTCAAAAATAGTTATTGAAATGTCCCCCTTAAATCCAAATGGCCATTAAACAAATGAAAGACATTCAAACCCACAAAAAGCTCCTGGAGTATGCAAGCAAGCTAAAGGGAAACTTTAGAATTTATAACTGTCAGCTTGGCCAAATATAGCTGCTGGGATACTGTTACACTGAGCTGGGAGAAATGTGAATAATTACACTCACATTCACGTTAGGATGCAAGCTGGCAAAATCTACTGCAATGAAAAAAAAAATGCGTGCATCCCTCGGCCCACGAACATAGAAATGTGGATCCCACTACGTGGGGCTGTGCATGTGAAGGTGTTGAATGCTATGTTGCTGACAGTGACAAGAAGAAAATGAGTACTGATCAATTGAGAAAAGGTTGCAAGCACTTTGGCATGCATGCATAGGACCCAAGTTGATGTCCCCAAGACATATGAATCAGCACTAGCTCTGCCCATGTGGAAAGGTTCCCACCAGGTACTCATTGAGAAGAAAGGCATATGGGAAATAACGGACTTTGAGCTCTATATTGTACAAAACGTAATTTAGCTGAGTTGCCTTTGTGTGTGTTAATAATACGCAAAGATACTAAGTAGTGCGAAATGAACTTAAATGTGTTTGCTTGGGATGGGAGAACTTCATTGTTCATGCCCAAGTTCAGCATGCTTTTCTAAGCCAGCTGAGGAGCTAGAGAGGTAGAAGGCTCTAGAAGGGGTTTAGCAAGAAGGTGAGGCTGCCTGAGTTCACAGCACCAGCCAGACTCTGGGTGGTGGCCCTTTCCTGGTGGTTGGCCACTTCGAAGTTTTGTGTTAGCATTGTCAGAAACAGAGTGTCAGCACAGTCTTGAGTCTTGCATAGACTTCCATTAGCTCATAGTGTCTGTGAATTTAACTTTCCACCACTATAACAAATACCAGAAATATAATCAACTTACCAAGTGAAGAGGTTCATTCTGGCCTGCAGTTTTAGAGGTTTCGTGATTGGCTGGCTCTGCTGCTTTGGGGCTGTGGTAGCATAACATGGTGGATAAAGCTACTCGCTCACAGCCAGGAAGTGAAGGAATGAGGAAGAACGGGGTCTCATAAGCCTCTCCTAGGGCTCGCTTCTGTGACTTAGAGACTTCCCACTCTGTTCCACGCTTACAGATTCCACTGCCTTCCAATAGCACCGAGCCAGGAGCCAAGGGTTAACATGAAGCCTATGAGGGACATTCAAGATTCAAACTAAAACAGAGTTGTTCAGCTGTCTGTCTTGGTTGTCTATTTTGAACCCTATATGACTATATTAGTATGGAGAACAGCAAAGGGAGGTGTATGAACAAATACTCATTGTGTCATTAGGAAGTAAAGGCTGGGAGGGAGTGAAAGACTGAGCAAGAATGAGAAATACCATTGATAAAATAATCATCTATATATGTGTTTACCTTTACTAAGTGAATTGAAATAAAGGAACAGCCTTGGACCTTGATCTTCTGACCTGCAGGCTCATGCATTATTGTCAAGTTTAAAAAAAAACCCAAGTTGTAGAACCAGGCACAGTGGCACATGCCTATAACTCCACAATTTAGGAGGCAGGAGAGGTCCTGGATTCAATGCCAGTCTGAGCTACATAGAAAGACCCTGTCTTAAAGGAAAAAAAAAGAAGCTGCAAGATACTGAGTAGTTTAAACTTATTTTTACTCCTGAACTTGTGTTCACAAACATGCAAACATATAAGGTGCCATACGCAAGTCCTCAGTACTTAGGCCAAGCCTTCCTATGCTCCTTGTTGCCTAGATAGATTTTGTGCACCGTACACGACTCTGGCTACTGAGCACCTGCCGTGTGCCAGCTGGAGGTTGGCTTGACTTGGTTTCCTCACTCAGCCTGTATTGTTAGGTCTGTGTAAACCTGTCCATGTTACTCACTGGGAAAGAGATTTTGTCCAGGTGAATACAGAAGACTGCCAGGTGGTAGTTGGGAGAGGTTGGGTTCTCTTGTGAGGGAGGTTGAGAGGCACCCCAGAAGGGACAGATGGGTTTTGAGCTTAGCCTTGTATTCTATAGGGTGGCATCAATACAAGTGTACCTCACGGAGGAATCTATGTGAAATCCATCATTCCTGGAGGTCCCGCTGCCAAGGAAGGACAGATCCTGCAGGGTAAGGGCTACATCCTGCATGCAGTTTTTCTTTCTGTGGTTTCAAACCCTGGCTGAGAGGGACAGTTCAGGCCTTGCTCATTTCAGTTCAATAGCCTCCTGTCTCTCCAGGGCCTGATTTCTTTGCCTGGGAAGGGGAAGATTTCATCTGCTTCACCCGTCTGATCAGCTGGCAGTGGTCTAAAGTTCATAATGAAAACCGGGTAGGAAATTTAAGAGAAGCTCACTGCTGGGAAAAGCTCTGCTTCCTTAGGAAGACAGGGTTGATACTGGTGACCCCACTTTAGCATGGGTGACATCACAAGCTGTGAGCTTTCTCTCTGTGCCCCTCTAGAGAACAGACTTGGCATTGGTAACTCCATTTTAGCACAGGGGCACTGAGAGCTTTTTTTCCACCCACCTTGGATTTCTCATTATTCTGAAGGAAAGGAGTGATTTTTTTCTCTGAAGCTTCCCAGTCGAACCAGAAAAAGACACTAAAGATCTTATTTATTTCTGTTTTCCCTTCAGTTCCAGTATTTCTAACACCAACTATTGTCTTCCTGACCTTTTTTGAAATAGAAAACATCCCGGGGATATAAATATTACCCCCGAGTGAGTTGAAAATCTTTTAAAAAATAGTTTCACAGGAAAACGGGAGGGAAGATAAGGGTGACCAGATCTGGCCTGGCCATTCCGTGAGCCAATAATAGACAGGCTTTCATGTCCTTGCTTTGTTGTAAGCCTCAGGAAGCAGCCCAGGGTGTTCAGAGAAGCAGCTGATGCTCAGGCTCATGCAGATTCCTGCTGAGCCTGGGGCCACCTGGCAGCTCTGCCTCCTGCCCTGTAGGCAGGAGACTTGTAGAGAGCTCTTGCATCCCTGGGGGACAGGGCACATGGACCACCATTCCTTTCCCAGGTGACCGGCTCCTGCAGGTGGATGGAGTGAGTCTACGTGGCCTGACTCACAAGCAGGCTGTGCAGTGTCTCAAGGGTCCTGGGCAGGTGAGTACACCTTGACTGGGAACCTTTTCTTACTTCCAGAGCTTTCCAGAAGTTCCAGGTAGGGGGGAGGCAGTCAAGAAACAAAATAGGACCTTTTTAGTTTACAGTTTTTTCCCTTTTCCACTCCTCATCTTCACACCATTTTCCTATGAGACTGTGAAACCCAGGAGGGAGAAGACAGATGTTTTAAAGTAGAAACCTCGTGCCCTTTAAAAAGATTTGGAAAGCTTATCGTTGCTTGCTTTGATTTGGGCTTCAGACAGCAGAACAGAACGAGGGAGAACACAGGACCCTGCAGGCCGACTCTGGCCGTGCCAACCCCACTGACCAGGGCATCCACCTCACTCAGGCCCTGTCTCTTCCACACTTTGCCCATAGTGACCTCCGTCTCCCCGTTCACGCTCTTGTCTGTCACCCTGTGCTTACACCCACCAGGACCTGAGCTGGGTTGTTTTTTGGTTTCTGGTCACCACAGTGAGGCAGAGATTTAGGATGCGGAGAGCTAGACGTTCTCAGTGTGCCCTCTAGTTCGTGTGACGCCCAGGCAGAGTCCCAGGACTGCCACGGGGCTCTGTCCTCTGCCTCATATTGGAGCTCTTTAATTGTTCCAGTATCCTGAGTCACATATTTCCATAGAGGAGCTAAGAGGGAGAGAAAAGGTTTCAAGGGCCTTCTACCCAACTGCCAGGTACAGCTGAAGTCTTGCCTCGTATCTTGAGAAGGGGTCATAATTAATTAACACTGTCTGCTTATCAGGCTGTCAGTAGTGCACATGGTTAGGGAAATCATGTCTGCACACTGACACAACGCCAAGTAGGAGTTGCCACGGTGGGGTAGTGCTGAACGACAGTTGCAGCAGAAGGACAGTGTCAGGGTCAAGTGCCCCAAGTGGAAGCTCGGCACTCCTAATGAGCTTCCTGGAGAGGTCCAGGAACTGTGCTGGGCAATGAGAACGTGAGATGCTTCGGGGAAGGCTAAGAAATCAGACCAGGGAAAATGGAAGAGGGCTGATCATCGTGGGACTTTGATGTCACACTGTGGTTTTGGGATTCAGGTGATGGGAGATATTGGGGACGTTTGACTGATCATTGCAAGTTCAGTTTTGTGTCTTAGACCAGTAGTCATGCTGCGAGTGGACCAAAGAAATGAAAAGGGCCAGCAAGCCAGGCTAGAGCTTGCTGCGGTGTCCCTGGCAGTGGAGCGGGAATGGAGACACTCTGAGCGAGTTACTTTTGCTGGAGAACACATGAGCCTTAAAACCAAATGAGCGTGGAGGCAGAAGGGGGACAGTTGGATGACTCCAAGACTGAAGGAGCAGCTTAAAGCAGAATGATGAGGGAGGGGAGAGAGAATTGGTGGCGGGGAGGGGAGGGTGGCGGGGGGGGCGAGCTTGCCACAGAGTGTGCTGATACGGAGGTACACACGTTACCTCCAGCGGCACTTGTCTATTTACAGTTGGGTCGGCCAATCTGTATCCTACCAAGGGCTGCACTAGAGATCTGGACTTGAGAATCAAGTGAAGCAGCTCACTGGAAGCACTGGGAAATTAAGAAGCAACTGCAGTCGCCACGTGAAGTATAAGCTGAGTCTGTCCTCTCGTCTTTCTAGGTGGCGCGGCTGGTCTTAGAGAGGAGAGGCCCCAGGGCTGCAGCACAGTGTCCTTCTGCTGACGACAGGATGGGAGATGCACACACGGCTGTTTCCCTGGTAACAGCCAGGTCTGGCAGACCTGCGAGCTGCATCTCAGTGACAGATGGTAAGAGGAGAGAGAATTGAGTGTTACTACTGTCATATCATTATATACTGCTTTAGAGTTGTCAAGTCAAAGGGGAAAGGCAGGGAGGCTTCTTCCTCTGGATTTTCTTTTAAATGCCAGCTGGGTGGCTCATGGTCATATCCAAACTGATGGAGAAATGTTCTTTGAAAAAACAAAAATGCATCGTATCCAAATGACTGCCATCCGTAACTCTGCTCCCAAGTCATAGGCAGTCTCCTGATCACCGGCCTGAACATTAATGTTTGTACACAAATATTTAGGGGCGGCATTGACGTGGGAGGGTCAGGTACTTTCAAATACAGTTGGTTCTACACTCCAGCCAGGCACTTGCCACAGGGGCATCCTGGGGCTGACTAGGCAGACCCGGAGACAGGCGGTCAGGAAGCTAGCTTTGTTAGCAATATCCTTTAGTAGGTCAGAGGCATGACCAGCCTAGAGGGACATACTGCTTCTCCTGATGGGCGTCCTTTCTGCATGTCTGTGTCATTTTGTTTCTTGCCTGTCCCCATAGGGACATGGGGCGGAGCGTGACCCCATCTCTCTCCTTCCATAGGGATTGTTATGGCAGAGCCACAGGAGTTGTGAGGCAGGTTGGATGCCTGGTGGTGCCATCGTCGTTAAATTCAGGCGGCCTCTTCTCCCCTCAACAGCTCCGAGCACTCTGAATGGAACCTTTGAACGAGGAGCTAAACACGGAGCAGCTGAGGCCGGTGTGGCATTGGCAGGCAAGCTCATGCTACAGGCCTCACTCTCTGCTTTGGCTATTTTCTTTTTCTTTTTCTTTCTTTTTTTTTTTTTTTTTTGAGACAGGGTTTCTGTGTAGCTTTGGAGCCTATCCTGGCACTCACTTTGTAGATCAGGCTGGCTTTGAACTCACAGCCTGCCTCTGCCTCCCAAGTGCTGGGATTAAAGGCATGCATCCCCAAAGCCAGCTTGCTTTGGCTATTTTCATTCTTGCTCCAGTGAAAATCTATAAGCCATAGCTCTGTCACTCTGTTCACCGACTGCCTTCTAAACCAGTGAGGACAAAGCAGGAGAATCTTAGAGGTTCCCTTTGGTTAATAGATGCCCTAGATGCCCAAGGCTGTGTCCATCTCTGGCAGACCAGAAGTGACTGGTCTTATAGTCAGTGTCCATGACTAAACACAATGGCAGGGAGAGCATTCTTCAGAGTTGACTGTCACTGTCCCTGTGATTTGTATACATAAAATTGCATGTTGTACATACTAAAACACCATTAAGTCACAATGTACATGTAATACAAGCTTTACTGGATGCTATTAGCAGACAGTGTGTGTCTAAAGAACCTTCCTTACACATAATACACATTTAGTTGCTTATATTTAAACACTGTCAGACATTTAAAATGTGGTAATCCAAATGGATAGCGTGAACTAGAGAGCAAATCTTTAGTCTGTAAGAAGAATGAAGGCGACCTCAATCATCTTTTGTGTTGATTCCATATTGATGTGACAGTAATTTGGATATGTAGCATGATGAGCTCTAACATAGCATGATGAGCTGTGAAAGTCTCATGTATTCAGAAGACCATACTTGGAGCTTGAGTTTCTCATTAAGATGGTGGGAAGCAGTGGTGAGATGTGGCTTAGAACCACAGTTGCCAGGGGAAACTGCAGTGGACTGTGTTGCTGAACTAGGATGCTGGGAAGGTTAGGTTCATTCAATCCACTCTCAACACAGTCTTTCCCACAGGATTTACGAGGATGTAGCCTTATTTTACCTGTTTCCTTTCATTTTTAAAACATGTAGCTACTTGAGATCCTTGAAAGGATCTTTTCGGTTTTCATTTACAGCTTAGATTCTATTTGTGGGCAGCACTGATCTGTCCTGTGTGTGATGGACTCCATCATCAAAGTTAGCACATGAACTACTTCTCTGCAAGACAGAAGCAATTCATCTCCATGACGACTCACAGGTCAAGGTCAGCCAGCTGCCACCCACTGAAGGGCTGTTTTCATGAACTCCCATGTTACAGGTCCTAAGTTTGAAGTCAAACTGAAGAAGAACAGCAGTGGCTTGGGATTCAGTTTCGTGCAGATGGAGAGAGGAAGCTGCAGCCACCTCAAGAGCGACCTTGTAAGGATTAAGAGGCTCTTTCCTGGGCAGCCAGCTGAAGAACATGGGGGCATTGCAGCTGGTGACATTATCCTGGCAGTGAATGGAAAGTCCACAGAAGGCCTCGCCTTCCAGGTGCTCAGCGCTAGGAGTGGGGAGCACAGATGTGGATTAGAGCTGGGGGTGGGGAGCATAGATGTGGATTAGAGCTGGGGGTGGGGAGCACAGATGTGGATTACAGCTGGGGTGGGGGTTGGGAGCACAGATGTGGATTACAGCTGGGGTGGAGGTGGGGAGCACAGATGTGGATTATAGCTGGGGTGGGGGTTGGGAGCACAGATGTGGATTACAGCTGGGGTGGGGGTTGGGAGCACAGATGTGGATTACAGCTGGGGTGGGGGTTGGGAGCACAGATGTGGATTAGAGCTGGGGTGGGGGTGGGGAGCACAGATGTGGATTAGAGCTGGGGTGGGGGTGGGGAGCACAGATGTGGATTAGAGCTGGGGTGGGGGTGGGGAGCACAGATGTGGATTACAGCTGGGGTGGGGGTGGGGAGCACAGATGTGGATTAGAGCTGGGGTGGGGGTGGGGAGCACAGATGTGGATTACAGCTGGGGTGGGGGTGGGGAGCACAGATGTGGATTACAGCTGGGGTGGGGGTGGGGAGCACAGATGTTGAGGAGAGCCGGTGGAAGTCATGTTTCTCTGAAGACCATCCCCATAGAGAATACTTCGGGTTCTTGGAATTCACACCTGAATCTGGGCTTGGAGCCCACGGAAAGCAATCGACGGGATGTGCCCACGGTTATTTTCTATCTCAGTTTTAAAACATCTGCCTTGAGTATTGCTTTTCGGAAGGCCCCCTCAGTGAACCTGAGCATAAAACCTGGCTTATGTGCTGGCCGTGGTCTCTCTGTGTATGTACATTCTAGGAGGCCGTGCGAAGCTGGAGGGACTAAAGAGAGTACCTTGTCACTCGCCTTGAGTTTCGTGTGCCGAATTTACAGCTTTGCACGCATAGTGTAGCATGGGCTGTCCAGCCTGTGGTCAAAAGCAGGAGGGGCCGGAGAGATGGCCCAGTGGGTCAGAACACACAGTTTTGCAGAGGGCCCGAGTTTGGTTCTCAGCACCTGTGTGCAGTAACTCACAACTTCCGGTAGCTCCAGCTCCAGGGGATCTGAGCCTTTTGCTGGTCTCTGCAGGCACCTGCATTCAGATGTACATACTCACACAGAGACACAAATAAGAATAATACGACAGTGAAGGTGCGGGTGTGAGAGGGAGAGAGGCTTCTAACACAAAACCTCAAGGAGATGTCTGTGTTCCTTGGAGTGCTGGTAGAAAACAGTCATTTGGAGAGACTTTGATAGTGGTATGAGCACGCTATTGGGGAGTGAGTATAGTGACGTGGAGTATAGCTATCCACCTCCCTACTCGAAAGGGGACGAGAAGGAGCAGCGACCCACCTGAGACACAGCATGGGTGACAAGGGTTCACTGGCGTGGTCTGGAGGACAACCCAGATATAGACTGGGAGAATGCAGTCAGTGGCAGATCTGGGCAACTGGGGGACGTTGTGGAACACCTGGATCAGACGTTCTCAAGGAGGCTGGATGTCACCTCTTGTGCGACCTTTGGTGACTCCTGAGACAACTGAGGTTGTCACAACCGATATGTGCTGCTGTCATCTGCCGCACCCTTTGACACATGGGGCGCGCGTCCCAACAAGGAGTCACCCAGCCCACATGTGGAGAAGATGGGCAAGTTGGAGCACCCTGGTGTAGACAGGAACTGGAAACTACGAACGTACCATGTGCTCCGGCAGTGAGACGGTGGCTCGAGCCCAGGTCCAGGACTGTGGCGGCTTGGGATGTGTTACAAGGATGAGCAGGTGGCGGAGAGCAGTTTGAAAGACAGTGGGCGGCAAACACAGGTTCTGCCATCTGTGCAGTTGTGGAGAGGGAGGAAATGGCTCACTAGGAGAGTGCATTTTGGAAACATCACCCCTGGGCAATGCAGAAGGAAGCCGCAGGGTCCTGAGAGAAGGCAAGGATCTGGGAGGCGGTCATTGCAGTTCCACAGGGGAACAGCTTTAAAGCCTCAGCCTCATTAGGGAGGTTCCCGAAGGCCTCTGTGTATTGCTGCTGTGAGTTGCCAAGATACCGCTTGTGGTTCCTGGGCGTTTGGGGAGTTAAGCTTTCAGTGGTGTTTTCCCAGATTGTTTGGAGCCAAGCTATAGGTTAAGGCAGGGGAGACGGTTTCCTGGGAGCAGCGAATAATAGCATAAAGCAGCAGGTCCCAATGAGGCAGCCTAAATATGACTGTGACTGGGTCTCCTGCAGGAAGTGCTCCATATATTGCGTGGGGCTCCAGAGGAAGTGATGCTACTCCTCTGCCGACCCCCTCCTGGGACACTGCCTGAGATGAAGCAGGGATGGCAGGTAAGACATGGGTCCTTATCACTCCTTACTGGCCCCATTAACCACTCACTTTTCAGCCTGGTGGTCCTGAAATGGCCATCACTACTTTTTTTTTCCGGTGGGGGTGGGGCACAACACCAGCCCTTTCCAGTGGGGCAGGAAAGCATCTGCCCCTCAAACCTTAATGCATCTGTTTTCCTCCCTGTTCCCTTGCTCCCACCACTGGTGTCTCCTTATAGATGTGTAGAAAACAGTTAGACTTTGGTCATGAAAGTTCTAGACTGTGTCCTTTGACATCCTGAGCACAGAGCCAGGGCCAAAGAATTTCCTGTAGGAGTTTCCACCATGAGGAAAAAAAATGTGTACCCACCCACTTGAAGCCTGGAACAGACAAGTATGACTGGTGCAGAGGTCAGAGCCACTGGACCACAGAAACATGGGGGCTTTACCTGGATGTGCATATTAGTCTGGTTCTCCAGAGAAACAGAACAAAGGGAGAGATAATGGACGGACGGATGGATGGATGGATGGATTGAAAGATAGGTATGTAGATATACAGACAGATAGATGGGTACTTCTCGTAAGGAATTAACATATAATTCTCGGGCTGGCCAGCATAAACACAGCCAACCAGCATGCTGGAGATCTGGGAGGAAGGTTAGACTGTCGTGCAGAGGGGAACAGGTGGGGCGGAGCAGCTGGAGAAGGTGACAGCATGTGATCACAGGTTCGGTGCAGTGAGCTGTGTGGTGTGGTCTGGAGGTGGGATTCCCTCTTTCTGGGTGAAAGCCACTCTTCTCTTCTCAAGACTTCTGCTGATTGGATAAGGTTCACAACAGCCTGGAGGGTATGCTCTTTGCTTAAAGGCTACTGATTTTAGCATTAACTGCACCTAAAAATACATTTATAGTGATATCAATAGTAAAAAAAATATCTGGGTGCCCTGATCTAGTCAAGTTGACATATGAAATGACCTGTCAACTACTGGGGACTCCTTGCTGGGTCTCTGGGAAATTGACTTTTTGACAGAGGTCAGGGAGCCTATGGGGTGGCCCACTGGATCATCGCCTGTGTGAGTCAGGAGGCTGTCCTCAGCAGAGGGAGAGGTCAGTGTACAGACATAACAGGGCCTCAGCTGACTCCACAGGCAGTTGTGGAGCTGAGATGACCTCTGGAACCTGTCCAGAATAACACACCCACACTAGAGTATGCACACTAGAGTATGCACACTAGAGTATAGACATTAGAGTATGCACACTAGAGTATATACATTAGAGTATGCACACTAGAGTATGAACAGTAAAGTATGCACACTAGAGTATAGACACTAGAGTATGCACACTAGAGTATAGACACTAGAGTATGCACACTAGAGTATGCACTGAAGCATCTCCCTTGAGGGGGTGGCCATGAGCCACCAGCTGCTTTCCTGAACACATGGAGGAGAAGAGATAGTTCCTGGTACCACAGAAAATGGAGATGCTCTTAGGGATCCAGTAAAGTTTATCAAGTAGGTAGATGCTTGTGAAGAACAAGTATGAGGTCCAGGCTAGAAAAAAATGAGTTTGGGAATTATGAGTACATAGGCTTATATAGAGGCATGGAATGGGTGATCCATCTCCTCCTTGGAACATGAAGAACCCAGCACTGAGAGCTCTGATGTAGAGAGCCGAGGCTGAGGAGAGGGGCATGAGAAGAGGTTGGACCAGGCAGCAAGCAGCAGGCAGCTCGTACATAGAGTATGAGCGAGGCTGAGGAGAAGTTGAATCAGACAGCAGCGGGAATCTCATACAGAGGATGAGCGAGGGAGCGTCTGCTAGCAGGATGTACCAGTTTGAAGGTTGCTGCTGAAAGCTAGATAGAAAAAGGGCAGAGAAGTGCTCTGGGGCTCTAGGAAGAGACGAACCACTGGAGACGCCCCTCAGAGTTTGCCGCGAAGAAGAGCAAAGGAGTGAATGGCTGGTAGGTGAGGGGTGAATGGGGCTGGGGTACAGGCTGATCGGTAAGACTCATGTGGGTGAGGGAGGACTCCTGTCTAATGTGCTGCTGTTGCTGTGGAGTAAGAGGAGACTTGGGGGAAAGCAGCTGGGGCTTGAGAAAGATGGAAGATCATCTGTAGGAAGCGGAAAGGTTGTCTGGACGCCTTGAATGAGCACTGCCATCCACAGCCGCACCTGTGGCATTCCCAGGGCCAGAGGCTTGGCAGCAGCTGGGAGGGCCATACACTTTCACTGGGAACTGGAAAGAGCTTTTGTGAAAATAGCAGAGGTGGAGGCAGAGAGGAGTGCAGGAGGAAGCCAGGGACCTTCTTTGTGAGGAGGACACTGGAGAGGAGGCAGAATCAAAGGGGAAGGAGGCTATAGGTGCTGGGCTAACAAAAGGCATTGGCAATTACAAGGAGCTTTGAGGAGTGAGCTGCAGAGGATGTCTGGGGCGGAGTGAGAGCCAGGGCTTGCAGGAGTGGGAACTCCTCTGTCTCTTCATTTTAAAAAATCTCCTCTGTTTCAGATTTCGATTTTCATTAAGCCCTTTATAATAGACAGCAGCGAGGGACTGGTTATGATTTATAATTGAAGTGTGCATCTTTGGGGGTGTTCCTTTCTCTTGGCAGTGTTGGGGGTGGGGGACTGATATGCTATCACAAAGGCTCACCCAAGGGAGGATCCTTTGTAGTGGAGGTGAAGGTTTCTCTGTTCAATGAGACCAGAGCGGGGAGTTCAGCCCTGTGCTCTGTGATGGATGGGAGCTGGTTGTGGGGTGCCAATGCTGACCTAATTTTCAGGAAAATGTGAAATCCTAATTTCCATATAGTTATAAATATTAACATATATGTAACTAATTCAAAGAGGGAACCAGGCAGATGTTAAAACGGATAAAAAATGGTTCAAAAGAGATGTCGAAGACTATCATGTTCATTTATGGAGTTGTAAAGTTTCCATTGCACTAAGTTTGCAATCCCCCAACTGCCCCTCCCCAATTCTAGCCATCTCTTTCCAAACTCTCTCCCTTCACTCCATTTCCCCACTAAACCTGATCCCCACTTCTCCAGTCCACCCAAAAATATATTCTATTTCCTTATCCTTGGGAGATTCCTGTGTCCCCTCCCCCAGATCTTTCCTTTTTTCAACCTATCCTCTTCAGGGTCTACTGATTACAGCTTGGTTATCATTAACTTAACTGGCAATATCCCCTTATAAGTGAATATATACCATATTTATCTTTCTGGGTCTGAATTACCTTACTCAGAATGATATTTTCTAGTTCCATCATTTACCTGCAAATTTCATGACATCTTTTTTTTAAGCATAGCAATTTTCCATTCTGTAAATATACCACATTTTCATTATCCATTCCTCTGCTGAGGAACATCTAGATTGTTTCAAGTTTTTGACTATTGTGAGAAAAACTACAATGAACATGGTTGAGTAAGTGTACTTGTGGTAGGAGGGAACATCTTTTGAACATATGCCCAAGAATGATATAGATGGGTCTTGAGATAGGTTGATTCCCAACTTTCTGAGGAACCACCACATATTGATTTCTAAAGCGGCTGTACGTTTGTATGCCCACCAGCAATGGAAGGTGTTCCCCTTGCTCCACATTCTCAAAGCATGAACTGTCCCTTGTGTTTTTGATCTTAGCCCTTCTGACAGGTGTAAGATAGAATTTCAGAGTTGTTTTGATTTGCATTTCCCTGATGGCCTAGGATGTTAAACATTTCTTAAGTGTTTCTAAGCCATTTGACATTTCTCTATTGGGAATTCTGTGTTTGGATTTGTTCTCTCCATTTTTAAATTTGATTATTTGTACTTTGATGTCTAATTCTTTATATAATTTGAATATTAGTCTTCTATCAGAAGTAGAGTTGGTAAGCATCCTTTCCCATTCCGTAGGCTTCTGTTTTGTTCTGTTGATGGTGTCCTTTATCTTACAGAAACTTTTTAGTTTCATGAGGTCCCATGAGTGCCTGGGCTATTGGTGTTCTGTTCAGAAAGTTATCTCCTTGTGCCAGTGAGTTCGAGGCTATTCCACTTTCTCTTCTATCAGGTTCAGAGTGTCTGGTTTAATGTTAAGCTCTTTGATACATTTGAACTTGAGTTTGGTGCAAGGTGATAAATATGGATCTTTTTGCATTCTTCTACATGCCAACATCCAGTTTGGCCAGCACTATTTGTTGAAGATACTTTTTTCCAGTGTGTAATTCTGGCTTCTTATTAAAAATCTGGTGTTCATATATGCGTGGATTTATGTCTGGGTCTTCAATTCGATCCCATTGACCAACACATGTTTTCATGCGAATATCATGTAGTTTTCATTACTATAGTATTGTAGTACAGCTTGAAACCAAGAATGGTGGGACATTCAGCAGTTTTTTTTATTGTTCAGAATTGTGTTAGCTATCCTGGGTCTTTTGTTTTTCTGTATGAAGTTAAGAATTGTTATTTCAAGATGTGTGAAGAATTGTTAGAATTTTGAAGATGAGTGCATTGAATCTGCAGATTGCTTTTGGTAGGATGGTCATTTTTACTTTGTTAATCCTGCTGATCCATGAGTATGGGAGACCTTTCCATCTTCTCACATCACCTCCTATTTCTTTTTTCAAAAACCTGAAGTTTTTAATCACATAAGTCTTTCACTAGCTTGGTTAGAGTCACCCAAGATATATTACATTATTTGAGGCTATTGTAAAAGGTGTTGTTTACCTGATTTTTTTTCTGCTTTTGGTATTTTGAGATAGGGCTTCTTTGTGTAGCCTTGACTGTCCTGGAGCTTGCTCTGTAGACCAGGTTGGCATCAAACTCACAGAGATCCACTTGCGTCTGCCTCCCTAGTCCTGGGATTAAAGGTGTGCACCACCACTATCCCACCTTCCCTGATTCCTTTTTCAGTATTTGACATTTGTACATAACAGGTCTACTGATTTTTTGAGTTAAATTTGCATCTAGCCACTTTGCTGAAGCTATAGGAATTTTATGGTAGAATTTTTATGGTCACTTATGTATACTATCAGGGTTTTCAATTCAATTCCATTGGTCTACTGCCTATTTTTGTGCCAATACCAAGCTGTTTTCAGGACTATAGCTCTATATATTCTAGAGCATGAATTTAGGAATGGTGATGCTTCCAGATGTTGCTTTGTTGAGCAGGGTTGTCTTGGCTATCCTGTTTTTTTTTCCATATAAAGCTGAGAATTGTTCTTTCAAGGTCTGTGAAGAATTGTGCTAGGATTTCAATGGGGATTGCATTGAGTCTGTAGATTGCTTTTGGCAGGATTGCCATTTTTACCACGTTGATCCTACCTATCCAAGAGCATGGAAGATCTTTCCATTTTCTGGTGTCTTCTTTAATTTCTTTCTTTAAAGACTCAACGTTCTTGTGATATAGGTCTTTCACTAGTTTGTTTAGCGCTACCCCAACGTATTTTATGTTGTTTGTGGCAATTGTAAAGGGTGATGTTTCTCTGATTGTACCATCTTTTTTTTTTCGAGACAGAGTTTCTCTGTATAGTTTGGCTGTCCCAGAACTCTGTAGACCAGGCTGGACTTTAACTCAGGAATATGCCTGCCTCTGCTTCCCCAGTGTTGGAATTAAAGGCATGTGCCACCACTGCCCAACTAAGTCCCAAACCTTCTATTTCTTAAACATTTTTTAAGGTTTCTTCCATGTGTTGAGACAGCATTGATAACCATTCATATTTCTTTAATAGACTCCTGAACTATCAGCAGACCAAAGATTCACCATGGCAACATGTACTGAATCAGAGCAGAGCCCCAGCCTAGATCAAGACAGCTGGAGGGACAGTGCCTCCCTGGACACTGGGGAAGGCCTGGGTGCCAGACCAGAGTCTTCCTACAAGGCTGTCAGAGAGGTTAAAGGAGACCAAAACAAACAGGGACCCTGGACCAGGTCCTTGATGCACCCTATGGAATCCCATCCTCACTTGTGCAAACTCCACCAAGAACCAGAGGCACCGGCATTGGCTACCTCTTTGGAAAAGGATATGAGACAAAACTGCTATTCTGTGTGTGACATCAGGAGATTGGGAAGGTAAGATTTACCACATTTGCAGACATTTTGTAAGCTGTGTGCCTTGGGTTGCCAGCTAGTTACAATCAAGTAGTCACCTTCCGAGAGGATTATTATGCCCAGCACTGTTCCAGGCATTTGAGGGGAGATAGAAACTATAAAAGTCCGTGGTTGGAGTTGCTACAACCTGTAAACTTTGGGGAAAATCCAATTCCACCCAGATGACAATCATCCCCAGTATGTCCCACAGGCTACTGATGGCAGGCCTTTTGTTTTCTTCCAGCACACAGTGTGTACTTTGCACCCCCACAGCGTCTGCCAGCACACAGTGTGTCCTCTGCATCTCTGCTGCCTCTTTAGTGGCTGTGGTACAAAGGGAGACCTTTTGTATTTGCTCATTTCTATTGTTGATATAAACCTTTACTATCAACACGTGCCTGGGAGTATGTTTCTATCTCCAAAACCAGACTGAAACCTTCATTTCAATGACTATTTTTATTTAGTCTGTAGTTCTGTGCCTACCCACCCATAAGTATTTCTAGTTTTAATTCCTAGCCTCATGAAAAATCTTCTCAATTCAGTTTGAAGACCATTTATTACATACATAGACCTTAAACCTTGGTAGGGAGCGGAGATGGGGAGGAGGAAGGAGAAGTTTAGTGGGAGGCGGGGTACGTTTCTGCTGATGGGCCCTTGTAAGCATGCATGGACACGAGCAGACAACAGTCAGGAGTAATGATTTGCGTTTGAAACTGATATTAAGCTGTTGGGATTCAATGACTCTCCTTTCTGATCACTGTAACAGAGCGATGAGATAGACTCACAGGGCCTGATAGGTGGCATGATGGACTCAACCCTCTGTGCCTACAGGTTCTGCGTTTGTGCATCTGTCCAACCCTACTTTGCAAATAGGAGAAAACACACTTGTGCTGCACATATACAGATGTTTTGGTTATTGTTTTCTAAGCAATATAGTATAACAACTATTTATAAACCATTTCATTGTATTCACTGTTTAAATAATCTTGAAATGAGTACATTTCTAGATGTATATTATTGTGCATGTGTGTGTGTGTGTGATGAATGCAAAAACTATAGAGAATGTATAGATGTTACTAGACCACTAGGGAGAGTTAGTTCTTTCCTTACACTCAAACTTGGGTCATAACATTTGGCAGCAAGCCCCTTTACCTGCCGAACCATTTCACCAGTCCTAGATGTCTAAAAATTGTATTCCCCAGAGAGTTTGAAAAGGGGCCAGTCATAACTGGAGTAAAACCATTTCTAGGTTTGAGTTCAGGTCTAGCTAGATATAGATTTCCATATAACTTTAACTCAATGTTGCCAATAGTTAATAAACATATTTTAACTTCTAAATTAGTGCAGACCTTTAGTGTTCATTCATGTATTACAGCATATTGGGTTTCATATAAAAAATGATCAACTCTAACGTCACACTGCACGTGAGAGTGCACACTGTAACTTCCTGCAGGAGGGGCTGCCTTCTCTTGCCTGAATGTTTCCACAGTGAACAACTTGCCCCTGCATGAGAAGCCATTTGTCACCACAACCTTGCTGGTCAGACAATGTTCCCTTACACCATGGTGAAATTTATCTTTTCATATTTTTATTTGTGAGTCCTGACCCCCCATCTCCTCTGATATGATTGTTATTGTCTTTTAGAAAATAATGTTTTTATTTATTCTTTGAAAATTTCATGCAATGTATTTTGAATATTTTGATAGTATCCATCCTCCTCTCCCAACTCCTCCCAGATTTCCCCCCACTTCCCTATCAACCCAACTTCATTCCTTACCTCTTAAAAACAAACAAACAAACAAACAAGCAAACACCCTCCCTGGAGTCTAGTTTGTACTCCTGGGTGTGTGGCTTTGCACTGGATTGTGACTAGTAGTACACTAAGTGTCGTTCCATTAAGAAAAACTGACTTTCCCTCACCTAGCAGCAATTAAATGCCAACAGCTTCTTGGCAAGAGGTGGGACTTTTTTTTTAAACAAGAGAATCATTTATTTTTATTTCCTGAATCAGATTAAATTTGGCTTACTTGTAAGGGTACACCATATGTCCCAAACCTGTCATTCTTGAAGGGTGTTTCCTTTTGAGGGTCACCGGAGTCCTTCACATTTGTCCAGAACATTCTAGTGAGGCTTCTGATGCTCAGTTGCTATGGCTACCACCTCCTCCCCCTCCCTCCTGTGGCTGCAAGCCCCTCTGGACCCACACTTCCCTTTGCACTGCTTCCACAGAATGACAACATTCATCCTCCCCCCCATTTCCTGGCTTTACTTTTGCCTCATTTTCTTCTTCCATTTAAGACTATTTCCTCACCATGAAAACAGCACACAAACCATGGCCGCCCCTCCTCTACAGGACAGTCCTTACCTGCCCCGTATGCACTCATAGCAACTATTTCCAAAGAAAAGGAAAGTGTGGTGTGTACCCGGAAATCACCGAAAGAAGGGTCCCATACTTGGGAACAGGGTCCTAATTAGTACTGCAGAGTGGGACTGCGGGTATCCCTGGGCTCCTCGGGAGCGTCTGCAGGTCTGCTGCGGCTGTCTCAGCTACACTGCCCATTGACTTCTGGCCTCTCTGGGTCCAGCCTTCTGCAGTTCGGTACAAAAAGCTCACATCTGTGGAGAATGTAATTTAGAGCCAGCGTTACCACTTACTGACGCGTGCGTGCCTGGATAGCCGTCTTCCATTAGTTGAGGGCCGCCCAGTTGTAAACTTGCACCAGGAATCCCGGCCACTGTGCAGGTCAGAAGAAACAGTCACAGCACGGTACCCGGCACATAGTAGGAACCCCAGCGCTATTCTATATCCCTACTCTTCCTTCGGTAGTTTCTTGTTAAAGAACAAGCTGCATCGAATTGAAATTCCCAGTCAACTGCCAGAACTTACTGTCTCCAGGTGGCTCTGTCTTAACGCCAGATGGCTGCCAGCACCCCAGCAAACTCAGAGCGTGTTTAGATTAGATTTCACCAATCCTTCCTCATTCTCATCTATCCTACACCCGGAGACTATAACGCCCCCAGGGTGCATTGCCATGGAAGAGCTGCGTTGCATACCGATGGAAGAGGAGGGCTTGGCTGGGGATACATGTTTATACGAGGCTACTTGCTAAAGTTGGGGCATATCGAATCTCATTATTGGACATCCCTATAAGATGTGCAATGTCACCTATGCTTTTGGTGTAGGAGCGGATCACTTTCTCCTTGGCTAAGTCTCACATCAAAGCTAGAGGTATCCCTTGAAAGTGTGGAGGGGATAATTGTAAAGATGCAGGGTAGACAGCCAGGCAGCTTTCCTGGCCTACAGGTAACTGTGCTCTGCACCCTCCAGGCCTCCTATTTCCTGCCTGGGCAGTGCATGGCTTTTTTTTTCTTATAACTGCCCAACTGTTCCTTCCCTGTGTTTATAAGAAAACATAATTGATGTACTTTTGACCAAGTCCATTACATTCTTAAACCAAATTTCCTCCTAAGTACTTGACAATTTCTAAATTGTTTTATAGTCTTGGTAAATCATTTATTTTTATACACACGCATGCATGTGCTCACATGAAATGCACTTTGATACACATCCTGTAGCTACCTTTCAGGACTGGAAATAATGTCCCTTCACAGCAGAACTCAGGCTGGGGTACACACTGTCTGATGTTTGTGAGTTTGTAGCTACTGGGGTATTGTAGAATTGATTTTTAAGAGAAAGGGGCATTATGGGAAAGGGGGGCAGGAATGGGAGCATGAAACAAAACTAGCTCATTGATCTCGGTGTGGGGCATGAAGCTGAGAAATGAGGATCCATGCATTTGGTTAGAAAAAAAACAACTAAATCTTTATGCTTTCCTCTTAGATTTTCCTTCTCGTCTTCTCTAACCAGATTAGCAACAGATATTTTCTGAGGGCCTCTCTGCATGTCTGCAATGCTTCACAAAACACCCTGCTGTCTGCAGAACTGCTCTTTCTCGTCCAAGGCATGTGTGGCTATCTTGGGTCCTCCCTGGAAGGCTGAATCTTTCTCTTGCGTCTGCGTGTGCATCGCCAGATAATGAGCCTCGCCGCCCTCTGCCTCCTGTGTCCTTCTTTTGACATGGGGAATAAATGTCACTCCAGCTGGCTGCCTTTCTAAACAGACACTTTATCAGTGCTTAGAAAAGGATCTGCTATTTGCACAAAGTGCTTTGAAGATTGCTCCTAGTCTCCTTGGGCTCTTTCCCTCTAATCTGTCTGCTGAAATAGTTCAAACCGTCAGAGTCATAATAACAGCATCTTGCTGACGGAAAACTTACCCTGGTCCAGGCGTCCCGGGAAGCATATAATGTATAGCAATCATTTAATTTAAATATTCCAACAATCCTAACAATCTCTCCACCTTCCAGTGTTTTAGATAAGAAAACCAAGATTGCAGATAAGCAGTAACCTACCCAGGGTCTCAGCTTGAAAAGCAGGTCCCAGAACTGATGCCATAGCTCATAGCTTTGCCTGTACTGCTGTGCCCTCCAGAAGCTCCCACATGGGCCCCTAGGTTTCATACACTGAGCTGCCTCCGCTTATTACCCGCACTGTGATAGTTCTGTGCTACCCTTGTTCTCATTAGCCTGGGATTCTCACCAGTTCATACCGTTTGCTGTTTGCATCCTGGGGCCCAGGGAATCCTCTGGCAAGAGCTGTTTGAATCTGGCTGGGTCATAGGTGATGAACCAGGGTGAGAACTCCAAGAGGCAAGGAGAAGGGAGGGGCTCAGGAATTTCTGATGGAGACTGGACTACACACAGGTTTCTGTTTTCATCATCGCTGATTGGACAGGGATGATGCTGAAGGTGACGCATGTTTTCTACATGAAACCTCTTTCCTCACCGTGGACGATGAAGAATACCTGACCCTCAACTCCACATCCTGTGGCCAGTTGCCCTGTGAAGAATGTCTAGAGGCAGATTCGGAGACTATTCCTCTGCCACAGTTCCTTTCTTGGGGTGCTCTCCCAGAGTCTTCACTTCTGGAAGGATCCTATGGGAGTGAGAGTGACTGGGAGGACCTGGAGGAGCCTATGACTATGGATGACACCCTCAGGTGGGTATCACACTCTGTGTGAGATGGGACTTAGCAGAGTTCACTTAGGCTGGTGTGGTGGTCCCCTTGGGTATCATCTGGAAGCCATTTATGCTAAGTGCATACTGTGGTCCCTTTTCCGTAATGACTGCCTTACCATTCGGGGACTGTTTCATATGCTACATCAGAGGCGGCTCCGGGGCTCTATAGCGACTAAAGCACAGAGGCAGACCAAGCTTTCTCAACCTGGTACCACAACATTCACTGCAAATGGAGGCAGGGAAGCTACCTGAGGCTGTCATCGAAAGGCTGAGATGACAATGCTAAATGTAGAATGTGCTCTTGGTAGGAGCTAGCTACTGTTTCCATAGCCTTCAGTGGGAAGATTCAAGCTTTTGAAGACATCTAACTCTCTTGTTTTTCCACACAGACAAAGGAACTAAGCAGACAGGCTTGTGTCCTAACATAAGGTTTGTGCAGAGAGAAATACCCTTCCACGGTTGAAGGTGGAATAGATGTACTGGTTGGCCTTCACCTATTGATAGTGGCTTGGGGTACAGTTGGGATGAACCACATTATCATCCTATCCCAATGAAAGACAGGTCTTGCCCCTCTTGATAGAGGGTGGCAGTCAGGTGTTGAATGCTCATGGTGCCAGCTTGGGCCTGGGCTCTGTGGTTGGTTCACATACATGCTTCATAGTACCCAGGGTTACCCATCCCTGGACAGTGTGATTCTTTTTGGGAAAGCAACATGAGCATCCCTTAAATTCTCTACAGAGTCCGAGTCATCCAGAGGGTTAAGTACTTCTGCATATTATCCTCTTTTGTACCAGAATCTGGGAGAGGAGGATACAAAGAGGACTTATGGCTGAGTAGTGCATCCTTTACGGTCGTATTCAAAATTTTGTTTGCTCTATTCAGACATAGATGATAGTAAAATTTATTTTCTGGTGCTGGAGAGATGAATCCACAGTTAAGAGCACTTCCAGAAGATGCCAATTGGTTCTCAACACCCATATCAGGTGGCTCACAACCACCTGTAATCCAGTTCCCGGGGATTTGACACTGCCTACTAGCTTCTACAGATTCCTGTACAGATTCCAGATACACACAAACATCCTGTACACAGGTGGCATACACACAAACAACAATTTTTTAAGAATCTTAAAAAAGTATTTTCTATTAATCTTTCTATAAGTAAATGCAATCAATCCTGTGGTATTCTTATTTCTCATCTATTAGTAGGCTTAGTTGTTCTATTTAGTTTGTCCAGGGTCACATACTGTGTGGACTCATAACTTCATAATTGGCTTTTGATGCATTTTCACAGAATGTGTCTTTCCACATCAGTCCATAGCACACACATCTTTCCATCAAGCAGTAGGAGGACAACTTTTTTTAAGGATCCAGAAGCACAAGCATTTATTTATTTTCATTCAGCGAACCCCTTCATCCATACATCTTTACATGCAGGCATTTGTTGCAAAGAACATTGGTTTGGTTTGAGGTCGCTGGTCTCTGCTACACTATCCACACTGTGCCCTTCCGGGGGCTCTTCCTGGACACCCAACTGCTGCTCTGCTTCTGGACATCCCTTTGTCTTCAGGAACCTTATCCCTGCCCCACCTGTGCTCCAGCAGATCACAGGTGGGGTGGATGTTGGGGTGGGCCAACACTAACCCTGGTTCTGGGCCTGGGTAGTTGCAGGGTTGGACAGTCTGTCAGCTCTCCCTTGTCCTTACCGCCAGGGTGAGCTCTCTGGCATTGCCCTGGCTGGTTCACCCCTTGCAGTGATGAGCAGAGGGACGGGGCCAGTTCTCCTGCTTACCTGTCCTCAGGAGCAGCTCTCCCACGACTACAATTTCAGGGCCAGCTCTACTGTGTTGCCCAGTAGGTCCAGGGGCCACGCTCCCCAGTGCTGCGGTTGATGAGGGGTAGGGACAGCTCTCAAGCTCTTACGACCTCAGGGCCAGTTCTCCCACGAGAGACAGGGGAATCATTATTTTACCCGTGTCCTGGCATGACAGATGAGTAATGGGGACTGCTCTCCCACACTTACAACTTCCGGGTTAGCTCACCTCCACCTCCGCCAACAGGGTTGGCTTTGTTGTGCTGTCCAGGTGATGTGCAGGGCCTGTTCTTCAGTGTTGTAGCTGCGGGGGGGGGCGGGCGGGGGGGGGGACAGGAGTAGCCCTCCTGCTCTTATAACCTCAGGGCCATCTCTGGCGCCCACCTCCCATGTTGATGGCGTCGGGTAGAGGGCATTTCTCTCTCTCCCCGTGCTGCCACATAGCAGACGCGGGATGAGCCAGGTCTCCCATGCTCACAGTCTTGGGACCCGTTCACCTGTGCCCTCCTCAGCAGGCTCAGCTCCCCTGTGCTGCCCAGACAAGGTGCAGGGCCTGCTTTCCTGAGTGTTACAGCTGGCAAAGGGGTCGGTCCCCTTGTCTGCTTGGGTTGTTAAGGGAAGGCATCTTTTCCTCACCCACCACACTGCAGATGAGGGAGACAGTACCAGGTACACCCCTCTCACACCCTCAGGGATGCTCACCTATGTCCCTGTCTACAGGGTCAGCTCTACTGTGCTTCCCAGGTGAGGTGTGGAGCCTGTTCACCCAAGTGTTGCAGCTGGGAAGGGTTGGCTCTGGTCTCCCACCTGCTGCGGGTGTTGAGGGGTAGAGGAGCAGGGCATCTTTCCCTTACCCATGCTATCACATGACAGGCAAGAGGGGCATAACCTGCTCTACCATTCTCATACCCACAGGACCAGCTCACCTATGGCCCTGTGAACAGGCTCAGTTCTATTGTACAACCTAGGTGAGGTGTAGGACCCTCTCTCCTAGGTGCTTCAGCCAGTGGGGCAGGACCAGCTCTTCCCAGTGTTGCAACCAGTGAGGGACAGGGCCAACTCTGTACAGCCCTATCCTCTCTGTCTTTGTTGGTATCAAGGACATCAGACATCAACACAGACCTTGACTTCACCAGGGCCACGAACCTAGGCATGGGACCCAGCAGAAACCTAGGCCATGACATCACCATGTCACTGAGTGGCAATCAAACCAGCCTCCTCAGTCTGCTCCTCACTGGTTTTTTACAGGAAATGAAACATTGATTCTGTCTCTCTTATTCTCTCTCTCTCTCTCTCTCTCTCTCTCTCTCTCTCTCTCTCTCTCTCTCTCTCTCTCTCTCTCTCTCTCTCTCTCTCTCTCCACCCCCATAACACACTGCACATTTGCTCTCCAGTGGCGCCAGGTGGGCCCATGTGTTCTCCTCGAAGCCTGGGCGGGCCTGTGAGTGGGTCTCTTTCTCCTGCTCAGTCTGTGATTTTGTTCAACTTTTTTTTTTACAAGCGCTTTTCTCTTGTGAAGCCAAAACAACAACAAAAACCAGTAAAAATAAAATAATCAAACCAAAGTTAAGGGGGATTGTAAGAACAGGGTTGAATTATGTGATTTAGAGAGGTTTCTGCCCAAATGGGCCACTTACTAACAGCTGCTTACTCTTGTAGGTGAACACACTGAACCAGGCATCTCCTGGGACAGAACCTGAGGGTTTCTGAGTGGGCATCCTTTTGGCGGAAGAGCCCCTCAGCTGACTGTGGTCCAGAGAATGTGTCTACTTGCTCTGCTACTGTGAATGAAGCATCCCTGGGAGCATGGGCTCGGATGGAGCTCCCGCCCAGTTGTTAAGTGCTACCTTCTAAGAGTTCCTGCCTGTTGTTTCTGAGGCTAATCCTCGTTAGCAGCCACTACTTCCTCTGCAGTCTAAGTCAAGCAAATCTTTGTGTGTATGGGTGGGGTTCCCCTCACAAAAGGAACTGGGACCTGGTTTCTTTAAGTAATACAAACAAGGACGGGGGAAAGTCCTGGTTGCCACACTGGTGCACCGTTTTCCAAGACGGATGATGCACCATGGAGTCCTCAGTGCTCAAAGGACTCTGTGCTTGTCAAAGTGTCCCAAGTGTACTGGAGGGAATCTGCCAAGAGGCTGGGCTCAAAGGCCACAGGCAAAATAACTTTCTGTATTCTTCTGTTTTGGTTTTTCTATGTCTGTCCTTTAGCTCCAAATAGTGATGTGGTTTTAAATGAGTTTTTTCCCTTTTGATCCTAATGCCTGATTCTCATTTTATAAAAAATAAACTATCGTGTAACTAACATTCTTGATAATTGCTATGTAGATGCCACCATTAATAAATTAAACTTGTGGAATTAGCAAATACATAAAAGAAATAGACCTGGTGGACCACAGTGTAAGCCATTGGTGTGACACTGTATAATGGGGACCACATAGCAGAGACAAGGCCTCACATCACAGAAACAAAGACAGCTTAATAACACAATGAGGGTGTGTGTTGTTGTAGGTCATGGTTTGCTCTGCTGCTTAAGGAGACGAATTTTTCAGCAATTTGAATAGCTCTGCTTCAGACTGTTACAGCTGCCACACAGTTTTGTAGTCCTCAAGTTTGGAAAATTAATTAACTATGCAATAAAATGATTAAATAACAATATTTTTCAACCCACTGAACTCTGGTTGCTTCTTCTATACTTGTACTAGAAACGGGCAGGTACACAGCCAAGCAAACATGGTCTTCCTTTCTGTAGGACAGGTCCCCTTCTCGTCATGTCCATGCTGAGCCATTCTTCATGAAAGCATGTTAGTTACCTTGCCTTAAGGGCTTGATTGCAGCTGCCACTTGCTTCATGTCGGGGGAAGTTGGCTAACTCATTCAAAGTAGTAAAGATACCAAAGTCTCCCCAAGTAACTTGTATGTCTACTGTGGTTTCTATCATAACCCTGGTATAATAATTTGGAACTGTAGAAAACTTTATTCTGAATCAATTTGGTTTTATGTATATAATATAATCATATGGAGAAAATGTATTCTGAAATTTATATTAAAGGCAAGGGCTCTAGAACAGATAAAGTATCTTTTAAAAAGAGAATAAGGTGGGAGAAATCACTGTGCCCCAAATTAAGGCTTGCTATGTAGCTATAAATAGATCCATGGGAAGAAAGCAGGACCCAGTGTTGTGTTCACATGCATATTCTCAACTGATTTTTTTGACAGAAGTACAGAAGAAATTCAATGGAGAAAGGATAACTTTTAATAAATAGTATGGGGATAGCAATGAATAATTATCTAAGCTTCTCACTTTGTATAAAACAAGTAATGGTCTTAACTATAACTGTAAAAGGATAAGACTTTTAGAAAAGGAAAACAATCTTTGAGACCTATTTTTAGACATGGAGATATTAGATTTGATCCATAAATGAAAGAATTGGGATTGTTTTTCCCTTGTAAAAGCCCTGGTATAAGAAATGAGGATAAGCTTCAAAATGAAAGAAGGCAACTACAAACCCAACAGGGAACTAGTATCTAGCATGAATAAAGAACCCTCAAATCTCAATAGCAAAAAAGAATTCCAAGTAGAAAATTGACATCAATTATTAGTGGGCATTTCTCTGCAGATGTTATACAGATTCATGTAAATAATCCAAAGATGCATGAGCTACCAGGGAAATGTGAACTAAAGTTACAATATCTTTACACATGTCTCTACGTGGTAAAATGAAGTCATGCAGACAATACCCAAAACTGGTGATGATGTGGGAAGACTGCATAGCCTCCACATGGCTGCTAAGGACACACTGCCTCCACATTGCTGCTGAGAATGCACTTGGGAGGCAGCGGAGGAGAATCTCTGTGAGTTCCAGGCCAGCCTGGTCTACAGAGCGAGTTCCAGTCCAGACAGGGCTACACAGAGAAATCCTATCTCGAAACAAAAAGAAACAAGACAAGAATGTGCTGCCTCTATGCTGCTGCTGAGACTGCACTGTCTGTGTATTGCTGAGAATGTAAACTAGTGCATCTGATCCAAAAACACATCGATAATATCTTATAAAGCCAAACATGCAGTTATCACAAGACCAAGAAATTGCACACCGGGAGTCTGACCCAGAGAAATTAGCTTATGTTTATACAAATATTCATTGTGACTTTATTTGTAATAACACTCAACCAGAAAAAGCCAAGTGAATGGCTAAACAATGGGTGATAATCTACCTAAAGAAGAATGGTCCATTAACACACAACCAGGTAGGGTGAAACTCCAAAGAATTATACTAAGAAAAAAGGCAGACCACAAAAGACAGTACAAATCTGATTCCATTTGTATAACATTCTTTGAAAAATTATTTTTCCTCATACAATACATCCTGACTGCACTCTCCCCTTCCTTCCCCTTTTCTCAGGCTCCCCCCTCCCCATCCACTCCCTCTCCATTTTCCTTGAGAAAAGAGTAGTAATATCAACCAAACGTGACATAACAAGACACAACAAGACTAGGCACAAACCTTCATATCAAGACTGGATGAGACAACCTTGTAGGATAAAAAAGATCCCATGAAAAGGTAAAGAGTCAAAGACACCCCATTCTCCTTGTTAGGAGTCCCGCAAAAACCCAAACTAAACACCCGCAGCCTGTATGCCGAGGACCTGTGCAGACCCATGTAGGCTCTGCGACTGCCACTGCTGTCTCTGTGAGCCCCCAATGAGCCCTGCTTAGTTGATTCTGTGGGCTGTGCTCTCCTCATGTCCTCCACTCCACCCTCCCCTGACTCCTACAACCCTTCCTCCCCAACTTTAGCAGGGTTCCCTGTGCTCTGCCTAATGTCTGGGTGTGGTCTCTGCATCTGCTCCCATCAGCTGCTGGAGGAAGCCTCTCTGATGATGATTAGGCATGGATCTCTGAGTATGGTACAATATCATTAGGAATCCTTTCATAGGCTTTTTTTTGTCAGTTGTATTTGGTTTTACCCTAGGTCTCTGAGTCAATCAGCTTCCAGATCCTGGCCATCTGGGCAGTATGAGGCACGGCTGCCTCTGTGACCTGGGTTACTGATGTTAGACCAGTCTTTGGTTGGTCACTCCCACCAGCTCTGATCCACCATTGCACTGGCATTGTATAACATTATTTTAGATGACAAAGTTAGAAGAAGGTGCATAGATGAGAAGTTAAGGAGGACAGAGAGGTGAGTATGTATAGCAGGAGGGAGAATGTTATGAGATGAGAGGAACTACCCTGGAATATTGAGTATGTGAATTTATCTGTGTGATAAAATTATATGGAATTCAGCACATAAGTAAAAAAAATCAGAGAAGACCTGATCAAGATAGATGGATTATTATCATGATTATGGTATTGTACCACAGTTCTGCACCATGCTGTCTTTGGGCAAACTGGGTGGAGGGGATTCTTCTGCATTGTTTCTTTTAATAGCTTGTGAAAATACAATCATTTCAAAACAAAAAAGTTTAATTGAAAATGGCTGGATTCCAAACTCTACTTAACTACTCCATGGCTGCCTTGTATGCTGTCAGGATGGGTTCTACATAAAGCTATGGCTCTGTAGACCGTGGGCACAGATGGGAAGCCTCAGAGACTGACGACATCTGAGTTGCCCACGACGGCTCACCATCCTGCCTGCACAGAGCCACCACTGTGGTACTTTAGTAGTTTTTCACAAGTTAAAATAATATAAAGCATTTCTTTCTCCTAGTTACACAAGCTCTGTTGCAGAATACAACCATGGAGAAAAAAAGGAACCAAAAGAATTTTGGAAAAGCAGTATCTGTGTGCTCATCTATTTCATCTTGATATATACTTATTGAGCATTCACTACATAGCCAGGCCAAGAGGATGGAGGTGAATGGAGGTGTGATTGTCTATGGGAGTCCTGCTTCCTAGGGAGGAGATCCAACACAAATAAGGAGATAGCACTATAATCAGAGGGGTTGGGGCCAGAATGGTGGTACAGAAGCCAACATGCAGACAACAGATACTTTTTTTAACCTCAAAAAAAAAAGATTAGTCCTGTTAGAGATTATACCTTGAATGAGAAGAGATGTGTATTATAGGACTTGGGTTGTTGGGTATGGGGTGGTGACAAGTAGAAGTAGAGGGGGAGCCAAGGCTGGGTGGATTGTGAGTGAAGAGGCTTGGCTTCTTAGTTAGGCTTGTTAGAGAATTCATATTGGAAAGATTAACCTGGTTTGTGGGGTAGGCCAACAATTGGCTCAAGGAAGACAGGCTTTCATGCACCCGGACACTGCTCATACTGACAGTTTAATTAAAGCATTCCTCTTTTGAATGCTGATAATCTCAGATATTTTGTTACAGCAACAGAAAGCTAAAAAAATGCAGAGACTATTGAGGAATAATCTATTTAGCGTTGTTTGGTTCTGTACATGTAGAATTTGAGATTTCTCAAGATATAGAGCATAACAGAGGGGCATTTTTATTGAGGTGAGATTGCACTGTACTCTTTTGCAGAGGATGCAATTACTAAGGCCTCAAAGCAATATGAGCCATGGCTTTATCTACCAGACACTGTGTGGAAAGGGCCCTAGAGCGAGATGTGCTGTGCACACTGATAAGCTGGGAGAGCGTCAGTAGGAGAGTGTGGGTGCGAGCATATGTAGACACAGGCGAGGGCCAGCAGAGGAACAGGAGAGGAAATGATGGAAGCTGTGGGTCCTCTGCCTTTTAAAAAATATTAGACTCATCCTTGGCTGACTGGCCCAATGACCCTCTCCTTTGATAAGAGATTGTTCAAGATCAACAGGCTCTAAATCTCTTCCTAACTCCACTCTCAAGACCCATCCTGTGTACCAGCAGTAGTCTGTGAATGGCCTTTTCAGTATCCTGTCATCCTCCTTCCTGCCTGGGTATGCCTGACTTGCTGACTTCAGAGAAAGTAGTGATAAAATGAACCATTGTATCTGATTCAGGGGACACAGAGATATTTTGGGGAGGGGGTGTTTTGGAAAAGTTCCTCTACATATCTATCGAGGAAATGAGTTATTTATGCACTCCTCTGGGTAGGTTACAATGGCCTTTCCAGGACCCAAAGAGTAGAACCAATGTTAAGAATCAGTCAAATGAAATCAGTGTTATAGATGCCAGAGCAGGAAGATGGAGGCCCTGGGTCTTTGGTACTATATAACTGAGCTTCTGTGCCAACCATGTAGGAGTCCTGCCTGCAGTAGGTTCTGGAGATCTCATGGTGACAACTCTGCAAGGGTTAATTACCACAGTGTGTGAGGCCCTGTGCCACCACACAGGCAATGAAGTTGGATGTGATGATTTCCTGCAGGAAAATCCCCGAGAAACAATGAGCATCTTTCACCCAGCTCAAAATACCTGCCTAGAGAGTTCTTTGCAGAGTGCCAACTGTAGAGGTACCAGAGCCTGAATAGGGCATGCTTGTAAGGCTGGGTGAGAAAGGAGAAGCATAGAGTTCCCTTCCCCCAGGCAGAAATACAGAATGTGGACTAGCAGCGAGGTAAGTTGGAGCAAGACTTACACAGAAATGGAGGTGTTTTTGGGTGCTTCACACTGAGGACCAGACCAAGGTTTTGCTGTAAGAACCCAGTGAGAAAAGACACACTAAGTCAAGTTTGAATGACGTTGGAAGGACACAAAGAAGTTGTACTCTATTAAATTCAACTAAGATACA